CTGCGCAGTCGCACGAGCCAGCGGGGGGGAGGGGCGCTTCGGGCGGCGCGGGGAGCGCAGGACAGACGGAGGCTGAGGGGGGACTCCGGGCGCCCTGTGGGGGGCGGGGCGTGGGCCCGGGAAGCGGCCCCGGCGGGCGCACAGCTATGTTTCGCTCCCTCTCCGCCCCTGCCCTTCTGTCTCAAATTAATAAATAAGCTCTTTTTATTGTCTTTCTTTTTTTTAAAACAGACCTCACCGCCAAAGTCCCAACAGTGCGTCCCAGGTTTGATTCTTAGCGGCATCTCTGCCAGTGGCCGTGAAGTAGTTTTTCATTTTCTTGGTGCCGAACTCCCTGTGACTGTTGGCGGCGGTGGCCTGCGGGCGCGGCTCGTCCGGAGGCCCCTGTGCACGTGCACCCTCCGGAGGAAACGCCAGCAGCTGCCGGCTGCGCGGTGACGGGCCCGCAGGCGGCGGGAGGCGGGGCGCCGCTCGTATAAAAGTCGGTGTCCGGGGGGGAAGCTGTTTTGTTTCCAGCCGCTCCGGCCACCGCCCGCTGTGCGGTCCGCGCAGCGACGCCGCCCCACGGTCCCGCCGTCCGATCCCCGCTGTCGCTGCTCCCGCTGCTGCTGGGACACATGTGGGTGCCCCTGGGACGCTCCCGGGACAGAGAGGCTGGACAGCGGGGCGGGCGCCGCCCGGGGCTGGGCGGCGTCTGGGACGCAGTGTGAGCTCGGGATCCCGGGCGAGACCAGCCGCGATCCGCCCCACGGGCACCCGCGCGCCGCGCTCCGAGCGGCTCGGGGCGGGAATCCTCCCAGCGCAGAGCCGGCCCCCTTCCCGCTCCCGCGGGGTCGGCGCCGCCGCCGGGCGGGCCTCAGGGGACTCGGACCCCCGCAGCTCGACCTTCCCTGCGCCGGGACCCGCGTCTCCACGCGAGCGGCGGCAGGAGCCCACGCTCAGCCGAGCTTCGCTCGTGTCCTGGGTCCTTCCCGGACGGTACTGGTCGGCGGCCCGGGCGTTTGGGACCCCCGGTCTCCGGGACGCCAGACTCCGGGCGCCCTCGAACCGCCCCCAGTCCTTCCGCGCCCAGCGCCCCGGTGCCCGGGCGGGGCTGCCTGGCGCCGCAGCGCGGGCTGCGGGCGCTGGTGCCGGTCACGGCGGCGCACGGGCGCCCCAGGTGGCTCCCCAGTTTCCTGAGGGGGCGGGAGGTCGTCCACGTTCCGGGGCCCCCGTGGGGCCGTGGGCGTGGGGAAGGTAACTCACTGCTCTCGTCGTGGGACGGCCCAGGCGGTGGAAGCTGAGCCTGGGCTGTCGCAGACGCGGAGGCCCCGAGGGCTCCGTTCCCTCCCCGAGGCCCGCGGCGCGGACTGACGCTCCCCCTGGTGGCGGGAGCTCCGGGCGGGACTTTGTCTGGAAGGGGCGGGAGGGGAAACGCGCAGGAGGGACGCGCCGAGGAGGGAGTAGCGGCGCTGCGTCGAGGGGACAGTGCGCGGGCGGCGCAGCCGCGCCGTGACCGGCGGAGGGTGGGCGCGTCTCTGGCGGCAGCGCGTCTGAAGGGCCACCTTGGTTCCTTTTGAATCGGCGTCCAGAATTGGCTGCCACACAGGCTGTTCACCTGCAGTGACGCAGGAGCTAGCAGGTCGCCGTTTACGGAACTAATGTTGAAGGAAGGGTGGGTGGGTTACGAGGTGTGTGTCTCAAAGATTTTTAAGGAAAGATGTTTGTTCCAGAATTATTTGTAATAGAAAAAATCTGAACCATCGTACACGCACGTTAGTTAGAGAGTGGCCCCCCCACGCAGCGTCTGACCACTGAGCGCATGCTGACCGCGTGTCTGTTCTTTGGAGAAACGTCTGTTCAGGCTTCTGCCATTTTCAAAGAGGGACTGGGGTTTTGGGGTGTTATCTTGTTGCTTGTCAAGTGTGGTTATTAACCCCTGATGGCCCGTATCACGGGCAAACATCCTCTTCCATTCTTTAAGTCGTCTTTTCACTTTGTTGCTGGTTCCCTTTGCCGCGCAAAACCTTTCCTTTGATGTGGTCCCATCCGCTTATTTTCCCGTGTCGTGTCGCCCTTGCCCGAGGAGACAGGCCCAAAAGGACTTTGGGAAGAGCGATGTCGGAGAGGCCGCGGCCTGTGTTTCCTCCCAGGGCCGGGGGTCCGGGTTGAACATTGAATTCCTTCACCGAGTCTGTGTTTATTCTCGATTGCGGTGTAAGAACCGGTCCAGTCACAGACTATGCCTGTGTCTGTGCGTTTTCCCACCTCCCGTGAAGAGGGTGCGTTTCCCCCGTGGTGTGTCCCCGCTGCCCTGGTCCTGGAAGAATTGTCCACACAGGTGAGAGCGCATTTCCCGGCTCTCTGTTCTGTCCCCGTGAACAGTGTCTGTTCTTGTGCCAGTGCTCGATGGCCAGGGCTGTGATGCCTTTACTTTTGTTCTTTCTTTACCTGTTCTTTTGGCCACTTGGTGTCCTTTGGGTTCCATACAGATTTTCGGATTCCTTGTTCTCCTTCTGAGAAGGCGGCCACAGGTGTTCTCATCAGTGTCGTCATGAAAGCGCGTGTTGCTCACGCAGGGAGGACATGGTAACAGTATGAATCCTTGGGAACCGGGAGCGCACCGCCGCCTTCCCTGTGTTTGCATCCCCTCCACCTTCTTCACATTGTCTCGTAGTTCTCAGGGCGCAGGGCTTTCCACTCTTTGGCTGAATTCATTGCTGGGTCTTTTATGCTTTTTGATAACGTTGTAACAGGGAATGATATAGTTTTTCTATCTGGTTATTTATTATCGCTACATAGAAATGCTCCTTCCTGACTTCCCTTAGAAGTTCTGACGGAGTTTTGGGTGGGGTCCTGACACAAGCTTACGAATTGTGTCCTGTCATGCGCGCACAGTGTGAAGTGTGCTTCTCCCTTTGGACTGGCATGGTTTTCCTTCTTTGTCCCTTCTGACGCCGTTGCTAGGACCTGCAATGCCACCCTGCGCAGACGTGGCGGTGGCGGCGTCCGTCCTCACTGCTGATCTTCCAGAGACAGCTGTCAGCTTCTGCCATTGAGAGTTAGCTTAGCTGTGTGTCTAGGAATTATGTTCTTTATAGAGATTAATTTTATTTTTTTAGAGGGAGGGGAGGGAGAGAGAAAGAGAGGGAGAGAAACATATGTGTGTGGTTGCTTCTCAGGCACCCCCCGCTGGGGACCTGGCCCGCAACCCTGGCCTGCGCCCCAACGGGGAATGGCACCCACATGGCTTTGGTTTGCAGGCCGACACTCGATCCACAGAGCCATCCAGCGAGGGCACGACTTATAGTTTTAATAATGGGTTTTTATTTATAATGATAACAAAGTTGGATGCAGTTTATATAGTTTGCTATTGTAGATTTTCCTGTAATGAACAGCATTCTATAGGAACTTTTGAGTTAATTCCTTTTTTTCTTTTAAGAGTAATTCCTGCAGGGTAGTCTGTGGGACTAAGGATAAAACTTTTTCAAGGCATTTGGTAAACCAGGAAGGGCTGGAAAAGAAAACCCCACAACAAAACATCCCAGGGACTCTCTGTGGAGGGCGGGCCCCTTGCAGTACAGCCTCCCGCTGGGTGAGGCGTGGTCTGGGAGCCCAGCTGCGTCCGGCACCAGGTGGCGCTTGGGGACCCCCATCCGGCCTTACCGACCTTTTTTTGAAGACTCTTCCAAAGCGTTAGCCCATCTGATGGTGGGTGATTTATGAGCCAGCTGCCCATAGGCCGCTGAGTGTCCTGCAGTTTTTGACCCAAACACCACGTCCTCACCCTCCCTAGTCACCTGATCTCAGCCAGTGTGACTCTGTTTAATTTCCCGGATGAAAAAAGTCCACAGACAGAAAAGTTGCTGATGTGGGAAACGTCTCCGATGTGGGAAACGTCAAACAAAAACGGCAGAGGCACTAAACGACGTCAATTCGTTAAAACGACAAGTGCGAACACTGTCGCGGGTGGTGGGAACGGATCTCCACAGGTGCGCGGTGTCCAGCGGAGAGGCTGTGAAGGCGACTGAAGTTTCACCCTGTGAGAATAAAAACACAGTGTTCATAAATAAAGTGCGTCTGCGGCTCGCCCCAGGGACATATGTGGCCAAATCCATCCACAGGTTACATTCAGATGAAAGGCCGGGTAGAATGAACATTATAATTACTTACATTTCATTCTTTCGTGTCTTACATTTTGAAATTGCCTCTACTCAGGAATAAGAACCAATAAATGTGGCCCCGGCCGGTGTGGCTCAGTGGATGGAGCGCCGCCTGCGACCAGAGGCCTGGGCTGTGGGCCGGGTCCCCCGCGGGGGGCGCATAAGCGGCACCCACACGCTGAGGATTCTCTCCCTCTCTTTCTGCCTCCCTTCCCCTCTCTCTAAACATAAATAAATACTTTAAGAAACAATAACTGCCCTTCAAAATATGCGGAAATATAGTGCCCACTCTGGAACCTTTGAAGCTTTGAAACACGCAGACAACTTTAAAAGTACAGGCGCAAAGGCCCTCGGCGTCTGCTCTGGAAGAAATGGGGCCCCTGGAAGGGACCGAGCAGCAGGGAGCTGAGGGGCAGGAGGCGCTGGCTGCCGAGCAGAGCGCGGCCTGCAGGGGGCAGCGCTGGGACCCGGGACGCAGAGCTGAGTCCCTGTGTTCCTCAGAGGCTGACGCTGGGGGCGCGCCCGGCTGCGCCGGGGGAGGGTGAGCGAGTGGCGGGCTTGTGAGCACCTTGCGCAGGGGAGCCCAGGACTCCCTGCGGGCGAGGGTCACGCTGCGTCCATTACCTTTCCCCGTTTCATGGGTGATTTCCATGTAGGATCCAAAGGGAAGCGACTGCCCAGGGGACACCAGCAGAGGGCGCAGTGGGGTCATTTGTAAAGGCAGCTCCGGCCAGGGATGGCCCTGGGAAGGGGCCCTGGGAAGGCAGGGTCTCCATGGGGAATTCCCCGCCTTCTTCCAGGTGGTCACTGCTACCCCCTCCCAGGAACTCGCTCTGCACGGCAGGTCGCGATGGTGAAGGGCCAGGCCCTCCGCCTGCTCGCCCTCCGCGTCTGCCTCTCCGTGGTCCCGCTGCCCGGCCCCTGCTCAGGTAGGCCCCGCCCTGCGTTCATTGGTCTGAGGCATTTACCTCTCTCTGACCCAGTCAGCACCTGGACTCCCCGCATCCCCGCGGGGCCCGGCCAGACACACCGGTGTCAGGACTGAGCTCCCTCTAGTGTCCCTCCCCCGCCCTCCCCCTGCCTGCGACACCGCCTGGCCTTCGGGCCCCAGCGCCCTCTGACGGGCCCCCCTTCTGACGACCAGCTCACTTTGCGGTGGTTGGACCCCCTGGGCCCATTCTGGCCATGGTGGGCGAAGACGCTGCGCTGCCCTGTCGCCTGTTCCCGAAGATGAGCGCCGAGACCATGGGGCTGATGTGGGAGCGACCCAGCCCCAGGCAGGTCGTGTACGTGTACACGCCTGGGCAGGAAGACACGCCCGCAGCCGAGTATCGAGGGAGAACGTCGGTTTTAAGGGAGGACGTCGCTGCGGGGAAGGCCGCTCTCCTGATTCACAACGTCACAGCCTCTGACAGCGGGAACTACCTGTGTTACTTCCAAGACGGGGATTTCTACGCGAAAGCCCAGCTGGAGCTGCAGGTGGCGGGTGAGCCTCAGGGTGCTCTGGGCGCTTTTCTGTGGGGTGGCGGGGGCTCGAACGCCCCTCAGGCCCGGGCGGCGCCCCACCAGCAGCGGCCGCCCCGCCTCTGACTGCGCTCCTCTGAGGCCGGGACTGACCCGGTTGTCGCCCAGGAAGAGCCCCTCCCGCATGAAGTGCAGAAGCCCCGCCTGCGGACCCCCAGGGCGCAGCAGGTGGCAGAGTGGGGGAGGGGAAGGAGGAGGACACCTCCCCTAGCGCGTGGCACACGGGTGTTTGGGGTCAGCACGTCCGGGCAGCGGCCCTGGGCCGTCCAGTGAACGCCGCTGTGGGTCCCTGAGGTTGAGCTGCCGAGATGACACCAGCAGCGCCCGCGTCCTCCTCCTAAAGCCGCGGGAACACACCTGCAGTGACGCAGCTGGGTCCCTGTGGTGGCCGTGAGGGAGGACTCACCCGTGAGGACCCCGTGGGCGTCGCGGTGAGGGTGTCGGGGCGGACGTGGGCACCCTTGGCCTGTAGGGCACTTCCCGGGAAGGGGAGCAGGGCCCTGCTGTGTGTGAAGGACGCTGTCAGGACGGCGCAGGGTGGGATCGGCCGCCCAGGGCCAGGACGGCGCCGGCGGGTCGCTCCTCTGGTCTGTGCGCTGCCCGTGTCCCTCCTGCGCAGGCCCGACTCTCGTCCCTTTCTCAGGACACAGCCCTGCCCGGTGGCGTCTGCCCGGGTGGTGCGTGGGGCCTGGCCGAGGAGGGACCGTGCGGCCTGCAGGCTGGTCCCTGCGGGTCTCCTCCGCAGCGGGGTCCCCTCCCCGGGTCCGCAGCTCCTCCCCGATGAGCGCTCCCTGCAGGACCCTGCGTTTTCAGGGCTTCCCGAGGCCTCCCCCCGCCTCCCCTTGTGTGTAGGGCCTGGGGACAGGTGGCAGTAGCTCCCCCGTTCCTGGCCCTGGGCCGCTGTCCTCTGTGGGGAAGTGTCCCCTCCCCACGACCTTGTTGCAGAACCTTCTCAGGTCGGGAAGCGGGAGACAAGCTGCCATCTGTGGCCCGGTCACAGCCAGAGCTTCCCGAGGGGACGGACACTCTACGCCCTGGCAGCCTTGAGAGAACGTGCACACCTTTCCCCCACGGGGCAGAGCAGAGGCTTCCACGGGGCGGGAGGGACGGGGAGGGCAGTGGGGGTGACCCGCTCAGGCCCAGGGGGAGCCACCGTGGTGCTGGCCCCGGGGCGGCCTGAGGGGCTGTCCCAGGACCCAGCGTGTCTGGGCCACAGGCGGGGGGTGCAGCCGTCTCTGAGGGTGTGTCCGGGAGGCAGTGTCCACTCTGGCCAGATCTAGGTGGCCTAGCAGGAGGGTCCGGTGACGGTCAGCCCGTGTCACATGGAGGATCAGTCCCTCCTGCACAGCGCCCCCTGGGAGCAGCTCCCCGAGACACCCTGCCGGGCTCCCCCAGTGAGCGAGGCCCCCCCTGCGGCTGAGGCCCCCCCTGCGGCTGAGGCCCCCGGGCACAGGGGGCCCCCATGACCCACCGCGCTTTCCCTCCCCAGCGCTGGGCTCCGAGCCCCTCGTGGAAATGCAGGGCTACGAGGCGGGAGGGGTCCGTGTGACGTGCAGCTCTGCCGGCTGGCACCCGCGGCCCCGCATCGAGTGGAGAGACGCCAGGGGACAGAGCCTGCCCGCGGAGGTGGCGCCTGAGGCCGCGGACGCCCAGGGCCTGTATGCGGCCGCAGCGTCTGTGATCCTGGAAAGCGGCTCTGGGCAGGGGGTGTCCTGTGTCGTCAGCAACCCCCTGCTGGGCCAGGAAAAGTCCGCCAGGGTCTCCATCGCAGGTGAGCGCCCTGCCGCGGCCCTGGGCTCCGCGGGGGTCCCTGGGGAGGCGGGGTGTCCGCGGCTGCGCTGGGTCTCTGCAGGGGACGGCAGGCGCAGAGCGGGGACCTGCTGCTCCGTCCCCGTGAAGCTGCTCAGGTCACAGACGCCTTCTGAGCATGTCCTGCTGCCGCCCGTGGGGACAGGCGATGGGAACGGGGCCAGTGGGACCGATGAGCACTCACACCCCAGAAGGGGACGAACACGCGCACCCCCAACCTTAGAGAAAGAGCCAGTCTCCTTAAAGCGTAGGAGAGCACGGTAGGTCAGAGCAAAAGCGGGGACTGTCCGTCCACAGAAAAGTGGAACTCGGGAGAGGGCGCCAGACCTCAGCGACGGGGCAGTGCCTTCCGCCTGTGACGCTGGTAACAGGAGGCACGGCCAGGTGGCTGGTGACACATTCTGATGGCGGGATTGTGTGGAGACAGTCGCTCTTACACATTTGTCGTTACAGTCCTGTGTATTTGGGCGTGAATTGGCCTGACTTCTATTGGGGGCAATAGAATGATCCTTATGCAAACTCTACTTATTGATCTAAAGCCCCGCTTTGGGGACATTACGTGACCGATCAGCTTGCAGGACTGAGAAACCGCGCCTGTGAACGCTTGTTTCTTATCGCAGCCACGGCAGAAACAGAGTCGGAGGCTGTGCTCGTGCCACCGAGGCCCGTGCGTGCGGGGCGGTGCCTGTGAGGGGGGCCCCGGCCTGCGCCCCCCGCTCCGCCGGGGAGGCCCCCGGGACGCAGGGGGCCGGGCAGCCAGTGCGCGGACCCGCCTGTGTAGATGCTGTTTTCACTCTAAACAAGATAAAATGAAACCAGGTGTTCGTTTTTACGTATTTAAAGGTTAACAGAACGTGCAGGGCAGGCGGGGGGCTTGCAGGCCCGTCACAGGCAGGCACTTCAGCCCCTCAGGGATCGGGACGCCAGGAACCGGTGGCCGAGCCATTGGGTCAGGGTCCCCGAGCAGGTCGGGCAGGAGGCCCGGGACTGGGACCCCAGGCTGCGGCCCCGCAGCTCAGGTCTCCGTCTCCGGTGAAGCCTCACCGGCTCCTGGACGCTGGTCACCGGGGGGGGGAGCGAGGAGGGGAGAGGAGGCACGAACAATTTGCACGTGTCTCTTGATATTTGCACTGGTCCCATTGGGGACGCTGACACTTGAACAGAACTGCCCTTATCATCTGGCAGGAAGAGCTCTGGGACTTTGGGAAGGGACGGGCCACCTTCAGGGGCTGAGGCTGTCCCTTCGCAGGTCCCTTGTTCGAGAGCGCGCAGCCCTGGAAGGTGGCCCTCGCGTTGAGCCTGGTGACTCTGCTGTTGCCCCTGGTGGGGACGGGGTACTTGCTGAGGCGACAGCGGAAGCAGATCCAGGCCCTGTCCCAGGAGGAGGGCAGAGCGCGAGCTGAGAAGGACGCAGCGCGGGCGGGCGAGCAGCGGGAGCCAAGGGCCCAAGGTGAGGCCCCGCGGCAGGTGGGCGCCGCCACCCCCTCTGCCCACCCGCCGCGCGGATCCTCCCAGACCCCTTGACAGCCCTTCCTGTTTCTGTTTCCAGAGAAGCTGCAGGAGGCGCTCCGTAAGTCCCAGTCTGAGTCCCCTGCCGTCCTGGGGTCTCTTGGGGACACTCATCACCGACGACTCTCGTTGTTCCTTGCAGGGTGGACCGTCACCGGGTACCGACCATGTGAGTGCCCCGGACCCACCTCTCGGCCTCTCTGCGGGGACACTCCCGCCCCGTCCCTCACCCCTACGGGCCCAGGGGAGGGAAGGAGGACGGTGATGGGGGGCGGTGCCGCGGTCCTTCTCAGAGGCGGAGGCGCTGCGGCCTCTCCACCAGGGGGCGCTCGCGCGGGACACCCGGGGGAACCAGGAAAGGGGAAGGGCCGGGGGGTGACTCGGTGAGGGAGGTCCTTCCCTCCCTGGTTGGGTCACAGAATCTGTGGCAGCAGAGACGAAAAACAGAAGGGCAGAGAGAAGTGACTCTTAAAAAGAAGAGTAGCTGGTGTCAGTCATCACAGATGTATCGTCCCTGCTGGAACAGTAGGACCAGAAATGTTCTCGTTACGTGGCCCCCTCGCCTCCGGGAGGGGCAGGGACAGTGCAGATAAGGCGGATGGGGCCCAGCACACAGGTGTGCACGCGTGTGCGCGGGGACCCCCAGGGCCGAGAGTAAGAGGCCACCGCTCATCCATGGGGGACGCGGTCCCTGTCCCCTAAGGTGGCCTGACCCCGCACAGCGCCAAGCCCTGACTGTACGAGGCAGTTCCTTCCCTGTAGAGCAGGGTCTCTCGTTGGCACAGCGGCGCTGCCAGGGCCACGCGTCTTGCGCGTGGGGGCGTCACTAGGCAAACTACGGGTGACGTGAACACCAGCGCCGTGGCCCTGGACTGCCCCTCTGTGACAGAGACAGCCCTCAGTGACTGCACGGGGTCCGCAGGGCGGACGTGCGGGACGGGGGTGGGGCTCCCCAGGGGCAGGTGGGGGCCGGGCGGCAGCAGGTCCCGCGCTGTCCTCAGGACGATGTGCATACAAACTATGGCTGGGTTGTCTCTGGAATTTCCCATTGACCCCTTTCCCGGCACCGTGGACAGACGGTAACCGCCACTTTGGGGAGAGACACCGTGAGAGGGCCGACTGTGGCGCAGACATGGCGGAGCGGACGTGAGGGACACGGGGACAGCCCGCGCAGGGCGCCCGGGGGCCCTGAGCCCAATGGAGGGGGACCGAGAAGGGAACAGGCGGAGGGGAGGGGCAAACGGGAGCGAAGGGCACCCACTCAGACGCACAGCTCAGCTGACGCCGTGCCCGTCCCTTGCAGGTGGGGAGCCGTCGCAGGCCTGTGCAGGTGAGTGCGCCTGAGGGTCCCCGGTGTCCTGGCTCCCGTGGGGGACGCATTTGCCCTCTTTGGCTGCTGGGGGAGGGAAGGTCACCTCGGCTCAGGGGCTCATTTCCTGTGGCTGAGCCGCCCCCTTTGTCTGGACACTTGGAGGGGACCTTCCCGGTGCCGCGTCCCCTCGCCCAGCGGTCACGCCAGCGCCCTCCCCCGGGCCACCCGGCCGTGTCCCCGGGCCCCCGCGCGAGGGGCAGCGCAGCCCCGGGAGGGCTCAGGCCTGACCCGCACGGCCGCGGCCGTGGGAAGCGGGTGTTGGAGGGACTGAGGAGCGAGAGAGAAGAAGGTGCATGGGGACCGTGGGCGGGGGCAGGACAGCAGTGACGGGCTTTCCTTGTCTGTGTCCCCAGGACCTCCCCTGCCCCCTCCCTCCTCTCCAGCTGTTGATGGGCACAGTTCTGGGTGGGGGTGACCTGAGGCCATGGCCTCAGAGGCGTGTCCGCCTGCCCCGAGAGCCCAGGGAGCGGGGACCGTGGCCGTCCCTGGGCGCCCAGGCCCCTGTGGGAGAGAGAGCCGCCAGGGGCAGGGCCGGAGGGAGGGCCGCCGGGAGGCGGGTGTGAGCTGGGCCAGCTCCCGGCTCCGGGCTCCCGCCCCCTCAGGCCGGCGCAGCCCCGAAGGAGGGGCTGGCCTGGGTGTCAGAGTCCCCTGAGTGGGCGAGGGCCGCTGCGGCTTCCCTTGGCCTGGCCCGGGGTCGCGTCCAGCACACGAGAGCGACCCCAGGCCTCAGGTTTACCGTCCTGCCGAGACCCGGGCCCGGCGGGCTGAGGCTCTGAAGGCCGGGGACAGTGGCTGACGCCCCCGCCGCATCCTCACCCTCTGCAGAGGACGTGGTTCTGGATGTGGACACCGCACAGCCCGTGGTCCCTGTTCCTGAGGACGAGAGGAGCCCGCAGCCGGCGGGCGGAGAGAAGGCAGGGCCGGCCGGCCAACGCGGAGACATGAGTTACATTCCTGTGTGCGGGGCTGTGAGCGCATCACGTGTGGAGACAATTCTGGGAGGCGGGGGAGGGGACAGGGCGCAGCAGGAAGTTGGGGTGCACAAGGCGGACATGGAGAGGAAATGCTAGGTTAACAGGCTCGAGAATGGATTCTGGGTCCCAGGGCCGTATCCTGGGAATTATGACCTCGTTCTCACGGTCCCCTGGAGTGAAGTGACAAATGTCAACCCTCCTGAGAGAGCGGTGTCCTCCTGGACTCTGGGACGGGGAGGGCTCCGTCTACACTGCCCCCGATGGATCACATGTCCTCTCCTCCGTCCCACCCCCTCCTCTGACCTCGGGGGCCTGTTTTCAGGGTCTGACGGGGGAGCCCACGGCCTTGAGCGTTTGCCCAGCACAGAAACCTGCGGGGGATGAGCCCCCTCCCGTGTGCCTGAGCCTGGGCCTGGCCCTTCCCTGGGGACCCCGGTGGCCTCGGGCTCAGCTGATGGGATCAGGGACCCTCCCGCTGAGGAAGTACCTTTGCTTCTCGCTGCCCGGCCTGGCGCTGAGGGCGTCCTGCACAGCAAAGCGAGTCGGCAAGACAGCGCCCACTAAGAACACGCGCAGTGATGGACGCCACTACCATTCATTCATTTTTCCCCGTGAGAGAGGAGGAGACCGGGGTGCACACAGGAAAGCAACTCTCCTAAGGTGACTCGGGCCGCCGACAGCCCCAGGTGACGTTGGCAGATGGCGCCCGTGTCCTGGGTGCCACACTGACGCCTCAGGGGGCTCTCGCTGCTCTCCTCACAACCTCCCGGTGCGGAGCCCGATTTGACAGTGTGGACACCGAGGCAGGGTCCCGGTCACAGATGTATGAGATCCACGCAGACGTAGCGCTGCTGGGAGATGCTCGGCCTCTGCCCCTCCCTCTAGCCTGTCCCTGGTGGCCGATTGTTCTGGTGGCCCGGGTGCCTCATCCTCTGGCTTTGTATCCATGTCTTGTCCCTCCTTCCCCAGTTGGGGACATGTCTATGCTCCGTTCCCTGAAATAAAGGAACACACCCGTTGGGTGTTGCCCTCTTGGGGGCATTCTGGAAATGGGAGTCATCTTCCTGGGCAGAGGCCCCACCCAGCAGGGGGGCCGTCCGGGCGTGGGGGCCCTGGGGAGGGTGCGCTGCAGTTTGCTGGGAGCAGTGAGAAGCCGGTCCAGGACGTAGGGGTCCCATAAACTGTTCGACAAGCCAGTTGAGGACATGGAGTCACTTGGCCTGGGTGGCCTCTCGCTCATTTGGCCTGGGCCCTTCCCCCCGCGACGGCCCCCTCCCCGCCCTGCTGCCCCCAGCCCGGCCCTGGCTTTGGTTCCTCTGGGATCACTGTTCCCAGTACTCTATAGTCACTAGGGCGGAGTGGGTGGCCTGCCTTCGCTGGGACACCTCAGGGTGCCCAGGGCGCCCGTGAAGGAGGGCAGGGGCCGCTGACCACAGACCCCACAGACCACTGCAGAGGGGGCCGTGGCCCTGCACTCACAGCTCAGGAAAGAGGAGCGACCAGCCGGAAAGGGGCGGGCAGGGCACGGCAGGGCGCCTGGGGTCCCCCGCCGTCCAGGCCTCTCCACCGGGGCCCCCACGGCCCGGGACAGGAGGGGCTGGGACGGGGCCCAGCCGGATCAGGCGCGGCAGCCGTACGCAGCCCGCCCTGAGCCCCAGAGGGCAGCGGCCCTGCCGGGGCGTGTGTGCCCTCGCCCTCCGGGGGGCAGTTTCTGCGGGGCCGTGTGGGGCGGGCTGCTCTGGACAGCAAGCCGGGCCCTTCCAGAGCCGGAGTGGTCCTCCCCGCCCCCCACGCGGCTGACTCAGGAGCTCCCCCTCCCCTGTCCTGCAGCCTGGGGTCCTCTGCACAATTCTTTCTGTCCTTTGTGTGCAGGGCACTATCGTCACTCCACAGGTCGGGAAGGTGGGGTAGGCCCGGCCCAGAGAGGCGGTGTCCAGGGCCTCAGCGCAGCCCTTGGAGCCGGCTTCTGGGGGCACCACAGGTGCCGCGGGTGATGCTCCAGAACGACGCGGGGTCCGGGGCTGGGCCTCCCATCCCGTCCCCTTCTCAGGACCCTGCTCCCAGTCCCCCGGGAGTCTATGAGGCTGAACTGCTGGATGCTGTGCGGAGAATTCCTCCCCTGCCCGACTTGGGAGCAGCAGAAAGTACCAGGTTCTGGGCGACACGGGCAGGTCAAAGGCATTTGCCACCGGGCGCTGAAGGGACCGGCGGTGAAGCTGCAGTTCCCTCCGGCAGCGCTTGCCCGACCCACCGCCCTTAACAATCTGCTCCTCCGAAATCCAGGCAGTAGGTCTGATACCGGTAAGGTTTCAGGTGCGCTGATCCGACCTTTCAGCGCCCCCTGAAAAACACCAAACATCACGCGGAGAAGACCGGTGCGCTTAGGCCGCGTCTTTAAAGCTGGAACCCGCCCCCAGCCTCGGGCTCCGCCCCTCCCACTGGGCGCTGTTGTCTCCGAGGCCCACTGCTGTCAGGGCAGAATTGGGGTCAGTGCTGACTTCAACACGAATGCACGGGATGACCTGTCTCTCCACGGCGGGACTGCAACCTCGGCCCCTCGCGCCGTGCGGGGCCTCTTCGCGGGACCGTTCTTCTTCCCAGCATTGAACGTGGTACTGGGGACCACGCTTCAGGGCGCCGGCCGCCACCAGGGAAAGAGTACGACTCCCAGCGTGCCGGTGGCCGGCGGCGTCCTATCCGGAGAGGTTGCCTAGCGACCGGGTGTATCCGGTAGGCTGGCCAGGAGCGGGGCGGGGCTTGAGGGCGGGACTTCCGGGCCGGCAGTTGCATCAGACTGCGGGAAGTAGTCGCAGCGAGTGCGGGTCTCCGAGTGCTAGGATGGCGGATTCCTCCGAGGAGTTGGGTGAGTGCGCGCGACGGGGCGCGCGGAAGGTGACTCCACCCGGAGGGGCGGATCCCTGGGCCAGGAAGGGAGCGACCAGGGGCCCAAGGGTTCTGAGTCACCTGTCTCGTGGGGGTGGGCTCCCAGGCCGTTTGGGGCCCGAAACTCGGGGGCCTCTCTTGTCTACAAGGCGGAGGGGAGACCGCGGGACCCCCGCGGGTTGGGCCTGAGGTCATGACATCCTCTGGGGAGTGGCCCCTGGCGCGAGCCCCGCAAGGCCACTCCCTGGCCAGCATCAGTCCCCCATTGGGTTGTGCCAGGGTCCTCTTGCGGCCGAAACCCGAGATGGCCTTGCATGTCCCCAGCCGTGCCTTGTCCGGCCGCCCCGGCCAGACTTCGGGGACAGGCCGCGCCCGAGGGGTGCTGGGGTTCCCGCCGGGCCGGGCAGCATCCCGCGGGTGGGCGGAGGGCGTCCCGAGTTGGCACTTAGGAAAATGGAGCTGGGAAGCGCCGGGTACGCGACACACATGACAAGGCTTGGGGTTTTATGACGGCTTCACCGCGGCCAGCAAGCGGCGTTATGACCCCTTTTATTGGCCCGGAGGTTCTGTGGGCAGCTCCGGCCCTTCCGGCCGAGTCCCTGGCGTCCGTGGGGTAGCCGCGGGCGTCCGCAGGCTGGCCCCCCAGGACCCCGGGTGCAGTGCTGGCAGGAGCAGAGCGTCACCGGTTCCTGGCGGTTCGGTGCGCACCTTCTTCAGGGCGAACGCTGTGTGTGGGTTTTGGTCCCTTGGGCGGCGGAAAGGAGATGCCAATTCTTCTGAGACCCCCGGCGGCCGCCGGCAGTTCCTTGGCCCCTGTGGTCCCCCTGCTCCCGACGGCGCGCTGGGTCCCCAGGTGGGGAACTCGCTACCGCGGGAGGCACCCAGGCGACAGGCAGCTGAGCCGCCCCAGCACCCCCGCCGGGGCTCCCCGCTCGCCACCGACGGGGTGTCTGGGGGCCAGCGCCGCGCCCCCCGCCGCAGTCCAGCAGGCCTCACACATCCCCCCGCAGCCGCGGTTCCCAGCGGGATTGCGGAGCCAGCAGGCTGGGCCGGGGTCCCAGCCCTGCGCCTCCCTCAGCGGCCCGCGGGGTCACGCCGCCTCTCACCGATGTGGGGGTCCAGGGGCAGGGGACAGAAAGGCGTTGGGGGCGCCGGGCCGGGATAGGCTGCCCAGGCGGAAGAGTGCAAGCTGGGTTCCTGCTGTCTTTCAGATGGGGTGTGTTCTTGGTTCATTTTTTCATGTAGGCGACACTGTTTTTGTGTCTTGTTTCTTTCGTGGCTTCAGAACTTGAGCTTGTCTGAGCCTTGGTGAGAATCTTCCTGTTTTGTTGGACCACGAGGCCTGGGGTGGGATTCGCCCCCCAGGAGGCCAGGCACTGGCAGGCTTCTGGGTTCCCGCCCTTCACGCTGGGGCACGTCCCGCCCAATGCTCATTTCCAGGACACGGCCTGCCTGCTCTTTCCTGCTGCCATCCACACGCCCTGTCTCCCGTCTTCCCCACAAGGACAGCGGCGGCTCCAGGAGAGCCACGAGGGTTCTGGATGGTCTTGGGACCCAGTATCTGAAGGCCGCTTGTTCCTAAAGTGACTGTCACCCCAGACTTTTCCCGGGAGCCTCATCTAGGATAGTCGTCCCGTTTTGCGTCGCTTTCCCTAAGTTGACTCAGAATGTCTGGTCCCCTGTGATGACCGCGGATGCACAGCCTCTCCTTTTAGCTTAAGGTGGGTGCGGCCGCTGAGGGGGCGGGTCTCCCCTCTCAGGGCCTCGGCCGCTGGGCTCCTCTCTAAGGCCCTGCCCTGCAGCCCTGGGGCCCTGTCGGTGGCCACCACTTAGATCCGAGTCAGTGCTGCTCTCCGTCCAGTTTCCCTCGGGGGGGTCTTCACAGTGGCCCTGTGGCACGAGTGTGGCGGCCCCGGACGAGCCGCCTGCTACGGCCCGCGGCCCCCGAGCGGCCCTCTCGGAGGCACTGCCCCGGCTGCTGGACAGCGAGTCGCCCGGGTTCAGAGGAGCTCAGTGGCTTGTCCAAGGCCACAGCCAGTCAGAGGGGAGCCAGGCTTCTGGCCGGGCCGGCCCCTGCAGCAGGGACTGCAGCCTCTGCCCTGGGCAGCCTTGGGTGACTGTCCGCAGCGCGACGGCAGGGGTCCCTTCCAGAGTCGGGAGGCAGACGGGTAAGTGGGTTCGCGTGGCTGCGTTTCCCAAAGGAGGGCAAAGCGCGCGCCTCCAAGGCATCCCGGGTTCCTTTTTGAGAGTCACAGCAGACGGTGCTCTTGGGGTGGAGAGGGGCCACCTCCACCCCATGGGGCCCCTCCCCGTGTCCCTGGTGCCGTCCCATCGCCCTCTTGTCGCGGGGCAGCAGGCTGCGAGGGAATCCGCATCCTGGGGGTAACCACAGGCGTGTGACCGGCACTGGGGAATGAAAACCTACGGAGGCAGCGTCACACCCACTGCCTCTGTGGGACACCGCCTCGGAGTGGCTGAGACGGGTCCGCAGGGACATCTGTCGCTCTTCTTCGTTCACTGCTCAGTAGACGAGCGTTGAACACCGGCTTTGCCAGACCCTGCCGGGCCCTGGACGTACCCCGGGGATCGGGTGCCGCTGACTGGGGTGGGGGTGGGGGCCAGGTGACGGCAGCGGAGGGTGACGTAGGTCTGCGTGAGTCAGGGTGGGGTGATGCTGGAACAGAGGGCCCCAAAGCCTCTAGTAGGGTTGCCCGGGCGCCTCCATCTTGGTCACTCATTTCCAGGTGCGCATGCGGCCCGGCCTGGTTCGGAGAGCGGGCCCCTCCCCGTGGGCTGCACCGTCTGCTAGCGCCTCAGCGGGCCCTGGCCTGCCAGTCGTCCCTCGGGCCGGCTGCGGCGCAGGGGTCGCGCGGGAGCTCGGCTGGGCGGTGGGCCTGCTGAGCAAGCCCCGCCGAGCCAGGAGCCGGAGAGAGGGGACCTGGGTCTGGGAGCCCCCGCACTCTGCACGGAGGGGTGTGGGGTGGCAGGGAGGGCGGGGCAGGGAGCGTGGGGTCCTGGCAGAGAGCACTGCCCTACTTTCCAGCAAGTTGCTGAGGCCAGAGGGTGCAGGGGGGGCTGCACCCTATCCAGGTCTCAGCACCAGATCCCCCAGGGCCTTGAGTCCATTTACGGGATTTAGGGCTTGACTGAGTTTTGGGAGGACCATCTGCCCCTCCCCGCCGTGGAGGATGGTAGGGAGGAGAGGTGCCTGAGGCAGGGAGACCAGGGAGGACCCAGGACAGTGGTGGCCTGGGCCAGGGGCGGTGCTGGGCTGGCTTGGAAGGATGGGGGTCGGTGCCGGGTTCGAGAAGCAGGGAAAGAGATGGAGTTGCTCGGCTTCAGCCCCAGCGCGGGAAGATGGCCATTCGTTCCCTGTGACTCGTGCCCAGGTTCAGGGCGGACATGTGGTGCTGGGGACACCCCGTGGATAAGCGACGAGTGGACTTAGGGGCTACTGCTGAGGAGAGGGCACTGCGGGGAGGGGGCTTGTCGGGGAGGCCCTGGGTCCCTGAGGAGCAGTGTTGCCCCAGCAGGTGGAGAGCAGAGCGCACAAGCCTGTACGGTGGGTTCAGGGAGCCTTTTCCCAGCTCCTTTGAGAGAGCCAGTCCCCGGGACCATAGGGCCTCCCTGCAGCAGCGAGCCTGCAGGTGGAGGGGCATCCGCAGGAGACACGGCGGGGGGCGGGGGGGGCGGTCAGGGCAGCTGGGGGGGCGCTGGCGGGGAGGGGCGGGGCAGAGCTGGGGCTGCCGGCGCCTCCCGGAGCTCCCTGCCCTGGACCCACCTGAGTAGGAGGAGTGGGGGGCGGGAGGGTGGTGCGTGTGCCCGGGCCACGGGGGGGGCAGGCAGAGCTGGCGCAGGTTCAGTCCTGCGCTCAGCACGGCGGCTCCCTGACATGAGTTTGGTCCCACACCTCTGCTGAGGGACGCCCTGGTCCCTGTGTCCCTGTGGTTTCAGCCCCTCTTCTGTGCAGACATGAGCTTTCTAAGCTGGCGGCACAGCCACGGTTAGGGTGTCCCTACCCCCAGGAGGCGGCTCTCCTGGGACGTGTTTCTGCGGCCTGTGGACGTCCCCTCCGCTGTCCTGGCAGGCGTCCGCGGTGGGGCTCCGCGGTGGGCCCGCTGCCGGTGAGGCCCCCGCTCAGGAGCCTTTCCTTTGATCTCGGCTTCGCGGGCGGGTAGCCAGGCTGCAGCTGGGCCCAAACCCATGTGCCCTGCAGGGCTGACTTATGTTTTCTTTTTTAAGGTTTTATTTACTTTTAGAGAAATGGGAAGGGAGGGAGAAAGAGAAACATGGATGCATGAGAGATACATCAACCAGTTGCCCTTCATTGGACCCCAGAGAGGGACCTGGCCCGCAACCCAAGCCTGTGCCCTGACTGGGAGTTGAACCGGCGGCTCCTTAGGTTTGCAGGCCGGCGCCCAGCCCACTGAGCTGCACCAGCCAGGGCGGAAAGCTGACCTATTTTTATTTGATTTCTCAAGAGGCGCTAAGTGCAGTGACTGCCACTAATTACCCTTGTGGCCGTCCGCCTCTCAGCCCGAGCCTGTCATGCGGCTCCCTGTGGCTGGCCCAGCGGGGACCTGGGTGCGTGCTCCCTGGGCAACCCCTCTGGGCCGAATATAGTGACGCGGCCGGCCGGGCTGGCTCTGCGCCTGGCGGCGCGACGCGCGGTGGGTGTCCCCGCCCGCGCTCACCGCCTCGTGGGGCTCGTGTCGTCGGGAGCCGGCCCCCCCACGGGGAGGGAGGCAGCCTCGCGGGGTGTCCCCGAGCAGCGGCGCCACTCTCCCCTCCGTGCCGGCAAGCCTCCCAGCGCTTTGAGCGTTCGGAACCCTTCGCTCACCGTAAACGCTGAGTGTAGAAAACGCGGGCGCCGATGGAGCGAGAGGGAAGCCGCGGCGCCGGTACCGCCCCTCCAGGATGGCCGCAGGCCTGCGCTGCAGCCTGAGCTTCCTGGGAGCTTTCCTAACTCTGTCGGAGCCGGGGCGAAGGGCCAGGGCCGGGCCGCCCCCACCGCCGGCCCGGCAGCCCGGGTCAGCTCTGACGGGCGTTGTCCCGAGCCGCCCACGCCAGAGGTGCACACAGGGCGTGAGCATGGCGAGGACAGGTTCTACTCAGTGGCTGTGACAGCAGAGAGGAGCTGAGTGTCCTCCAACCTGTGCGGAGGGGACGGCAGTGACGGTCGGAGGTGGGATCGCAGGGGCCAGTGAGGGCCCCGCCCTGCGGCCAGCGGGTCGGCTGCTACTCCCGGAGGTTGGGACTCTGCCCTCCCAGAGACGGGGCAGCCCATCCTCCCTCAGGTGGCACCTCAGAGCGGTGGCCTCAGGTCCCTGGGGGGCACTTGGGGCGGAAGAGACACGTGTTCCCAGCGGTGAGGCCTCCTCAGCCACTGTGCTGAGGAAGGGAGGGCAGGACAGAGGCCCACGGCGGCGGCGGGCGGCACTTTCTCGGGCAGGCCCTGCAGGGGCTGCGGGCCCTCCAGAAGCCGGCACAGTTTCTGTCAGCCCTGGAGCAGGGCTCTGACCACAACCTTAGGACCGAGAACACCAGTTCTGGGCCACCAGCCCTTGCCAGCCCGGGATCTGGTCCCCAGCCCCCCGACACCTGGCCGAGGGGTGTGCACTGCAGAGAAGGGGCTGGCGATTTTCTTTAATGGGGGTGGAGTCCATACAACTTACATTAACCATTTAAAATGGAAGAATTTGTGGCATTCGCAATATTGTGCAACCGCCACTTCTATCTAAGAAAACATTTTCAAACCCTGACTTCTGGCCGAGGTGGTGGTGGAGGTGGATATGCTTCGCTTCCTCACACAGCCAAAGGGAGGACAACAAATTTAAAAACAACCAGCTAGAACGGCCAGAGAATTGAACTGTCTGGAAGTCTGACAACCAAAGAATTAAAGAAGAAACATTCACCCAGACCCGTAGGAGGGGTGGAGACGGGCAGCTGGGGCAGGGAGGATCGCCGCAAGGTGGCCCTGGAGGACCGCGCGGGGAGAGGCGAGGTGGAGGCTGGTGGGCCAGGCGGTCCCACGTGCATGTGCAGATGCACCAGGATGAACAACTGGGGAGCCGGGGAGCAAGACAGACCACGCAACCCAGGGCTCCAGTACGGAAAAGAATGTCTCAGAACCTCTGGCTGTAAAAATCTGTGGGGGTTGCAGTGGCGGGAGAAACTCCCAGCCTCAAGGAGAGTCCATTGGAGAGACCTGTGGGGTCCTAGAACATACACAAACCCACCCACCCAGGGATCAGCACCAGAAGGGCCCGATTCGCCTGTGGGAAGTGGGGGAAGTGACTGAAAGCTGGGCGAGAGCCGAGCACGCGGCCCCTCCCCCACCTGCAGCGTCACAACGCAGCAGAGTGGGTCCCCCTGCCCTGGGGAGCACCTAAGGCCCTCCCCCTTACAACGTCACAGGTGCGCCAAGCGCCGAGACAAAGAAACAGGGCCCAAATGAAAGAACAGGTCAAAACTCCAGAGAAAGAACTAAGCGATGAGGAGAGAGCCAACCTGTGAGATGCACAGTTCAGAACACTGGTGATCAGGACGCTCACAGGAATGGCTGAGTGTGGTCGCAAAATGGAGGAAAAAGCGAAAGCTACACGAAGTGAAATAAAGAAAAATACACGGGGAACCACCAGTAAAAGGAAGGAAACCGAGACTCAAATTGACGATGTGGAGCAGAAGGAAGAGATAAACATTCAACCAGAACAGAATGAAGGAACAAGAATTCAAAAAGCTGAGGAGAGGAGAGGAACCCCTGGGACACCTTTACACCCCCCAACATGCACATCACAGCGGAGCCAGAAGGAGAAGGGGAAGAGCAAGAAATCGAAAACTTACTTCAAAAAATAATGAAGGAGAACTTCCCTAATCCAGCCAAGGAAATAGACTTCCAGGGGATCCAGGAAGGTCGGAGAGTCCCAAAGAAGTTGGACCCAAGGAAGCACACGCCAGGGCACATCAGAGTTACATTCCCCAAGATTAAAGATAAGGAGAGAATCTTAAAAGCAGCAAGAGAAGAGAGTTACCTACGAAGGAGTTCCCACAGGGCTCTCAGCTGATTTCTCCAAAGAAACCTTGCAGGCAAGAAGGGGCTGGCAAGAAGTACTCAAAGTCATGGAAGGCAAGGACCTCCATCCAAGATCACTCTGTCCAGCAAAGCTCTCATTTAGAATGGAAGGGCAGATAAAGTGCTTCCCAGAGAAGGTCGAGTTAAAGGAGTTCATCATCACCAAGCCCTTATTACATGAAATGTTAAAGGGGCTTAGCTAAGAAAAGAAGACGATCAAAAACTATGAACAGTAAAATGATAATGAACTCACAACTGTCAACAACTGAACTAAAAAACAAAAACTAAGCAAACAACTAGAGCAAGAACAGAATCATAGAAATGGGGATCAGAGGGTAAGGGGAGGGGGAAGAATGGGGGGAAAGGTACAGGGAATAAGCAGCATAAATAGTAGGTACAAAACAGGCGGGGGAGGTTAAGAACAGTGTAGGAAATAGGGAAGCCAAAGAACTTACACATACGACCGTGGACATGAACCAAGCGGGGAACGTTGGAGGACAGGGCAGTGCAGCATGGAGGGGAATAGAAGGGAGAAAAAAATGGGACAACTGGAATAGCATAATCAAAAAAATATACTTTAACAAAATATGCCCTGGCTGGTGTGGCTCCGTGGATTGAGCGCTGGCCTGAGAACCAAAGTGTTGCTGGTTAGATTCCCAGTCAGGACACCTGCCTGGGTCGTGGGCCCTTCAGTAGGGGGCATTTGAGAGGCAGCCACACATTGACCTTTCTCTCCTTTTTCTTCCTCCCTTTCCCTCTCTATAAAAATAAATAAATCTAAGAAAGAAAAGACAACAATCAAAACAGGAAAAAAAACCCCTCCCCACCCGACTGAAACGCCGTCAGCCGTCACCCACCACCCCGAGCCCCGGGCGCCCCGTGGTCTGCTGTGTGCGCGGATTTGCCGGTCCTGGTCGGCACAGCTCCGGGAAAGGCCGCTGTCTTTCGGCCCCGCGTGATGCCCTGTGCCTCTGTCTTTGCAGCTGCTGACTACAGGTCCATCCTGGGCATTAGGGACGAGGCGGCCAGGGTGCGGGCCCTGAACGCGCACCTGAGCACGCGTAGCTACGTGCGGGGCTACTCTCTGTCCCAGGCGGACGTGGATGCGTTCAGGCAGCTCTCGGCCCCTCCGGCGGACGCGCGTCTCTTCCACGTGGCCCGGTGGTTCAGGCACATAGCCGCCGTCCTGGGCGGCCCCCGCGGCGGAGGCGAGCCCTGTGGGCTCCAAGCAAGTGAGTAGCAGGGCGGGGGTCCTAGCGGGAAGCACCTCCGCCGTTGGTGTCACCTCCAAGGTCAGGGCCCCTGCGCAGGGCGTGCGTGTGTGCGTGCGTGCGTTGGCCGCGGCACCCTCGGGGCTGGCTCCTGTCACTGCGTGCAGGCAGGTGTGGTGTGGTGGCCGGCCCGCGCCACCTGAGGGAGGTCAGGGTGAAGCGTGCCCGGCAGGTGCGGAGCCCTAAGCGCGGGCCCGGGTCCTGGCCAGACGTTCTCAGCTAGTTCCTTGTCCAGTGCGGCTTCGACTAGGTGCTCTTTGTTGTTTCCATCGGAGGACAGTGTGGTCGTCCGCCTGGTTGGGAAGGGTTAAGTCCAAAAGCAAGAGTGATGGACATTGAACTTGTGAAAAATCAGGAATAAGTCGCTTGTCGGGTTTGAGATGAAACCAGCCCGTCAGAGCTGGTATTCCCATGGCAGCACGGCCTCGGCTGTTTCTGGGGCACCCCCACCCCCAGTTCCTAGGTGGGGTGGCTGCCTGCTGCCCCCGCTGGTCCCACTGGGGCTTCCCCAGACGCCTTTGCGCGTGCTGGGCTGTCCGACTCCCACACTGCTGGCCCGGGCCGCTGCAGCAGGCGGGGTGGGGCAGTTCGGGGGAGGGGGGTCCAGGTAATCCCGTCCAGGCGCCCTTCCCCAGCGGGGGCCCAGAGCGACGCTGCGTAGGCCGTCTCCGCCCTGTGCGTCCAGCATGGCGACCCAGGTGGCATCTGCGGTGTCAGGGCATCTCTGCAGGGGCTCCGGCGTCAGGCTGTCCCCGGGGCCCCAGCTCCCGAGGCGCCGCCTGCGAGGTGTCCCGCGGAGCCAACTTGTGGAGAGGATGGCGGGGACGCGGGGCGGCACTCACGCCGTGACACGGGCTGGCCCTGCGTCCTCCAAAGCTGGGAGGGGCGGGCCACTCGAGGCGCATTGCTGTGCGGTGGGCGAGCCTGTGCTGGAGGGAGTCGGAGACGGGAGGGAGGCGCCCTGGGCCGCACGAGCAGGGGCGGGGGGGGGGCCGTTTCCTGCCTCCCCCCTTCCCACGTCCCGCCCACCAGTGCCCGCCGGGCCCTGGGGACAGCGTGCCTTGGGCCTGCGAGCCGGGCCGGGGCCAGGCCGGGGCCGGGGCCGCGGCCGTCCGCCTGTGGCCTGCGGTGGGCCCCGCGCCCGCGGAGTCCGTGCTGGTGCCAGGACCGGGCAGCTGCCCGTCTCCGATGGCCCTGGCGTCCTGTCCTGGGAGGGAGCGCATCTCCCAGCCCCTCGCGCTCCCCCGCCCCAGCGCGGCCCCTGCTCCTCTCTGGCCCCCCGGCGCCGGTTGGTCCTCATTGCTTGTCACTGGCCCCCTGCTGAGCCCCAGTCTGAGTCCCTGTGCCTCCCGCATACCCTCTCCCCACCGTCTGTGGCTGTGTGGACCCCTGGGACACAGAAGTCGGACCCTGCTGCTGCCTCGGCCCCGGCCCGGAACGTGGGCCCGGCCCGCTGTGCTCGAGGCCAGCGAGGCGCGCGGGGAGCATGGCTCCGAGTGGGTCCGGTGTGGGAGGCTCCGGGAGCGCGGGAGGCTTGCTCCTACGGGGGCCCTTCAGCGCGCGGGGAGACCGCGGCGTCCATGGGGTGAGGGAACGTCCATGTGGTGGGGCCCGGGGTGGCGGCTGCCGACTGCCCCTTCGGCAGAGGACTCTGTGCGGGCCGGGCTCCCGTGGGCCGGGCGCCAGCAGTGCGGCACGGCAGCCCTTTGGGGAGCTCAAGCGCCAGGTGCCACCCCGCCCGTGTCCTGCTAGCTGGGGCCCTGGGCTGTGCCCGCCGCCGTGTCCTGTCAGCAGCTGTCAGGAGTCTTCTTGGATGAGGCTCCAGTCCTGGGACCTGAGTCCCCCCGCTTAGCAGGGCTTTTGCTGGCCGTCTGGGGGCCCCCAGGCGTCGCAGGTGGCAGCGAGGCCGTCGTCCGGGAGGTACAGGGCTGAAGTGAGGGAGGGGCTGCCGGAGGGCTCAAGCCGCCGCCGTGCCACCGCGTCGGCCGGGCTGAGACTCCTGTGCGGCGCGTTTTCCGTGAGCGGAGGAGACGCCCTCCAGACGGCGGTGAGCGGTTGAGCTTCTGGCAGGATGGGGGCTCCCCGCCGGGCGCTGGAACTGCGGCGCCAGTCAGCTTGCTGGCGCCCACCTAGAGCGAGGAGCTCCTGCCTGGCTCGCGCTGCCTGTTTCCCTCCGCGGCTGCGTGCTCCCCTCCCCGCCTGTGCACGCACGTGCATGCGCACATGCGCACACGCACACACGCACTCCGCCGCTGGCCTCCTCCCCTCGCCTGTCACTCCCGTGACCGACCGTGTGGTTGGCGCGACCTTGGGAAATGACCAGGCCCAGGGCTGACTTCTCTGTGACTCCCAGGGAAGCAGCCCGTGGTGGCCCCTTCAGTGTCTATCCCAGGGAGGCCTGCAGGGCGTCACCGTCAGCAGGCCGGTGACAAGAGAGAGCCCTGTGCCAAGACGGGCAGAGGCCGGCAGGGCATGGCTGCCGGCAGCCTGGTCGGGACGCTGGGGGACAGGCGGCGGCCAGCTGCCCCTGTAGACCCGCCCCAGGCGGCCACACGCAGGGTGGAGCAGGCACGAGGCTGGGCGGTGGGCGAGGACTGGGGGGCAGCGGGGGGCGGGAGGAACCCAGACGCCCCCGGGGTGCGAGGCACCACCTTCGGGCGGTTCCTGGCCCTGGCCGAGCCACGGCACCTGGGGCTGTCGGAGCAGGGAGGCCTGGGGAGCCGTCTGCCTTTCGCCCGGCGGGAAGCAGGGCCCGGGTCTCCGAGCAGAGGGGCCGCCTGAGCCCCGGGGCGCGGGGAGCAGGGGGCGGCGGCGGGGAGCGGGGCTGCCTGGAGGGAAGCGACTGCACAGGGCAGGGCTCCTTGCGCTGCGGCTCAGGCGCCGCCCTGGCCTGTCCCCATGGCGGCCAGGGGCCCACGGGAGCTGGAGGCCACAAGCGCCTGTGTCACAGTCCTGTGGCTGCAGGACGGAGACCAGGATCGGTGGGGAGCCGCTGCTCGCTGCCCACGGCTGACGGAGACGAGGGCTGGCAGCTGTCCCCACTGATGCCCCGTGGCCAAGGGCCAGCAGCGGTACCGGTCCCGGCCTGGCTTCCACTGCGCCTGGCGCTGTCCCCACAGGCGTCCCTGGGAAGCTGTCCTCTGGGGGTGGGCAGGGCACCGGAGTTACATTGCGCCCCAGTCCAGTGCGTGGCCCGCCTGTTTGCAGGGCCCATGCCTCTTTCTGACCCACGAGCCGTGTCCAGTGCAGACACGTGAGCAGGAGGACACGTGTGTGGAGGGCAGGGGGGTGGATGGACGTCCTCAGCCCCGCTGGGTTTCGAGGTGGCCGTGGGATTCGCCACAGCAGAGAGGGTGAGCAGAGCTGGGTGGGGCCGCGGTGGGTTGGTCAGGCATGGGCGGTGCTGGCAGATTCAGTTCTTCAATGGGTGTCTGGCTCGACGTTGTGCCTCGTCTTGCTGGAAACAACCTCCCCGTTGTGAGGAGAGGCCTCCAGCCCAGCGACCCGGCTGCTGTCTCCACCCTGCAGGTAAAGGCCGGCGGGCGCAGCCCACGTGGTCCCCTCCGGCCGGGTCCGAGCCCTGCAAGCTGCGCCTGTACAACAGCCTCACCCGGAATAAGGTCAGTGGGGCTGCGCGGGGCAGGGGTGGGGCGGCTGCAGAGGGGCCCCGGGGGCCCTTCAAAGCTCAGAGCTGTCTGTCTGTCCTTTCGGGCGCTGGGGTTCCGCAAGCCCAGCTGTGAGACCCTGTGGCGCCCCTTGTGCTCTGTGGGGCCCGGGCGGAGCCATGTCTGACCCCAACATGTGCACGGTGTGCCTGGCAGGGAGGCCTGCCCGTGGCCCGCCACGGGGCATCCCCGCGGAGCCCTTGGGCCCTGCCCGAGGTCATTCGGAAGCGCTCGCGGTCATTCGGAACTGAGCCACGTGGCCGCCTGCTGTCCCAGGGGCGCACGGCGGCAGCCGACGCCACGGTGTGCGCCGGGCTGAGCACCCAGCATGGATGAGGGTGTGGAGTTGTCGGGCGAGGAGCAGGTCACTCGGCCCGGCCAGTGGCCAGCAGTACGGGCCGGTGGGGCTTCCGTCGCGAGCCCGCTTAGAGGACGGGCTCCCCGCGGGGCCGGCGGTGACGGCGGTCCCTGAACTGGCCGCCACAGTTGAACCGTTCAGCAAGTGGGGGGCCGAGCGGCTGGAGCAGGGCTTGAGTCGGGCGGCCTGTCCTCTGAGCCGGCTCCCGAGGGCGCAGACCCTGGGCGAGTGCTCAGAGCCTGTGTGCGTCTTCAGCTGTGACAGGGAGCCGGCAAGGCCCGCCCCCCAGACCGCTTCCGGGGGCCAGTGCAGGCGCGTCGGCGCCGCAGCTCATGCCAGCACGCACTGGGCGCTCCGTGGATGCCGGCCACTGCGGGCGAGGGATTGGCCCGTCCTCAGGGACAAGCGCTCGTTTGCCGCACCGCCCGCTTCCGGGGATGCGTGGACTCCCGGGAGGAAGAGGCCTGGGCACCCAGGGCTCCTCGGTTTCCAGAAGGTTGCCTTCGAGAGTCTAGTGGACTCTCCGCTGCCCAGCCTTGTGCCTTTCTCGAACACAGCGGCCCTTGTTGAATTGGGCTTAAAGTAAACGGTGCCGTGCCGGGCATCACTGGCTTGGGGGGTCCTGTTCACCGCAGCATTTCTTGTGACTGTCGCTCGTTCGTTTCTAACAAAGGACGTGTTCATACCTCAAAATGGGAGGAGAGTGACGTGGTACTGCTGCGGGCCCACCGTGTACGATGCCTCTCACATGGGACACGCCAGGTAGGGCCCCTGCCGGGCGCTGGACGGGGCCCCGGGAGCCTCCCGCCGTGCGGATGTCCCTGACCTGCCACTGAGCCCCGCCGTGTGGAAGGAGAGTCAACCTGGGATGGGACTTCTCTCCTTAAGATGAAGGCTTCCTTTCCACCAGCCACCCACGGTCACTGGGAACAGTAGAGGACCCTGAAGCCCACGAGGAAGAACGCCCCTCGGCCTGCTGCCAGTGCCCTGGGCCGCGCGCAGGGGGTGCTTCCACGCACCGGCGTGGTTCTGCGCAGCCCGTGGCTCTGCTGGGAGGGCCGGGAGGCCCACGGCAGCCGCGGGGGGGGGAGTGTGCCAGCGGCGGCTGCCGCGGGACCGTTTCCTTGGCGCCAAGGTGGGGTCTGCCCTTCCTCCCCTTCAGGTCTTACATCTCCTTCGACATCCTGAGAAGAGTGCTGAGGGATTACTTCAAGTTCGACGTCTTCTACTGCATGAACATCACAGACATCGATGACAAGGTAGAGGGTCTCTGAGATGGCGCTTGCAGGGAGCGACTTTGGGACAGGCGAGCAGACGTCGTGGGGCCCGCGCCAGCCCGGCCGCCCCGGGGGACGGGGGCCCGAGCCCTGGGCTTGCTGGCCTCCCGGCTGAGGCAGGTGGTGGCGTCCTGTGTCCCGACGTGTCCTCGCTGGTTAAAGCGGCCCGTCCGGGGACCCCGCAGACCGCGTGGTCGCGGAGGGCCCTGTGGCAGCATGTGCCTTGCGCGTGGCGTGTGGGGGACGTGGGGCCGGCTGCTTTTCTCGGCGGCAGGAAGGCCGCGGTGGCCCAGGCCCAGGCGGCCGTGCGGGAGCCGGAGGGCGCTGTGCGTGCTCTCGGGGCCTGCGCCGGGGCCATGCTCGTCCCTGTGCGGCCGCACCTGCTGCCCGGGGACGCGCTGGGCTCGGCGGGCGCCCACCTTGCCTTCTCCTCCCAGATCATCAGGCGGGCCCGGCAGAACCACCTGTTTGAGCGGTACCGGGAGAAGCAGCCGCGCGCGGCCCAGCTCCTGGAGGATGTGCACGCCGCCCTGGAGGTGGGTCTGCCCCGCACCTGGTCAAGGCCTGGCCGTTCGCGCGCCGCTGGCCCCAAGCAGGGCTGGCCTCGAGCACGGTACGGAGGCCAGGCCCATCAGGGTCCGCAGGCACAGCCGCCGGGGCAGACACGTGTGGACAGCGGTGCGGCGTGGGCGGCTGTCCCGCCACGAGGGGGAGGCGTGGGTGCGGCAGCGGGCCGCCCGCCTGCACTTGCTGTGAGCTGCTGCTGACGGTGCTGTGCAGTCCGCCCTCCCCCGCCCGGTCGCCGCCCAGCGACCGCTCTGGCCCGGGTGCAGCAGCGGCCGGGCTCCCTAAGCTGCGGTGCTGGGAGTCTTCACAGCTGTTAGAAGACATGGGTTGTTTCCACTGTAATGTTTTATGTTGAATAAGGAGCATTACACGTTGCTGTGTCTGCCGCCTAGCGAGACTGGCATAAGTTGTTCATTCTCTTTAATAGTCACTGTCGTTAGTAATTGCAGTAGTAACTGCTGGTGTGCTTGGGGCATTTTATTCTGGAAAAAGAAATGGGAGGAAAGTCGGGTTTAGTAGTCTTTCAGGCCAACGAGGGGAAGGCCCACATGGCTGTGGGCATTTCATGATGGCAGTGCTGATGGAAACTCCCGTGTCACTAGGTGGCGCTGCGTCATGCCTGGCACAGCCTGAGGTGACGTGCTCCCACGCCCATTCCACGCCAGACACACAGAGGCCGCGGTGGCGCGCAGCCCGAGGCCTGTGGGGCGCGGCAGCCCCAGGACTGCCTGGGCCCGGGCTCCCAGCCCCCGCCCCGCCTGCACTGGGGAAGCTGGCACGACTCTCTCAGGGACACAGACAGCGCGGAAAACTGGCCCTTCCGGGCTGCGTGGCCCCGTGGACGGGCTGCGGGAGCCGTGGCTCACAGCTCTGCCCTGCCCCTTCTTTGCAGCCGTTCTCCATGAGGCTCAGCGAGACCGCGGATCCTGACAAGAGGCAGATGCTGGAGCGCACCCTGCAGGCGGTGCGGCTCGCCGTGGAGCCGCTGGAGACGGCGCTGCGGACGGGCCTCGCCGCCGAGGATGTGGACAGCCGGGCGCAGGTGAGCCCGAGGCGGCCAGGCTCGCCCCGCAGGGCTCGCCGCTGGGGTCCGACCCTGCGTCCCAGCCCGCGTGGCGGGCCAGCGCCCCGCCTGCGCCCCGACCTGTCCTGCCACCCCGCCTCCTGAAGTGAGGCCGGGGCTGCGTCCCCTTCCCTCCCCTCCTCTCAGACAAGCCGAGGCGCACTTGGAATGTGTGGGGAGCAGCCCTCCCTCGAAATTATCCCACGCGTGTCTGGTGGACTCCCCAGTATTTCTTAAGGGCAGCGCCTGGAGAAAGAGGGGGGGGACTGAAGTGGCCAGGAACTGGGGCCACGGGGGCCACCGGGGCCATGCGCCTGCCTCTGGAGAGGCCTCCCTGCCGGCAGAGGGGGGCTGGGCCACCCAGGGCCCCGGGCCTCCTCTCCCCGGCTCTCCCCTCCCGCACTGGCTGCAGCCGTCCCCGTCCACCCACCTGTCACTACGAGGTTGGCCTTCAGACGGTCAGGATGGCTCTTCTCCTTTACGCCGGCGCCCCCTGCTGGCCGCCCTCTGGAACCGCCCTGAAACTGGGACTCCGCAGAGCCCGCCGCCGCCTGCCTCCCCGCGTTGTTGGCCTCTGGTCGCCGCAGCGGCGGGGGGCAGCTCCCCCCGAGCTTCAGGGGAAGGCCGGGCGTCTTGGGTCTTGGACCGGCACTTTCCCTCAGGCGAGCTCCTGAGATGGGACCACACGGGGCTGACTGTGGGCACCAGGGCCCGCTGCTTATCGCTCCTGTTCCCTCGTCACCCACACGCTGCTGCGAGTTTTTCCCAGTTTCACTCATACTTGTTTTTAAAAATTATGCTGAGTGCACGCCTGCAGTGTCCTGTTAATTTACATGTAACCGCGCTTCCTGTGGCTGCACCCACCGTCTTACCTGTGGGCTGGAGATGGGCAGGCATCGCTGTGGTCCCCGCGGGTGATGCCGCCTGGGTGCCGGGCAGCGGCCCTTGGCGGCGGGCCCCGTGCCTGTCCGCACTGGCCTGTGACCCTTCTCAGGGCTGCGGCCGCTGGTCCTTTGTTGTTTACATGTGTTGCAAACACTTTTCCACAATCTGTGCCTTTTCTCTTCTGTTTTTTTTTTTAAATACAGGGGGTCTTAATTTTAATGCAATCCAACGTATGTTTTTTCCTTTGTACTTAGCATTTTTGTGCCTTTGGGAATCTCCCCTCTCCTGAAACATAAAAGATGCGCCTCACTATTCTTTCCTAAAGATTTGTAAGCGGGACACTTCACACTTGAGTCTGTGACCCCCGCCCCGAATTAGGTTTTGGTGCGGCCTCTGCAGGGGTGTGTCTTTTGCAAATACTCCCTCCGTGTCGGCAGCTTGGCTTTTCGATCTCTTGACTCTTGATGTGGTGTCTCCGGGGTGGGAACTTGCCGTCCCGGCGGAGCCCAGCGCGTGTCAGTTCTGTCCTTTCGGGGTCAGGCCTGTGGCGCTGCAGCTCGGGACGCGCCGCCGCCCCCAGCCGCCCCGCCCCCGGCCCCCCCACCCCCCCGAGCGGCCTCTCGGGTGCCACGGGGCCTGTCGCGCTCAGGCCTGTGCTCCGTTTGCAGGTCTTGGGATGTCTGGTTGTCCCGTGCCGCTTGTTGGAGAGGCTGTCCCCGCTCCCTCCTGTTGGTTTGGCTCTTTTGTCAAAGACCAGGGTCCGTGTTGGCGCGGCCCCTTCTGGGCTGTGTTGCGCCCCGTGGACCTGTGTGTCCAGGGAGCGCGTTTCGCCTTGGGGTGCTCACGTGAATGGCGCTGCCGCTTTGCCGCCTCTCCCACTCGGATGTGTTGGCACGTGGCTCTACGTCGTCCTTTGTGGTCTGGGTGCCCTGTGCTTCCTGGGCTCGTCTTGCTGCGTCGGCAAGGACTCCGGTGCAGTGTGAAAGGGGCCGTGGGAGAGGGCCTCCGCGCCCCGGGCCCGACCTTAGCCCGAGGCCTCGTGGGTCGTGAGGCGTGACGTTGGCTGTGGGTTTTTCCGGACGCCCTCTATCCATGCCGGGACCCCCCACCGTGTCAGCGGGCGGCGTTGCCATCAGGGGTGGCGGGCTCTTCGCATCTATCGATGTGATCGTGCATTTTTTCATGTCTGTTGAGGTGACGCTTTACGTGAATTCATTTTGTGATGTCGAGCCAGCCTTGCACACCTCGGGGAAACGGTGCCTGCGCAGGGCGCGGGCCTCTCTTAGGGATCCCGCCCACTGGCATTTGCTAAGGATCTCTGTGCGTCTGTCATGCGGCAGTGGGTGTGCGGCGTCCTCTGGGGCCCCTGACTTGGCCTCCGGGGCGAGGGAGGGAGTGTGCCCTGTGCTTCTGCCGCCAGAGGAGACCGTGGGAGACAGGCGCCGTTTCTTCCCTCCGTGTCGGGCGGGGTCACCGGTCTGCCTGGGCCTGGCACTTTGTCCTCTGGGAAGGTGCTGCCGGCTGAGCCGGCTTCCTCAGTAGACAGGGGCTTAGTCGGGTGATCTCCGTTCCCCTGTGCGGGTCCCGGTGCCCCGTGTCTTTCAGAAACGCGGCCCGTTGACCGAGGCCGTCGACGGGTGGGCACACAGCTGTTTGCTGCGTCCCTTTATTCCCCGGGGGATGTCCCTTGATCCGTGGTGACGCCCCTTCCTCTGTGTCTGGTGTGAGAGCAGCATTTGCATCCCCTCTCGTTTTTTCTCCGTTAGGCCGGCTAAGAGGCTGATCGGTTTCCCAGGCATTTTAAAGAACCAGCTTTTGCTTTTGTTGATTTTCTCTATTGATTTCTTGTTTTCTGCTTTAAATCTTAGTAGTTATTTTCTTCTACCTACTTTGGATTTAACTTCTCTTCTTTGACCAGTTTCTTAAGGTTCCTAAGAAGCCTAAGACGTCTAAGAAGTCTAAGATGATTGATTTTAGATATTTTACTAATACGTCCATCTGTGTTACAAATTTCCTTTAAGCTCTAAAAAATAATTGAAAATTTTTCTTGTGACATGTGGCCCACGTGTTCTTTAGAAGCGTGCCGTTCAGTGGCCGTGAATTTTGGGACTTTCCTGTTCCGTGGTCACTTTGCAGTTTCATTCCGCTTGGTCTGACGGCAGGTGCTCATGACTGCTGTCCCCGATGCTTGTCCAGCTGTGCTTTGGGGCGCAGCCGTGGCTGGCCCTGCCGAGCATCCCTGTGAACCTGGAGGCACGTGCTCCCCACGGCGACCGGGCCTGGCCTGGTGGTCCGCAGATGTCTGGCGTAACCAGTGGGCGCTCCTGCCGCCGCCTGCCCGTTGCTGAAGGCAGAGGGCGGAGGGCAGACTGGAACCCAGCTCTCGTGTCAACCTCCTGGGGGCGCAGTTGGTCCCTGCCGCACACACGTGAGGCCGTGACCCCAGGTGCTCGTGTGCGGAGGGCTGCCAGGTCTCCTTGCCGAAGGGGCCCTGCTCACTGGGCTGTTCTTTATCCCTGGTAACGTTCCTTGCTCCGATGTCCGCTGTTTGAAATTAATCATAGCGGCTCCTGCTTTCCGTTTTCTTTTTTCTTTCTTAGAAGAAAAGGGAGGCAGAGAGAGAGGGAGAGAAACATGGATGTGAGAACGAAGCATCGATTGGTTGCCTCTCTCGCAAGCCCCAACGCAGGACGAAACCCACGGCCCAGGCTTGGGCCGTGACCTTGACTCGAACCGGCCGCGACTGTTCAGTTCACAGGCCGGCGCTCCACCCGCTGAGCCACAGCAGCAGGACGGCCTTCTGCGTCTCGCGGGGACGGGGTGGCGACCCCCACGCCCCTGCGGTGCATGCGGACCCGGAAGGCCCCCTCCGCCACTGTCGCCGGCCGTCTTCTCTGTCCCCTCTGGCCATCCTGCTCGCTCTGGCCCCACCCCTCGGGAGCGTCGCCCCTGCCGGGCTCCACACCGAGGCCGCAGGCTCCCCCCGAGAGCTGGTGTCGCCGCCTCGCTGCGTCCGGCGGCGTTCGCTCCTGGGCAGTGCTTCAGCTCCATTTTGATTTCTTTTTTTAAACGCAGAAATTAGAAGTATGTTTTATGTTGTTTGTTTCCAAAAGGACAGCATTTTTTAGATCTACTGAGTGTTTTTCCTGGGTAACTTAACTGCCCAATGGCCCAGGAACATGGCCCCAGCCCCCGCTCCCCGGCCCCTGCCCCTCCCCTGGCTCTACGAGAGGGAGACCTGGGGCACGGCCTGCAGTGCCGCCCGCTTCCCAGAGGCGTGTCCCCCTGTGCTGGAGGAGATTCTGATTTTCTGATGGTTCGGTGCAAAATTCTACAAGCTGTGTAACAAGTCAGGCTTGTTAGCCATGTTGTTACTATTATGCTTATATTTGCTAATTCTTTCTGCCAGCTTTGCCTGTTCATGTGGTATTTGTTTAAAAAAAAAAAATCTTCCCCTCCCAGGGTGGGTTTGTCCATTTCTCTCTGTTCTATCACCGTTTTTATACATTTTGAGACTATTTAAGTAGGATATTCAAGCTTAATATGGTTATATCCTTGCAGGTGAATGGAATCTTTTTTTTCATCGATTGATTTCAAAGGGAGGGAGGAAAGGGCAGAGAGCGAGCGAAACATCGATTCGCGGTTGCCCTCGCTCTGCGTCCTTGGTCGGTTCTCGCCTGTGTCCCGACCGGGGATCGGACCCACAGCCTTGGCGTTGGGGGATGTCTGTCACTCTGACCACCTGCGCTTCTTGCCAGGGCTCCTGAATCTTTTCCTAGGCCGGGGCCCACGCTGTCTGTGAACCCTCCGCCCCACAGCGTGGGTCGCGTGGCCTGGACGCCTGCGCCCCTCCCCAGCCCCCAGGCCTCCTTCCCCGTGGCAGCGGCGCTCCGGAACCGCGTGCGTGTCCCCCTGCTCCGGGTCTGGGGGCTCGTCGTCGGCCTGTGGCTGGAGCACGGGGGCGGGAGCCAGTCGCACGCTGTGCCTTCGGTTGGCGTCGTCGGTCCGTAGCTGAGCGAGCTGCTTGTGTCTTCTGACCTTACCCCTGGGTCTCGGTCCTGCTCTCGTGCGTAGTTTTTCTCCTCCTGGCCTCTTGTCGGCAGTCGGTGCTCTTGGCTTCGCCAGGCCAGATGGTCCTCGTTCTGGTCTCCTGCTGCGTCCCCTCTCCCGGGTCGTGGGGGCTGTGAGGGCCCTTGGGCTTGACTGAAGCCCCTGACTTTGGCACTGTCTTTTCAGGATGCTGTTTTAAAGGGTGCTGTCCCTTCACAAGCCCCATCCCCTGGACATCGTCCTGCCCGCTTGCCTGTGCCCATTTCCCCGTCTCTCCTCCCTGTGGGATGGGCACCGTCCAGCTGGGGCTTTGGAGCTCAGCGGTGCCTGCGCCACTCGGCGAACCGAGCCTGGCAGCCGGGCCCGTGGCCGGCCGTGGGCGTCCCGTTCCCAGCAGCAGGCCCCCTAGCCACGCGGGAGTCGCTGCGCTTGAAACAGACCGGGTTCCGGCGTCGCCCAGGCTGTCCGGCCGAGACTCAGTCTCCTGGAGGGCGCGCCGGGGCGGGGCACACGCGGCCCTGCTGCCTGCGGGCCCGACCGGGAGAGGCCGGCGACCGCGGGGCTGACCACGGGCAGCCTCCGCGGCGCGGGTGGGACGCGCCCGCCGTGGGACTAGAAGTGGACTTGTTTCATCTCTGGAGCTGGCTTTGCTGGTCAGGCAGCCAACACCACGGCCACCTCCCCGGCGCCGCAGGGCTGGGGCCGGCCGACCTGCCCGGCCGCTGGGAGGCTCCCGCCCTTCCGGGTGCCTTTCGAGGTCGAAGGGTCTCTTCTCTCGGCTTCTTGTCAAGGAAGTTCTTGTTGTTTTCTGCCATTTCATCGAGACTTTGTAAGGGGTTTGTGTTCACTTGCCCCCAGGGTGTTTTGTGTGCTTTGCATCTGTGGACCGTTGCCTCCGTTTTGGAGGGTTCTTGGGGACCCTGCAGCAGCCACTGCCCCGCTCCCCCCCCAGACCCCAGGGTGGGAGGTGCGCTGCCTGTCCTTCGGGGGTCCCCCCGCCCCGCTCGTTTGGGTGACTCCGTCCGCTTGCCTCCCGTTCCGCCATCGTTCCCGTCCTGAGAGTGTGTTTGTCCCATTGGCTGACATGTGTCCTCACTGGACGCGGCCGTTACGGGAGCTCCCGCTGCTTGCGGGCCTCCTCCAGCCTGTCTTCCTCAGGCCTCGGGCGCCGGTTGCTTTGTATCCCGGGTGCCCGTCTCTGCAGACCCCTGCTCCCGGCGCTGTCTGCTCGGGCTGCCCTGACCCAGGCAGCATCTCATCCTTGCTCCTGGCCCGTGGTGACCCGGGACTGGAAACACACATGCCTGCGTGGGGGTGACAGCTGCCTCCTGGGAGCCGGGGTGCGGCCTCCCATGGCCCTTCTGCTCCCCACCCATGGGGTGGGTCCCTTGCTCACTTTCTGGCCACAGGCCCAACAGCCTGGGCCTCCCAGGAGCCTTCCCGGCACCTTTGCTGTGACACTCGGAAGCCAGAGGCCCCTGTCCGCCCCTCGCCGTGGGCGACGAGTGTGCCCGGCTGCTCCCCCGTGGCCTCGCTCCCACTCCGTCTCCTGCACTCCCCCCTCCGCCCTTTGTTCTTGCCTCCCGCCCCCAACGGTGGGCCACGCTTGCCCTGCCCGTCTGTGCATCCCCAGCACTGCTCCAGTTAACCTGCTGCAAAGCCTAGACCCCCCCGAGGCCGACGGCAGGGTCCCCGCCTGCAGGGCTCGGGCCACAGCCCCGACCGCCCCATCTGGTGTGCGGCCGTGCTGGCAGGGAACGTCTCCGGCCGGCACCGCACCGTTGTGGGCGTGATGTGGGGCTGCCGCCTTCGGTCACTGGCATCCGACTGTCCGGGCGACGTGGGCTTTGAGACCTTCCTCCAGGGCTGGGCGCTGCCCGTCCCCTAACCGCTGCCCGTCGCCCCCCGGGAACCATGCGTAAACACCCAAACGCCTGGGCTGTGCGTGAGCAGCCTGCGTGCGCCCCTGCCCCGGCCGTGGCGGCCCGGCCGCGGCGCCACCCCGACCCTCCCACCACAGCGGCCGGAGCTCCAGCACACGGGGCGCCTCTGACCTCGACTCCGGGGGCCGATGCCGTCCGGTGCCGAGCCGCCCCGAGAGCGCCGCCGGCTCGGGGGGACGGCGGTGCCGCAGGCCAGGGCCGTGCTCGGAGCGCCTGGACTGCGCAGGTCGGCTCGCCTGGGGCCACCGGCTCGCCTTGTGACGGCCTGCGCCTTCCTCGTCAGGTGCTGCTGGAGGAAGCGAGGGACTTGCTCTCTGACTGGCTGGACTCCACGCTCGGCGGCGAGGTGACCGACAATTCCATTTTCTCCGAACTGCCCAAGTTCTGGGAAGGGGAGTTCCACAGAGACATGCAAGCCCTGAACGTGAGTGGCGCGGGCCTCCCTGCAGCCGGGCGGGGGGGAGGGGCACGCGGGGCCCAGCGAGCTCAGGCCCGGCGCTGCCTCCGCAGGTCCTCCCCCCCGACGTGCTGACCCGCGTCAGTGAGTATGTGCCGGAGATCGTGGACTTCGTCCAGAAGATCGTGGACAACGGCTACGGGTGAGCCCACGGCCCCGCTCGGGCTGCGCCGCGTCGCCGGGAGGGTGCCGTGGGGCAGCAGCTCTCGGCCTGAGGGGGTCCTGGGAGCGGGGTGGCTGGGGCAGCTGGGGTGGCCATTACAGAAGCAGGCGCCCGCGACCGCGGGGTCGGCGGCTGGTCCCCGGGGGCCGCGAGGGAAGGCCTGCCCCGGACACCCTCCTTGGCCCGCAGATGGCCGCCGTCGCCGCGTGTCCACACGCTGTCGCTCCCTGTGCACGTGCCCTGTGTCTTCTCTTGAGGCCCGGCTCCTCTTGCAGGGACACCAGTCCTGCACACTGGGCCACCCCAGCCGCCGCGTTTCCCCTCGGTTACCTCTTCTCGGAGTTAGAACAGCCCCGTTCTGCATCACGGGGTTCGGACGGCACCATGCACGTGACTTGGGGCCCAGGGGCCCACAGCCCCTGCTCAGGCCTCTTTCCTCGACGCACGTCGTCCTCAGCGTTGGGGCTGCCGCGCAGAGAACCTGCCAGGCTTCCCCGGTGCCGGCGGCCACGTGAGCCGCTGTCATGGTGCAGGCACCCTCTCTTGGTTCAGGGCAGCGGGGAGGGGCAGGAGGGGGCGCCGGCTGCATGCCACCTGCCCCCGAGCCCCAGCCGAGGACCTGGGGCCGCCCCCGCCCGAGGGGGCTGACCAGCCCCGTTGTCCGCGCCATGGCCGGCCCTGGGGACCGTGTGAGGATGAGAGGTGGAGAGAGCGCTTGTCCGGGCGTCCGAGGGAGCGCGCAGTGAAGGCTGGCGGCCACGGGCCAGAGCGGCATGCGGGCGTGCATGGGCACTGCCGGTCGCGGCGGCAGCAGCCTGGCGCACGCACTTTGAGAGGGCTTGTCCACGCGCCGCCTCCCCAGGCGGGCCGGTTTCGCCGGCTGCTCCGCGCCTGGCTGGGCTTGCACCGCACGCGGGCCCTGCCCCGGGCCGGCCGCTCCGGCACGTCCTGGCTGCGTGACGCACTCCCCGGGGCCGCAGGGCTAGCTCTTCCAGAACCAGCCCGCAGTGGAGGCACAGAGGGAGTCCTGCGGCCCCTGCCCCAGAGGCTTGCTCCCCCCTTTGCGGGGATGGGGGGAGGGCATGCCCAGCGTGGGTGGGGGCAGCGCGCGTCTCCAGGAGCGAGGAGGCCGCCTCCTCTGCCCACTTCTGTTGCTGCAGGGCAGCGTGAGGCGCGTGCACACTGAGTGGCACGCGTGCGCCTGGCCCAGGGGGGGAGGGGACAGGTCGCTGCCGGCTCCAGGGAGGCAGACAGAGAGGCGAGGGTTTGTTACCCAGGATGCCGTCCAGGGTGCGGCTGTCACCGAGGCAGGGCCGGGGCAGGGGGGCCCCATAGGCATGGGGCGCAGGGCGTGAAGCGGAGGGTCTGTGCAGAGGGACACGCTGCCTGCGGGGAGTCACCTCGCCACGTCCTGCTCGGCCCTCACAGCGCCATGGGGTCAGGGGTCGCGCGTAGCAGCGGGCGGGCCAGGGTCGGGGTGGGCTGGGCCGCGGCCTGCTCCCCTCTGGGTTTCCGGTCCTCGTCCTCTGATGGCCCAGGGCTGGATCTGGACCTGCCATACCCTCCCCGGTTCCTGTTTTGTTCTCCAGCTACGTTTCAAACGGGTCCGTCTACTTCGACACGGTGAAGTTCGCCTCCAGTGAGGGGCACTCGTACGGGAAGCTGGTGCCCGAGGCCGTGGGGGATCAGAAAGCCCTGCACGAGGGGGAAGGTGCGTGGTGGGCAGATGGGGTCGGGGGGGCGGGGGGCGCTGTGTGTGCGTGTTGGGGAACCTGGAGCTGATGGACAAGAGTGGGCGGGCTGTGGCCTGGGTGAGGAGGTGCAGGCCACCCCAGGGCTCGGCAGGGGCTCCCTCGGCGCCCGGGCGCCCGCTTTGGGGAGGTGGAAGCCCAGGGCCATGGGGCCATCGGCTTGTCCCGCACAGGTCCCGACGGAGGCACAGGGAGCGAGGCCACGCCAGGAGCGAGCGGAGCTGGGAGCAGGGCAGTGGGCACCTGCCGCTGCTGGGGCGGCTCGGGGAGGTCGCGGGTCTTCCTGGGCCCGCTCTGAGCGGTCGCTTTATGAGGTGTCCTGGGAAAAGCAAGGGGGAACGTGAGGCGGAAATCTGAGCACAGGCCCTTCTCCAAACGTCCTGCCCTGGGGGTGAGCTGGTCGTCCCGTGTGCGATGCCCAGGCAGCAGCTCGGCACGGCTGCTCCCTCATCCCAGCCCGTGACGGCAGCCCGGCTCCCTGCCCCGAGCGTTGCAGATACCGACGCAGGCCTTTTCTGCACCGGGTCGCGTCATGTGTGTCTTCCGCAGCGTTTACTCTTGTCACCAAGTGATCTGGGGGCGAGGCACAGAAGCAGCAGCCCTGCGGGGCGGGAGCGGGGGCCCCCAAGGCCAGCACGCGCGCTGCATTTCCCACCAGTGTTTCAGGAAGGCAGCTTGACCCCTAAAACACCTTTTGACCAAGTAACTTCACCGCCAGGGTTCTGTTCTAAAGATGTCCCAGAACTGAAAACGGAACATTCAGAAAAGACAGACCACGTCGGTTTGGCAGCGTTAACACGAGATCCAGCAGCACGGAAGGCTGAAGACGTCCGTCAGAGTAGAGGCGGCGAGTTCATTCTGCTCAAGCCCCCATCCCCCAGGGGACCAGCCGTGGGCTCACGCCAGGCAGCAGGACCCCCACGTCCCTGGCGCCGTGGGAGCGGACACACCCCCATCCTCAACGGGGTTGACACGCTTCTTGGAAATGGATACAAAGCAGGGGTGGGATTGAAGTGCACGGTAGCGGCTGCGGCCTGACAAGACCAGAGTGCCAGCCCTGGGACCGAGGACGGCCCAGCCCTTGAGGGCCCGCGCGCAGGACCGTGCAGTCTGACCGCGATGAATGAGCTCCTGCTGTCGACACCGAAGGGACTCGTGGAACCGATGGGCCTGGGCCTTTCCTGGACACGCCACCAAACGTGAAGAAGCAGGGCCTTGGCCCCGCGAAGCCACCGCCAGGGCCCGGAGGCCAAGGGGCAGAGCTGACAGGTGGCCCCGCCACAGGCAAAAGGTGCGCATGCCACGTGCCCTCCTGCAGCCCGCAGGGCGCCCGGGGGCAACGGGCTGACCACCCCACCGCGGTCCGGCTCCCTGCCCGCCAAGCCAGCCTCACGGGAGGAAGACAGGAGACAGCCACGTGCTGTGTTCGCCAGGGCTGACGTGCACCAGGCAGGCTGTGGCCAAGGTCAGCGCCGGAGCAGGCCTCCTGCAGAGAGGAAGCCGTCTGCGCCCGTGGCGTCGGCATGGAGCCCAGCTGGCCAACCTAAGTATGAAACTGTTTCACTGTGAAAAGAAAAGAGAGCCTGTGCAAACCCGTGCGAAGCCGCTCCTGAGGTGCGGCAGGAAGAGGCCCGTGGACGGGATGGGGTGTCTACACAGCTGGCAGCCAGGGGCCGCGTCACTGGAGTGGGGCGCAGGGGTGACAACCAGAAAGGGCCAGGAATCCTTGCGGCCAGTGCCCCGTCCAGCAGCCGGAGGAAGGGCGGCGGTCCCGGGATAGGAAGGGAAGACAGAAGCAGAGAAGCAACAGGGAAACAGCTGGGCCTCCACAAACGCACAGAGAGGAGGGAAACCTCTAGCAAGACTGATAAGTGAAGGAGAAGGCTCGGGATGCACGAGGTCAAAGCGAACTGGACCGGGCGTGCGGGGAGTGTTCCAGGAGGAGGCTCTGAGCGTCCGCACTGCCTTCGAGACTCTGCGACCGGAGCAAACGGGAAGGCCAAGGGGTCGGCCCGGCCTCTGACAGTCACGTGCACAAGGAACCTTCCAGAGCAGGGAGCGCACGCAGCTGCATGGTCAGTCCCGCCATCGCACCCTGGCTGGCCTCCTGAGCAGCGCTTGTTCTGGTGCCGTCTCCTCCCAGGCTGGCTCTGGAACCCAGCCACGTTCCAGGGACGGGGGGAGGGGACTCCGTCGGCAGGCAGAGGGACGAGGGGCATGCACCCTGCTTCAGGACATTCATTTCCACGCGCACCCGGTGGGGACACCCGGCCACGTGACCCCCCACGGCCAGGAGCGTCGTCTTCCACCTACTTGGCGGGGCTCTGGGGCGCGGTGGGCGCTAGCGGCAAGCCAGCCCGCTCATCCCGCTGAGCGCCGCGGGAGCCGGGTGGCGGCGACAGGCCCTCCTGACACGCCGGGTCGCAGAGGGGGCGCCAGAGGCAACGGGGAGACCAGAGGTGACACCGGAGGGAGAGGAAGAGGGCTGTGTGACTTCTCTCAACGAAATCTCGAGCAAATACCCGTGTCACCAGACAGTGACATTCGGTGAAGGCGGCGGGGGCTGTGCAGAGCGAGGCCCTCTGCTGCAGAAGTTTCCGAAGTCAATTTTTAAAAGTCAGACATTCAGGAGTGACTACGTTCATAACGAAAAACGGAAGGCCTAAGTGTCCGTCACCGGTCGGAGGGCAGCTGCAGGAGAACGTCGGGGGCCGCAGCGGGTGCGTGAGCGGGCCCGGTGAGCCGCCGAGACGCGAGAAGGTCGGTGGGAAGCGGGCAGCGTGCGCCGGGCCGCCGGCGGCTGCGAACTGCTGCTCCCGACTTCAGAAAGCCGCGGGCTGCCCGTCGCGGCGGCGGGACGAGGAGTGTGCCGTGCCTGCAGCTGTGGCCCGGCCCTTTCTCCTGGCTCTTCTCTGCACTCAGAGCGTCTTCTGACCACGAGGCTGGGGCTCGCCCGCAGCGCCCCTGTGCCTGCCTTCCTGAGGGTGGGAAAGGGGCCCTATGAGGCCGCGGCGACCCGGCACCACAAACGCCCTTCCTGTTCCAGGGTCCTCCATGAGGGGGCAACAGCGCCCAGGAAGGGCCTGGCTGGACCCCACCCGACTCGGCGTGGGCGGCGGCCCTTGCTCTGCCTGCTCCCCTACTCCTTCCTGGTGACCACGGGGCTCTGCGTGCAGGCCAGGCTGCCAGGCAGGCTTTTGTTTTCCTGGCACCGAGTGTCCTGTGGGCTCGACGCACGGCCTGCAAGTCCCCTGTGCCGATCGTGCACCCTCTTCTAGGGATGGTCACCTCTCATCCTCGCTCCTGCCAGGGGCCCGGGCGGCCAGTGGTGCCTCTGGGGCCTGCAGCCCCCGCCCTGTCACCTGTCAGCTCCGTTTATGAGCACACGAGGGTCACCGAGTGTCCGGACCTGCCGCCCCCAGGCCTGGGAAGCCGCACACAGAGGCTTTGCCGCTCCCCACGCTGCCCAGGTCCCCGGCTGAGTCCTGCAGGCCATGAACACGAAACCCCGCCGCTGAGCCAGGGTCCCCGAGGCATGCCCGCGGGCTGCCACCGACGTCACCTCTCCTTAGACCAGAGCCCGTCGCTTGCCATAGGGCTTTGGTGGGGGTTTGGGGGACAAGCATCCAGTGACGAGCAGGTGCGGGCCAGGCCCACGGCCGATGGCCCTCAGACAGGGCCAGTGACCTCCGAGCGTGGGAACAGGGCTCCATAAACCTGGACGCTGGACGACGCCCTGTCTGGGCAGAGTGGCAGGGAGGCTGCCCAGCCATGCGGACACACGGGCATTAGTCAGGGCCGGCCAGCGGAAACTGCTGGCCTGGGGCCCTGGCCGGTGCGCTCAGCTGGTTGGGGTGCCGTCCCGTGCACCAGGAGGTCGTGGGTTCGGTCCCGGGGGGGAGCTACGGGACGCAGCCGCTTGGTGTTCCCCTCCCTCCCTCCCTCCCACTTCTCTAAAAAGCAATGAATGAGGTGTCCTTGGGTGGGAATAAAAAAAGCAGTTTTTTAACTGGCCTTGAAGTGAGAAGGTCGCGCCCGTGAGGCTGCGCTGAGCGGCCCCTCCCCTCGCACTGTCTGCAGGCGACCTGAGCATCTCCGCAGACCGCCTGAGCGAGAAGCGGTCCCCCAACGACTTCGCCCTGTGGAAGGCCTCCAAGCCGGGGGAGCCGTCCTGGCCGTGCCCATGGGGCAAGGTGAGCACCGGGAGGGCGCGGAGCCTGCGGGCGGGATCAGCGGGCCCGGGCCGAGCCCTTCGCTAGCGCCCTGCTCGGTCCAGCACCACGGGCTGCACGGGCCTGCAGGCGGGGCGCTTCCTGCGGCCTCCCGTTGCCCGCCTTGCAGTGGGGGTGCGGGCTGGAGGACCCCCTGGGAGGCCCTGCGTCCCGTTGGGCCTGGCTTGGAGTGTCGCAGGCTCCCCGCAGCGAGGGTCCCCAAGGCACAGGCCGCGGGGACCGCACAGGCGGGTCCCCTTCCTTTTCCAGGTGGAACTTAACCCTTTCCCAGGAAAGCGCCGAGGTCTTGGGGGTCAGGATGTTGGGGGTGAGTGAAGGGAGGCGGGGCCGCCTGGTCACCAGGCCGTTTCGTCCCCAGGGCCGTCCGGGGTGGCACATCGAATGTTCCGCCATGGCGGGCACCCTCCTGGGAGCCTCGATGGACATTCACGGCGGGGGCTTCGACCTTCGGTTCCCTCACCATGACAACGAGCTGGCACAGTCGGAGGTAGGCGTGTCGCCTGGGTGGGCCTGGCGTCCCCGCCGGGATGGGGTGCCCTTGGGGCGGGGGCTGGTCAGGGGCTGCCTGCGTGGAGCCGGGTACCCCCATCGGGGATCTGTCAGCAGGCGAGCTGAACCCTAGCTATTCAGGCCCCCTTCCCACGTTAACAGCCCGGTCTCTGGCAACAGACAGGCCAGGTGTGAGCCAGTGTTACCTCCCGGCTGGTTGGCCCGGGCGACCCCTCTGAGCCCCAGGGCCCACCCAGAAAAGGCAGCCCCCCGCCCGCCCGCACAGTGGGGACGGGGAGATGCCCGGCCCGGGCTGCGGCTCAGCGCCCCGCCCCCGCACGCAGGCATACTTTGAGAATGACCACTGGGTGCGCTACTTCCTGCACACGGGCCACCTGACGATCGCGGGCTGCAAAATGTCCAAGTCGCTCAAGAACTTCGTCACCATCAAGGATGCCCTGAAGCAGCACTCAGGTAGGCGCCGGCCGCTCCCAGAGAGCAGACACCGTTTCCCTTGGACGCGTGGGGCCGGCCACAGCGCCCTGGGGCGGATGGCGGAGCCGCGTGCTGTTCTCTCCGCAGCGAGGCAGCTGCGCCTGGCCTTCCTCATGCACTCGTGGAAGGACACGCTGGACTACTCGAGCAACACCATGGAGTCAGCCCTGCAGTATGAGAAGTTCATGAACGTGAGTCCCAGGAGGGGGCCGCACTGTGCCCTGACCCAGGATGGGATGTGGGCACGGGCATGTGCGTGGGGGCAGGCAGCTCTGGCCGCTGTCCGGCAGCGGCCGTTGGAGCCCCCGGGAGGGCCAGGAGGCCGCGTCCGCGCCCCGCTGGGCAGGGTCGGAGCGTGCGGGCCCAGCCGGTGCCTGAGGGAGGGCCCGGCCGCTCAGCTGCGCCGCGTAGGCAAGGCCTCGTGTGTCTGCGTGCTGCTAAACGGGATTCTCTGACTTCAGGAGTTTTTCTTAAATGTGAAAGACATTCTCCGCGCCCCTGTCGACATCACCAGCCAATTTGAAAAGTGGGAGGAGGAGGAAGCAGAGCTGAACGAGAGGTGAGGCAGGGCCTCTTCCCTGGAGTTGCAGGCGCGCCCTGCCCGCCCCCGACCAGCGGGCCGCCTGGCCGTGGCGGCTGACACCCCGCGCCTTCCTCCTCTCGCCCAGCTTCTCCAGCAAGAAGGCAGCGGTGCACGCAGCCCTCTGCGACAACGTCGACACGCGCACCGTCCTGGAGGAGATGCGGGCTCTGGTCGGCCAGTGCAACCAGTACATGGCCGCACGGAAGGCCGCGAGGAGGAGGCCCAACCGGGCCCTGCTGGAGAGCGTGGCTCTGTACCTCACCCACATGCTGAAGGTGCGCGCACGCAGGCTGTGGCGGGGCCTTGGGGACGGCGCCCGCGGCGCAGTGCTGAGCCGCATGCGCTCTGGGCTGCGGTGCTGATTGGACGCATGTTGCGGTCCCTGCTCGCAGCACTGGATCGCGCCTCTGTGTCTCGGTTTCCCCTCCTGTCTGGTTCCGAAAGCGAAACAAATGGCCTTGACCCAGGCCCACGAGGCGCAGCAGCGTGCACCGTGTGCCTCCCTGCCGGCTGGGTCCGGGGCCTCCGCTGCAGGCAGGACCTGAGCGCGACCTGCCGCCTCGCCCTCCTGTGTGCGGTGGCGCATGGCGCGGACCAGCCAATGGGGGCCGGCTCCCGGGACCACCGCCTCCCACATACTTGTTTCTTTTCCTAGATCTTCGGGGCCATAGAAGAGGAGAGCACCCTGGGCTTCCCTGTCGGGGGGCCGGGCAGCAGCCTGAACGTGAGTGCAGCCCATCTCTGCGTCCCCTGTCCCCCAGGACACGGTGCCCCTGCCAGGGGCACCCTCCAGCCTCCACACCCGCTGCCCTGGTCCCTGTTCCCGTGCTGGGTCAAACCCGTGGACGCATGGAGACCGGCATCCGGTCCCGCCTGCACGGGACCTCCTGGACCTGGCTGGGGAGCTGAGCAGCGGCGGCCCCTCCTGCGTGCAGAAGGCCAGCCTCCTTGCTGGCCGCCAGCCAGGCCTTGTGCTGCTGCGCCATCTCTCGGCTCAGCCCGCAGACCAGACCAGCGGGCACAGGGCCAGCCCTCACTTAGGCCACAGCCATGTGGCAGCATGGGGTCCGGATTCTCGCGCGCCCGTGCGACCTGCGCTCAGATACTCGAGCCCCACGGTGAACCATCTGTCATGGGTTCTGCTCGTGGGAAAACTCACCAGTGGTTGCCATTGTGGGCGTGGCTGCAGGCCCACACGGCTCCCTCTGTGTGACAGCTACCACGTGACCAGGGCACATCCGGGTTCATCTCAGGCGAACTTCTGCCCTCCCGTAGGCAGGGATGCTCCGTTGTCAAGTGGTTGGGATGCGCATGCACATACTCAAGTGGGACGGCTGTCACTCAAACAAATACAGGGATCAGGCACAGCACGGGGGCAGGAAGGCCCGCAGCCGAGCTTACAGGCGCCCCCAAGCGGCAGCTCCGGGGGGAGCGGCACGTGCTGCCGTGGTGCCCCCAGACTCAGCCCACATCACTGTGGCTCCCGCCGGCCTGGAAGCTCGTCACCCTGCAGGCCATCCTGCAGGTGCTTCTTAGAAAGGAAGGCTGCAGCTGCTTTGGTCTCTATTGCCAGCAATTCTAGGTGCTTGTTATCTTTTTTAAAAAATCCCCCTAGGTTGCAGACAGTCTGCCTTTGGACTTTATTTATAAAAAGCTTTTCATGTTCACTGCCCCGGTGGTGATGTGCGGCCGGCAGTCGCTGTGGCTGCGGGTCCCCGGGACCTCTGTGGGCCACAGAATGCGCTGGGCGAGCCTGCTAGTCCCTGCCACTGGAAGCTCATGGGCTCACTTCCCCTCCTGGACTGTCCCAGGAGCCACGGAGGCAGCCCCCAGATCGTGAAGCAGCTCGGCACCGAGCGGCCCACAGCACCGGCACGGGCAGCTGGAACGCTGGCCGGGGCCGCAGCCGCGAGAGCCGCCGTCCCTCCCTGCACCCGGGGCCCCACCCCCATCTTCCTGCGTGGGGGCAAAGTGCTGAGACCCCAGGAGCCCGGGTCCTGCCCTGCGGGGACACGTCCCCGCAGCCAGGTGCAGGGTCGCCCCAGAGAGGCGCAGGCCGCACTGAAGGGTCGTCAGCCTCGCCTGCTGTAGCTTTTTGTTGTTATCTTGGCCGTGGAGCTGTCGAGTGACCTAAGAGGCCAGAGAGACCCGGCTCAAAGGCTGGCTGAAAATACGGCAGGTGTAACAAAACCATTTTTTGGAAGCTGTTACTTCTCTGGCTTGGATCCGCCCTCTCCAGCAGTGCTGTCCCAGCAGGCTTTGCGTGGTGTGGCCGTCCAGTTTCTGCCGCTGGTTCGCGGGACAGTAGAGGGCGTGCATGAGGGCAGCAGGCAGGGCAAGCACACAGCTGTGTGGACCAGGCGGCGCCGAGGTGCCGGCCCGGTGTGGACACGGCTGCAGCCCGGGGGAGCGGGTCTGGCCTGTCAGGAACTTCCCGCCCAGGCAGGTGCGTGTGGCCAGCGAGGCAGTGTTTCCACACTGGCCCCTGCCCCTAGACAGCCTGCAGGGCGCCCCCCCCCCCACCGCCCGCTGGATGGCACAGGAGGCCTCCCTGCGCTCTCTGCCCACCCCCCCGCCCCGGTGCCGGGGCTGGTGACGCGGCTGTGCCACGTGCGCACTGGACTCGGGTGCGATGAACGTGAGGGCCCTCTCAGGAAGGAAACCCTTCTCTCCACAGCTCGAGAGCACGGTCATGCCGTACCTGCAGGTGCTGTCGGAGTTCAGGGAGGCCGTGCGCAAGATCGCCCGGGACAGGAAAGGTGAGCCCGGCCGGCGGCTCTGCTCTGGGCGGCTCCTGCCCACTCAGCACTCCTGGTGCTCGGGCCGGTCCTTCTCTCTTGTGGGGACATCCTGGGTGCCTCTGGGACTTAGATTGTGCTGCCCTGGCTGCCGTCCCCAGGTGGCCCCCATGGGCCCTCCTGGTCCTCGCAGGCCACCGCCTCCCTGAGCAGCGGGTGAGGCCGGGCCTGAGTGGAGCCAGTGAATGCCACTGAGGTGGCTCCTGGGGCCCACCCCTGCCCCCGGCCTCCGGCCCCCCCATTACCCTCGCTGGGCCAGGGTCTCGGTGAGAGATGCTGGCAGCTGCGGGGTCACCCCGATCTCCAGGGCTGTGTCTGTCCCCAGAGGGCCACCTCCCCCGCTGCAGCCCTGTTCCGGCTCTCGCCAGCCTGTGGGTGCTGGCAGCCATGGTGGCGCTGGGCCGGGTGGCCTAGAGCAGTGTGAAGGGAGGGGCCCTTCCTGGACTTCAGGGCAACGTCGGGGCTCAGGCCCACAGCCAGTGCGCCCGCGGGGGTCTGGGTCCCGGACGGGAACGCGCTGCCCCTGCCAGGCCTGCCGTGCATCCTCTGAGCAGGGTCCGGAGACAGGGCCCTAGGGGACCGCCCTGGGGGCGAGGACCCAGGCCGGGCTGGAGGCTCGGGGACACGCACGCCCCGCGGGTCCCAGAAGTCCCTGAGTTGCTCCCTGTGCCCCCAGTCCCTGAGGTCCTGCAGCTCAGCGACGCCCTGCGGGACAACATCCTGCCCGAGCTTGGAGTGCGGCTGGAGGACCACGAAGGTGGGTCTGCGCGCGGCCCCCCGGGACGCGTGGCGAGGAGCGCGCACGGGCCGGGCGGTGGGTGGGCCCCGTGTGTGCCGGGGCTGCGGAGTCCCGGCCCCGGAGCGGCCTCCGGGGGGCGGCCTTGCCCTCCTGTTGTCGCAGGGTCCTCGCCCGCACCTCCTCCGTCCGAGGCGCCGCGGCGTCCCCTCCCGCAGCCCAATGGCCGTTGCTCGTGCTGGGCCACTGACCGCCTTGCCTTAGGGCCTGTCACTTAGGAGACAGCCTGTGTCCCATGATTGCCAGCAAGGGTCACAACTTGTCTTTCCACTTTGCAAAGAAAATTACTAGCATTTAAAGGTTAAGATGGCGCTCTCACTCGCGGCTTCCGGGCTTTCTGTCGGGAACAGCGAGGAAGGGGCCCCGCCCTGCTTTTCCCCAGGGGCCCCTTGGGTGCTGAGCCGGGGGGGGCGGCTGGGGGCCGGCAGGGAGGCAGGACAGACCCACACCGGGCCTTGGCTTCCCTCACGGACGCTTGCTCTTTAGGACTGCCGCCTGTGGTCAAGCTGGTGGACAGAGAAACCTCCCTGAGAGAGAGAGAGGACAAGAAGCGGGTGAGCACAGTGCGAACAGCCGCGCCCACTGTGCGCTGGGGACGCGGAGACCCTGGGGTTGAGTGCTTTGCCTTCCAAGGGCCAGGGTCTTCAAAGTATGTTCGATGTGATACTTGAGAACATGTTTATTGGTTGTGAGAAGGCGGAGGAGGAACGGCCATGGGGCGAGCGGGTCACCTGTTGCCTGCTGTGCGCACCCCAGCCAGGGTTGAGCCCGCAAACCAGGCCAGTGCCCTGACTGGGAATTGAACCCGCGACCGTTGGTGGCCTGGGACATGGCCTGGCTGGCTGCGCCACCCGGCCAGGGCAAGAGGCAGTTTTATGCTTGTATTAAAATCCCAGGGTTTGTAAACGCCAGAAGGAAAAATTAACAAGGTAGGTAACTGATTGGCAAGTTGGTGACAACAAAAAGATTTTCCTAATGAAGAATTGTTTTTTAAGACATAACTCCCAGGCTCAGGGGAAAATCGCCACTTTGAGTAAGTGGTGGAGCCAACAGGCTTGGCCGGACCTCGCTCCTGCCTGAAGCAGCACCGCCTTTGTTGCCAGGGTGGAGCCGCCCTCAGCGCCGCGGGCAGGCCGCACGCTCCGTGCGGGGCCTGCGTGCGGGGCCGCCGTGCGTCAGCACAGCCCCTGCCCTCCGAGACCTGAGCGTCCCACGAGGGGAGGCAGGAACACGCAGGACGTGTCAGAACTGCTGGGTGCAGCTCGTGTGCCGCCCGTGGGGACACAGCTGGCACGAACAGAGGCCCCTGACCTCCCCGCGCTGCAGGAAGTCGGGGGCAGGCCCCGTGGGAGGGGCCCCGTGGGGAGCGCGTGTGGGAGACCAGGAAGGGCCTCGGTGGGCGCTCAGGAAATGGCGCCCCGGGGCTGGCTGGGCAGGCACGGGCCGGAGAAGGGCTGTGCCAGAGGCGGCGGAGCGAGGGGCCGGGGCGCCGGGGTGCTCCGGGGAGCCGCCTGCGCGGCCCCTGGGGCTGGGGCTCCCGCCGGTGTCCGCCCAGGGGACCTCCATTTCCGTCACATTGGGCCACCCCAGTTTTGTGTTGCGCTCTTGCCTCTCCCGGGTGTCAGCCACAGCGTGAGGCCCGCCGAGACCTGCCACAGAGGGGACACGGGGCCAGCTGTGCCTTCTAAGAAGCAAACACACAGCGGCGGTCCTCCTGCGGCCCACGGCCTTGGGGGCAGTGTCCCCTTGGCAGCTGAGCCTTCCTGCCGATAGCTCGAGGGGCAGGCCAGGGGGCCATGCCCAGCCCAAGGAAGCCCCCGGGTGCGGCCTTCCCACCAGGGTCCCCAGCTGCAGGTGGCAGGGGCACCCGAGGCCCTGGCATCTCCAGGCCACTCGGGCACCTTGTCACCACACCCTGGACCCCCGCCCCCGGCAGATAAACCAACACACCCTGTTCAGAGGGAGAGCACACTTTTGGCACCTCCCCAGCTCCAGCCGCCCCGCCAGCCTCCTCCAGGCAGCGGGCGGTCTCCACGCGCAGCCACGGCTGCTGTAGGCCTCTCTCGGGACACTCCCTGGGCCCCAGCCTGCCTGGGCCCGACTCCTGCATGCGGCCACCTGGCCGAGAGTTCCACCGGGCCGGGAAGCCCCTTGCAGCCCAAGATGTCTGAGAGGGAGCATGTGATTTCTATTCCCCAAGCCCGACTCTGCCCCCTGCCGGTGGCTGCCGGTCTGTCCGCGCAGTGACATGAGACCGTCCCTAGGTAGCTGTGGGCCTCCGCTCTCGGGCACCCAGCCCTGCTGGCTCCTGGCCTGCCTGCCCTTCCCACGCCCCCCCCTGCCCCCTGGGGCGCCGCCTGCCGGGCGGGAAGTGGGCCTGCAGCCACTCCTGCGGCCCCTGCCCCGCTGCCCTTCGCCTGGGAAGTAAAACCTGGGCTCCTCGCCAGCCCCTGCTGACCCTGTCCCCTGTCTCGACCTCCCCAGGCCCTCCCCACGCTGCCTCTGGTCGCCTGCCGATGGAGCCCCTCCCCAACCCGTTCGCCCGCTCCTTGTGCCTCGGGTCCCCTAGCGATTGATTGTCGTTTGTGCAGAGCAGGGGGGCCCGTCACCCCCGCATGCTGGCCATCTCTGTGCACAAGGGACGGCAGGGGCCCTGTTGGCCCCACCTCCGATCCAGGCGGGGCCGGGGGAGGCCTGCTCATGGGTCTGTGCTCTGTCCCATAGGCCGAGGAGGAGAGAAGGAAGAAGAGAGAGGAGGCCGCCAGGAAAAAGCAAGAACAAGAGGTAACGCACATGTCTTGAGGGGGTTCAGCCTGGTGCCTCCTGCTCTCTGTGCCTCCATCCCCCCTGCACGCCCACCCGGGCCCTCCCCACACTCCCCACGGGGCAGCCGGGAGGCCTGGGGGGCGGGCGCCCCGGCGGGGGAGCGGCCTGTGACAGGCACGCGCTCCCGGGCGACGTCTGTAGTCTTCGCCCCATCGTGACCGGCCCCGTGCTCCCATGGGAGAGCGCCCGTCAGGGCTCGGTTGTCCCCTTGCTCCCCTCCACCTGCCCAGTAGCCTCTGGACCTGGATCCGGGCGCTGGGCTGGGAGTGGGCGCGCGGCCCCAAGAGGGAGCCCGCGTGGACTGCGTGGTGCTGACCGCGTGCCTGTGTTGCAGGCCGCCAAGCTGGCCAAGATGCGGATCCCGCCCAGTGAGATGTTCTTGTCAGAAAGCGACAAATACTCCAGGTTTGATGAAAATGTAAGAGCCCCTGTTTGCTTTTCAAGACTGTGTGAGACTCATTAAATTGGGTAATAGCAGCCATCACCTTGGGGAGCAGATTTTCTGTCTGGAGTGCAGTTGGGAGGGAGGCAGCATTCTCGGGCGCCTGCGGTAGGTCCAGTGCCCGTGGCCGCCTCCCTCCACCGCCGTGGCCAAGCCGAGTGTGGCTGCCCGTGAACTTGCAGGGCCTTTCCCTCAGCTGGCCAGGTGCGCCCGCTGCCTGAGCTCTTCATGGGCCGTTCGCTTTGTTGGAGACCCCAGGCCCCTCTCTGCTCGCTGGGTGCCCCTGCTCCACAATGCTGAGCCGGCCACGCCAGAACCGTGGGCGGCCCGGCCCCCTCGGCGGCTGGGACGGGCATGCGGACCCGCATGCTGGGCCCAGAGCGTCACAGCTCGTGGGCACCCGGCGGGCACGCCAAGCCAGAAGCCCGGGCTCACGGGGCCTGCGCCCTCGGTGACAGCTGTGCTCTCGCCTCTCCAGGGCCTGCCCACACACGACGTGGACGGCAAGGAGCTGAGCAAAGGACAAGCCAAGAAGCTGAAGAAGCTCTTTGAAGCTCAGGAGAAGCTCCACACGGAGTACCTGCAGATGGTTCAGAACGGGAGCGCCCAGTGACCGGGCCGGGGACTGCACGGGCAGCCCGAGCCGCCGGCCGCCGCCCTCTCTGCAGCAGCAGCGACGGGGCCGTGCCCCGAGCCTGTTCACGGGGACCCTCGGCCCTGGAGCCTGCTCCCGGGGCCACGCCGCCACCGGCTCTGAGACGGCAGCAATAAAGTCTTCCCCACGGCGAGGCCGCCGCTCTCTCTTTCCCTGTGCTCAGCACTGGGGCCGCGGCCGCTTGCTCAGCAGGTCACCACGTAGAGCCCTCTCCGCCCCCATGCCCAGCAGGTTGCTGTCAGCTGACCGGCGTGCGGGCCCCTGGGACGGCCTGGGGCAGGAAAAGGCGGCTCAGGCCGCAGGCCCACGGTCGCCCCACGCAAAGGCCTTTGTGTACTCGGTGGCCTCTGGTCCTTGTTCGGCTCAACGGGCGGGCCCCGGCCGCTGCCCAGCATGCTGGCCAGGGCCTTGCGTCCCAGGTCCAGAGCCAGGAGGTCTCCGCACAGCAGGGCAGCGCTGGACCACCACCCTTGCCACCCGCTCACACGTGCTTGACCAGGGCCGAGGTCGACCAGCAGACTGGAACGGGCTTGCCCAGCCCATCCCCGATTGCTGATCGCGGGGGTGCCGGCCGAGCCACGCCTGCCTCTCGCCTGCAAGCGTGGGGCCCCCAGTCGGCGCCACAGGCACCCCCAACCACACCATCCAGGTCCTGGGGGCTGGGGTGGCCACAGCCCCGTGGTGAGTTTGGCGGGGCCCCGCGTACGTACGCATGGCGTCCTGTGCCACTGCAGCCCCGCCAGCAGGACGCCGCCCGGAAGACGTAGCTGCACGGGGCGGCAGGATGAGCCTGTCAGCCGCCCCTCGGTGCCGCCTGGGAGCCCCCCCAGTCGCACGGGGCTCAGCAGCTGGGGGGCTGTGACGGGCTCAGTTTGAACCAGTGAGAAGCAAAGGCGCCCAAACTAAAGGGACACACTCACCCCAGTTACTGCGGTGCAACAAGCCACCTGAGCCGCCGTGGCTGGGGCAGCACGGGCACGTTGTCGTGGACTCTGGTGGGTCCCATCGGCGCCTCCCACCAGAGAGTCTGCACACGGGTGCCTGGCCCAGGGGCGGCCTGGGCGTGACCACCGGCCTGCCGCGCCCCCGGGGGTGGCCCTTCGCTCTCAAGGTGCCCGTCCCTAGGGAGACAGGCAGTAGGCCCTGTGGGGGGTATCGGGCCCAGAAGTCACAGGCGGGTGGGACCTCCAGGGTCCTCCCCCTGGAGGGGTCTGGCGAGGGACTGGACATACCACTGCCACTATTTCAAAAAGTGCCGCCTGCCACAAAGCAGTAAACTGGCCGGGAACGGGCTCCTAAGAGCGCGCTGTTTCGCTGCGTGTCTTCAGCGGGGCGTGTTCTGAGTATAAAGTCAGAGGACGTAGGGAAAATGGCCACACTGTCACAGGTGAATTGGGGAAAAAAAAACACATGAACTAGCACCTGATGTTTGAACGCTAGGTGTTCCCTGGCTGCGGGGACCGAGGGGGGACAGTGAGGCCCCATCCTGCTCCTCCGGGGCATGACCCGCCCAGGCCTGCTGCGGAAACACGGGGCCCTGGGCTGTTGGGACCCAAAAAGGAAGCTTTCAGACAAATGGGGTCACAACACAAGGACATGGGGACAGACGAGGGGTCCGACCGCTGACTGGATCGGAAGGCGCGGTGCCGGGTGGAATGCCAGCTTCACAGGCACATGCTGGGGGATTCCGTTCAGATGACACCCTCAAGGGGCCAAAGCTGGGGACGCAGAGCATGTTGGCGGCCGCCAGGGATGCCGGGGGTAGGGTGGGGCGGGTTGGCTCCATCAGCAGGCGGGGCGAAAGTTCTCCTCTCTGTGTGACACTGATTCACCTGTGACAGGTGTTTCTCCGCGTGCTGCCTCTTCCCAGAAACGAGTCAGCTCTGTCTTCCTGCTTCTCCCAGAGAGAAATCTTTGGTGTTTTCATTATAAAAATACCAGGTTATTTAAAAATCAGCCCTGGCTGGTGTGGCTCAGCGGATTGAGTGCCAGCCTGTGAGCCAAAGGGTCGCGGGTTCCATTCCCAGTCAGGACACAGGCCTGGATTGTGGGCCAGGTCCCCAGCAGCAGGCGTGCGAGAGGCAGCCACACATTGCTATTTCCCTCTTTTCCTCCCTCCCCTAAAAAAATAAATAAAATCTTAAAAAACAACAAGTACTGCAGGTACTTTTCAATCCTTGAAGAAAAGTTTAAAAACCAAATCTTGCAGAAAATTCCCAGGATAGAGACAGCATCCCTGTAAGGCCATCTTAGACCCTGTCACAGCTTGGGGACATCTCTGGACCCCTTCCTCCTGAGGTGCAAGGTCTGCAGGTCCGCTCGGAGCCTGCGGTGACGTTTCCTCAGCCCAGCACACTACAGGCCTGCGCGGTCCTTGCGGCTCCACACGCCTGTTTTGTCAGCACCTCCTAAGCCGGGTGCCGCCATCCTGTGGAGGGACGTCGGGGCGCTCGCTCTCTTCCATCCGCTCAGGGGAGCTGCCCAGGAGCGGCAGCCCTGCAGGGCCGGGCGGCAGGGTCTGGCTGTTTCCCAGTGGTGGGCTTGGGGGCGTTACCCGTCCCGTGTTTCCATTTCCTCCTCTGAAGGCGGGATGGTGACGTCTTCCCAGGACACCGAGGGGCCAGGGCGGGGCCGTTGCTCAGTGCGGCTGAGATGGGGTGTAGGGGTGTATCTGTCCTGAGCTCTGTCTAGGGGTGGCCGCTGAGGGAGGCTGGCCAAGGAGCCGAGAGCAAGGGCAGGGCGGCCGGGATGCCCCGCCAGGCAAGGGGCCGGTGGGGGATGTGCACAGAGGGGCTGTGACACGTGGGCAGGGTCTCGGAGCCGGACAGAGGCAGTGAGGACGCTGGGAAGACAAAACCCACACGGTGGCCAGAGGCCGTGGGGACCCCCCCCCCCCGGGTTCCGATCCCAGGGCTTCTCAGCCCTGGCCACGCTCAGCATCACCATCTGCGGACTCTGCGACAAACTGACCCACCCCTCCCAGCCTGCCTCTGAGCTCACGCGCAGGCAGTGGGGAACTATGGAAGGCCGTGGAGCAGCCGAGGGGCTTGGTCAGAGCTGGCCTGCGTGCTAGTGGACAGCGTGGAGGATGGGGGTGGCAGGGACCCCCCCAGGCAGGACAAGCTATGACCTCAGACCACGGGCATGTGGGGCCTTAGCTCATGAATGGCTGGGGCTTCTGGCTAAGGAGGAGCCCGGCCTGGCGGAGACCCGTCTGCGGGTGCCCCTGGCCGGGGTGATCAGAAAGGACCGCGTCCATAGAGTGTCTGGGAGGCACCGGGAAGACGAGGCCCCGGCCGCAGCCAAGCTCGGGTGTCTGAGGGCCCGGGACAGAGGCAAGGATGCGCTCAGGACAAGCGTCCTGAGGGTGCCACAGGAGCCTGCTCCTGCCTTCCGGGCGTCATGTGACATGGAGACCAACATCGTTGCTTCAGGCTCCTGAGTAGCCTGTCAGCAGGTCCCGAAGCCTGTGGTCCAGGGTGGGGTGGCGCCTTCAGACACAAGACCCCATGTGCCCAGGCAGCCGGTGGGGCTGCTGCTGGTGGCGGGCGTCTCGCCCGCCCCAGGTGGCTGGGGACACCGCTCGGACCTAGGACAGGGGAGCCGGTCCCTGAGGGGGAGGCCCCCCGGCGCTGGGCCAAGCCTCGGCCCTCACCCCGCTCCCCCACATCTCTGCCATGCACACTTGTGCCAGGACCCTCCCCCCCCCACCGCCCCGCACGCACCCCCCGCGGGGCGGGGCCCTCAGGCGCTCTCCTCAGGGACAGGAGCCGCCCTGTAAGTCCCAGAGCCCACTGTGCTGTTCGCCTCGCAGCCCCTGCGTGTGCCCTGGGCCCCAGCCTGCCCTGCACTCTTCCTTCTAATGGCGGGGGCGGGGGCACCGGCACGTAACCAAGCGAACGCGTCCGTGCTCGGGAAAGCCTGCACCAGGCGCCTCGACGGATGAACTGGGGGCAGGGGGTGGGGCGAGGGGGGTGTTCGAGGGAGGCCCCTCCCAGGAGGCGACCGCCCAGCTGGACCACGATGACCGGCAGGAGCCACCGGGGGAAAATGCAGGTAAGGACTTGGATCTCATTCGCAACCTCCAAAGGGGCCTTCCGCCCAACCCTGCCGGTCCCCAAAGGGGCCAAGTGTGGGCTCTGCCTTCCCAGGCCTGGCCTCTCTCTGGGCGGCGTCTGGGCCAAAAGCGGAACCAGCAGTTAGCCCTCCGGCCCAGAGCGGCCCTGGGCGCAGCGTACAGGCCCCGCGGCGGCCCCGTGGCGGCTGCCGCCAGCCAGCCATCCTGAGCGCGGGGGCCGCTGGGGACCAGGTATCACCTGGAGTGGGATGCAGGCTGAGCTGAGCACGGGGCAGACTTCTGAGGAGACCCTGGGGTGGGGGTGGGGGGACAGGGACCAAAGGATAGGTCTGGGCTGCAGCCCTAAGACCCCCTCCCCAACCTGTGTCCTCAGGCACTGCGTCCCCACGCTGGTGGGGAGGTCACAACACCCGACACCTGCACCAGGCTGACCGCGGGCCCAGGGCTGTTCCAGCTCTCCCCCAGCCCTACCGAGCAGGACCACAAGCGCCCCTGATGTGCAGGTGGGGGAAATGGAGGCACAGGCTCCTGGCCAGGGCCACCCAGCTAGGGTTGGGTACAGCAGGGATCTGGCCCCTGGGGCCCGGCCGGGGTACCTTTGCCCCGCTCTCTGCTGCGTGGCCCCCGGCCAGGACATCTGACTGCCTCACTGCCCGAGTGGCCGCCCCCAGGGAGGGGTGGGCCGAACCCTGGCTCCCGGGGCCTGTGTGCTGGGCATGGGAACAGGGCCTTCGCAGACGTTAACAGGACGCCATCAGGGCGTGTGCCAACGCAGTGACTGGAGTATCCTGGGAAAAAGACACAGGAGACCCAGGCCATGTGAACACGAGGGCCCCCACTGGGCCGCTGAGAAGCGCGTCTGTTGTGCTCTCTAAGGCCGGTGCTGGGGCGCTTTGCTGTGGGAGTTACAACAGCATTCCCAACACTGTCCCAAGCAGGCCCTGTGTGGCCCTGGCCGCCCACCTTCCCGCCCACTCCCTGGGGAGGTGGGCAGCCCTGTGACCTAGGGAAGCGACCCTGGGAAAGCCCCGCCTCCACAGCGAGTCCACCTTCCTGGATCACCCAAGGACCAGGCCCCGCTTCCCGCCTGCCCACGGGGCTGCTTTCCAAGTACCCCCAGTGTGGGGGGCAGCTCCCACAGGGTCGCCACCAGCTCCATGCCAACTGCACCAACCCCCAACATCTGGGTAGGGCTAGACTCCTCACCCCTCGTGGGGGGATCTGAACCTTTAGTAAATAGTAGAGGCCTCCCAACTTGAAAATGCGTTCTTTCCTTCCAGCTCTGCCCCACCCCGGCCAATTGCAAAGCAAGGTCACTGCAGAAAAATCCTAAGATCCAAGGGCGGTGAGTAGGAATCACACACGGCCTCGCAACACAGCCGCACTGGCGGAAAGGCCCAGAGGTGTGGATCCTGCCTGGGTGTCCCCTGGCTACCTTGAGCCCCTCAGCCAGGGGCCGCTGGATGGTTTCACACCCACCCCCTAAACACCACAGTTCAGGAAGGAACACGTTGCTGAAAGTTAGATAGAAACTGTTTCAACAGCAGCTCCACGCAAAGGAAAGTGTCTGAGAAACTTAACAGAAAGGAAAAAAACAAACAAATCCAGTTTCAAGTAGGGCATGGAAGGGAAGCCCCTCAGAAGCCGCAGCCTGGGGACGTGGTTTTCCAACTCAATGGTCACCCCACTCAAGTTGCTTTTAGTTCCGCGCTTTTCTACACGCCGTGAGGTCGCGCAGAAACGCGGCGGCAGCCGCGCGCGCCCGCCCGCCCGCATCGGGGCCGCCTGGCCCGCGGGGTCCACCCAGGCCATCGCCCGGCGGGGACGCTGAGAGGCGCGGGGTCGACGCTCCCCGGGAGACCCTGTGTGCGTAGGATGCGGGGGATGAGAGAGGGGACCCCACGAGCGCAGCCCCGGATACAGGAAGAGCGGCGCGTTACTGGGGTGGAGCTGAAGTGGAAGGGCAGGAAGGCCGCGGGGTCCGACGCGGGACCGGGAAGAGGGCGCTCCGGTGGGCTGCCCTCCACGTGGCCCCACGCATCCCAGTCACTTAAAGAGGCGGAAGGACTGCGGGCAAGCGAGCACGCGCCGGCGTCGCTCACTGTATTTGCATACGGCTCGCGGGTCTGAGCGGGGCGCCGCCTCTGATTGGTCGTCGCCGGGGGCGCCGAAGCTAGTTGACTTGCGCCGAACCAGCCCAATTGCAGCCCTCCTTCCTCGAGGAGGGCGGAGCCAGAGGGCTCGGCCAATGGGAGGCGGCGTTGTTGGCGGCCACGGCGGCGCAGTCCCAGGAGCGAGCGAAGCCACAGCCGCCGCCACTGCCGCAGGAGGCGTGAGGTGCGGACGCGGGGTCTGAGCTGGGTAACGGCGCGCTGGCGTGGCCGGCGGGACTGGGGGGCGGGGGCTGGGGAACATCTCCAGTGGCCGCGGCAGCAAGGGCGGAGCCCGGAGCGGCGGCGGCGGCGTGCCCGCCGCGAGGCCGGGCGGGGGGCGGCGGGCCCGCGGTTGAGGCCCGGCGGGTGGCGGGTGTCCCTTGCCGCTCCGTCCGCCCCCGGCGCGGCCCTGAAGGTCAGGAGGCGCTTTGTTCCCGCGCGGCGTCCGCGGAAAGGTGAAGGTCGCTGACCGGGGCCTTCCCGTGCCGCTTTAGCGAGCTGAGGCCCGGCGGGCTGGGCTCCGCTGGCGGAGAGGCGCGGAGCCGCCTGAGGGCCTTTGTTTTCGGAACTGGCGCTGCCCTGGAGGTGGGGGCGGGAGCGGGGCGCGACCTCGGCGGCTCGGCTCCGGACGTCTGTCGGCGGGGTTGGTTTGTTTACGAGGAGACGGAGCCCGCGCGCCGCTCCTGGCTGCTGTCGGGGGCCGTGGAGGAGACACCCCGCGCAGGGCGGGCTCGGGGCGCTGGCCGACCGGGCCGCGGGGCTGCTGCGCCGCCGCCTCCAGCCTCCGGGAGCGAGAAGTAGCGCCTTCCCCAGAGGCGGAGTGAGTCTCCCGAGCACGTTCCGGGAGGGAAAGTTCCCTGCGTGTCTTCCGGTTCGGAGGTGGCGGTCACGGGGCCGGCCCGAGGGCGGCGTTAAGCCCCCCAGCCTCGCTCCGGGCCGGGCGCCTTCCTGCCGCGGGGAGCGCAGCCCGCGGCGGACCCGCGTGGCTCCCGGGTGACACCCCCACGCGCCGCGGTCTCCGGGCCCCCTGCTCAGCCGTCCTGCGCGGACCTGGAGATCGGGGCTGGGGGAGCCTCTTTCGTTCAGGTGCTCCGAGTGCGTTGTTGGGCCTGGAAGGGCAGACGCCTTCCCCTAAGTCACCGCCTTCCTGCAGCGGTAACTGCACACTTGGGGCGGCGCCAGGCCGCGCGCGCGCCAGTCCTTTTCGAGGTCCCCGGAGGCTGTCCAGCGGGTGCTGCGGCTGGTCCGGGTGGCGCTTGGGGCCCCCCGCCGTGGCGGGGACGAGGAAGTTTTCCTATCGAGTTGTGTTCGCTTCGTGAACGAGCTGAGGCCGAGTGCACGAGCGCCTGGGCTTCCTGGCCGTGTCCAGCGTGCCCTCCTGTGGTTTCGCTAAACGCTTCCCGTGGTAGATTCTGGAAGCGGTTGCAGACCACGAGGAGCACAGACAAGCCCGCAGGTGCGCAGTGAGCCCGGCGGCGGGTCAGGAGGGTCAGGAGCGCCCCGGTAGGGACCCCCTTTCCAGGGCGGCCGGGGCCGAGACAGAAACCCCCCAGAAGCGAGTTTTCTCCTATTACGAGCTGTTTTGCTGGTTTTGGGACAGGGAGAATGATTTCTTCTTAGAGGACCAGTTGTCCTATTGTGAGGTTTGACACCATCTATTGAAGATAAGACCTTTTTGGTTAATATAAATATGACATCAAGACGCAACTTGTTAAAGAGCTGTAGCGACAAAGGGTCTCCTTCTGTAGATAAAATGGGTGTAGGAATTGTGACCTTCCCAAGTTTACTTAGGGACGCTTTCCCTAGAATTTCAGGGCCTCTTCTCACGGTATGACCGTAATAATTATCCTCTTTGCTTCGCAGTCCAGCACTCAGTCCGCTGAGCCACACCAGCCAGGGCTTACTCTCCAAATAACTACTGTTTATAATTATACGGGATAGTAATTATCTCAGCGCGGTAGTGCGGGTTTATGTGCATTTTATTGCACATGTATTTGCAGTCTTTTTTCTTGGTTCAGTGTCCTGCAGTTAGTTATCTGTGCCTCTGCATCATGACTTATAAACACTTTCCTGAGTTTTGTGTTGCTTTTCAAAGCAAGCTCAGGACAGTGATTGGAGGAATTACATAAATTACTTGGAGCAGCTGATTTTATCATTTTTGGTCTGATAGTCTGAGTAAACGGGATTCTAAAAAGGATACTTTTAGGATTGTTGGTTTGTAGAAACGCACAGCATTGTAGTCTGCGAGGTGGCCGTTATCCAGTTCTTCTGTGGCCACAGAACTTTGAGGTGAGGGTTTTATCTGCAGGGTGGGCCATAGTTTTCTAGAGATCAAGTACTCGGGGCTGGGGGGTGAGACCGGCCGCGGTGTGGGCAGGCCGAGGCCGGCGCCACGTGGAGCAGGGGCGCCCGCTGCTGGCCTGCGGGTGGAATGCTGCGAGCGAGGCGCCCCGTGTGCAGGCATCCAGCGGGAGAGGCCCGCGCCACTTCATGTGCCCATTCCACATTAAGTGAGAGTCCGACGACTTTAGAAATAGTGAGTAGCTGGTGTGCGCTCGCTGCAGAAGTTGGGCGGGAGGGCCTTTGCTCCCTGGGCCCGCCTCCCTGCGCTGCAGCTGCGAGATGTGCCCAGGAACCCACACACAGCGGCTGGGAGCACCCTTAGGAATGGGCGGTGGGAGTTGTGTTGGAAGGGTACACGTTTTTAAGAAATAGTTTGTGACGCGTCGGTTTCTACATTTTTCACTTGATGGGCATTAGTTTTCTATCCTACCCTCTTCAGAGAAGGCAGGGCTGCTTTACTGTGTCTGCCATTGAATTTTTAAATTCCATGAGCATTTAGTCACTGGAGAGGCAGTGCATTTTTGTAGTGAGAAAACAATAAAAGATCGCTTTGTGATCTTGACCTTTCCATCCTGACCGTGTGCAGCCTTAAATTTCCTCTTACAAGTATGCTGTGAGCTGCTGTAACTCCAGATACAAGGTGAGGTTTCCTCAGTAGTTTTATGATATATTATCCCTACACTTTAAATACTTACATGGAAAGGTTATAAACGTGCAGTTGTGTTCTGATTTAAAAACATTCCTTGTTTCCCCAGTTACAGTGAAACAGTTGGCCCTGAGCACCTCCGTGGGCTAGTTCTAGGCGCTGGGCTGCCGTGCGGCGCGGGGACGGAAGGCCTTCCCCTCCGCAGTGGACAGGTTGGATGGAGTTGGTGCTTGGGGAGAATGGAGAGAAGTACTAGGAGTTGGGGGTTGCAGTTTTAAGAAGGGTGGGGAGGGGAAGCCTGACGGACAGGAGGATGCGGTCTTTGTCTCCTGTATGAAGAAAAACTTGAAGTGTGTGCCTTACCAGCTACGCGCTAGTAATTGCAGAGAGCAGGGGAGGGCATTGGGGCCACAGCCAGTGAAGATCTGCTGTGCTTTCAGTAAAAATGGTGTGTTGGTTAAGGAGAGGAAGTAGTTTCTTACTTTCTTCCTGAAGGCAGGGTTTGGTCTCTGTCAGGCTTCTGGAAAGGCAGTCCACTCTTGTCTGGTGGCAGCTCGATGTAGTGAGCAGGGAGGGCTTCCTGTGTGCTTTAAAACTGCTTGGGAAAACCCTGAGCACACCCAGGCGACACACAGGCAAGCTGTCACTCAGCACCAGTGGACGGACGGACGGATGAGTGAGGCGGCGACGGCTTGGCCTCTAACTCCTGCCAAGTTCCATGCTGGTCACAGGGATTGCTGTGCTAAGCAAGTGGGCAGGTCCCTGCCCTCGTGGAGCTTGCCCTTCAGGGGTAAGACTAGCATGATCCAGCATCCATTCTTTCTTAAATGTCCATTCTTTTCTTAAATTGCGGTAAGCTGTAGTTACAGACACAAACAAAAACAGTGCTCTCCCGTACCTGGTACATACGGCTCGCGGAGGCTTGCATTGAGTAACCAGTTGCCAGTCTTAGTTCATTTGTAAACGTGTATGTGATTTTTTTTAAATTAAAATCTTTAAAAAGAGGCATGTCTATATTAGGTTATCAATCCTTACGTTGATTGAAATCAGTGTGAACATAATTTCACAACTATGTGCGTGAGCTTAAAACCTGGATACCTCTTTGTTTGATTGCTAAGAGGTATAAGTGACAGGTATGTTGTTTAGCGAGAATGTTTACCATTGCTTTGAAAACTTACCTAAGTTATTTAGTTCTTTAGACTTGTTTTCACTTACCTTCTGATGCTAAGGAATGTGGTGATGGACTAGATAAAGAATCTGCTGATCAGAGCGATACACACAGGAAGTCAGGACTGTCCCAGGGCTGCCTGCATTGGCCAGGTGTTGTGGGTGAAGGTGTTGGGATGCCCTATGGGGGGATCTTCATTCCTTCTTAGAGGCGGTGGTTCCTTTGTCCCTTCCGATGTGGCCCTCAGCCAACACCAGGCAGCACTGCAGGAGGTTTGGACCAGCACCCCGGGGCTGGCGGGAGTCCCCAGGTCGCTCGGGTGGGAGTGCCGTCCTTCAGGCGGAACCCACGGATTATCCTGGGGGCTTTGTGACCGCCAGCCTAATTTATTGAGAAATACAGGCTATAATGGAATTTTAAAGTCTCACAGAAGCACTCATTGCAATTAAGTTCATAGTTTACCCATCTCATGGGAAGCCATGAGGCCCTTTGACTTGAGACGTGGTAAAGGCATAAGCGTTTTGGTTATATTCCCCAGCTCACGGCTCCTTTCTCTCTCAAAAGTGGTCCAATGTGAAGTAATATGATTACTCTGGCTGTAGACTAGATGGTTTTGGTTTAAAATTAAGAATTTAATGTTATGCGTGATAATTTGCTGCAAAAAATGTTTTCCACATGAAAAGAGCTTTATGGTTTGGATAAAAAAGAGTTAACCGTGAGTAGGATTGTGAGTTACCTTACACAGATAAAAGCAAAGCATTCGCCTGTGCAGCCATGGAAGTGTGCGCACCAGTGCGCACTGAGAACACAGGCTCCTGCGGAACCTGTGCGCCTGCATTCTTCGGAGATTTTAGACTGTTCTTTTGCCTGGTGTCCCTTTCACGTTTTAACTGGATTGCCTTTTCTACCCCTCTCACCTGAGGACATTTTTTCATTGCTTTTAGAGAAAGAGGAAGGGGGACAGAGAAACACTGATGTAAGAGAGAAACGGGGACTGGTTGCTTCCAGTGCACATCCGGACCGGGGTCCAACCTTGCGTCCTTCGGTTACACACAGTGCTCCAGCCAGCCAAGCCGCACCGGCCAGGGCAACTTGATTGCCTTTTAGAAGTAGGAAAACCTTCTGATGAGGCTTGAAACTGGTTTCATAAAATTGATATTCCATGCAGCATACCAGTATTTAAAACAAACGAATGGTTATATTTCTCAAACCTGCAAATTTGGTAGTTTCTTGTAAATTTTTTTTTTTTTTTTTTTAGGATTTTATTTATTTAGTTATTTTAGAGAGGGGAAGGGAGGGAGAAAGGGAGAGAAACAACAATGTGTGGTTGCCTCTCGCACACCCCCTACTGGGGACATGGCCTGCAACCCAGACCTGTGCCCTGCACTGGGAATCGAACCCGTGACCCTTTGCTTTGTAGGCTGGCGCTACATCCACTGAGCCACACCAGCCAGGGCTCTTTGTAATTTTCTGTTTTGGCTGTAGTAGGGATTGCTAAACAAAAGTAAATTTGTGTTGCTGAAACTTGACTAAGAGAACTCTGCCTTGTTTGTAGTCTCATTTCTGTTATTTTTCTATAGGTAAAAAGAGCAATGTTTGAAGCAAGTCAGTCTGTCGGTTTCACATCAAGTGACAGATGTAACGCTGTATGTGCATCCTGCAGTTAAGAGCGCAGAGGAGACCGGGGCGGGTTGCATTCTGGGCACAGCGCCTTACACGAGCAGTCCTGCCTTTAGTTCATGGATGTCGACACCGAGATCACACGCCCAGGAGGCGATGGGGACAGGACTGAAACGCAGGTCACAAGCAGGTCATTTGCTGTGTGCCTGCTGTGCTCCGGACAGGGCTGGGTCTGCTACTTTCCTGGCCCTTCAGCTCATCCTCTGTTTTACTCTACCCTTGAGTTTGTTTTTTTTTGTGTGTGTGTGTGTGTTTTTTTAATAATTCTTTTGAATGTGCCTGGCTTCATTTAACTGTATTGCCATAATGTCACCAAAACTGGGATTGAAAAATAGCACGCGCCTTCACACCTGTGGATGGTAGGAGTGCGGGGGCTTGTTGGACTGGGGCAGTGTCGTCGTGAGGGAAGGCGGGCCTTGCTGGCCTGTGACTCGCAGTCGGGTGTTGACCCCTTGGACAGGTGTTTGTCATGCCGGACGCCGTTGCAGCCACAGGCTGAAAAGGAGCGCTGTCACACTGCTTCCCAGTGACGGGTGTCTTGGATGCCACCGCCCCACAGGGTCCGGCCTGGCCCTGACGGAGATCTCGGCTGTCCTGCTCCAGCAGCAGCGGCGGCCCCGGTCCCAGGTGACGCAGGTGCACATGGCGGCAGGGGGTGAAGTGGGCGGCGGTGGTAGGGAAAGGTCAGGAGGGTCTGGGTGTGAAATGTGAGGGTTTCAGTCTGAAGTGGAACAAGGGGTAGGAAATGGAAGATCTCACAGGTGCGCCCTTGGAAAGATGACACTTAAAGCCTGGGGACTGACGTCTTGTCTGTCTTGTACGTGCTTGATTCACATACAAGGGAAACATCCTCTGACCTGACCGGTGAGCACCGCCCCAAGTCTCTCCGTGTACACGAGCCCGCAACCGGAGCCGCCTCCTTGCCACTCTGCCCGGAAACGTGGCCGTCCTGACCCCTTTGCTGGTCCCGAGCTGCAGCTCCCCTGCTGTCCCCAGCACACTCTGTCTCTGGGCCCTGAGCCTGCCTCTGTCGGCCGCCTGTATTTTGGGCAGACAGACACCCAAGCTCGCGTCTTCCTGGCCGGGTGGCCTTGGCTTCAGCGGCTCCCCTTTCTCAGCCTCCATGTCCTCTCCTGGACTCTGGGGTGCTCCCTCTGTGGACAAGCGGCTGAGTGTGAAACGCAGGCAGGTGCCTGTCACGCAGGTCCCTTGCTGGCACAGGAGATGTTGGGATTAGGTGTGTGGCTCGACCGCTCTCGGTTGGGCGGTGACCTCTGGAGTCTGTTGGTGAAGCTGGCAGGACGTTGCCTTGAGAGAGCAGGTGCCCTCCCCCAGCAGCCAGTGTGTGTGTGGAGGCTGGGGAGGGCCGGCTGCTGCGTAGATGGGGTAGACCAGTGGCCCCCCATCTTCTTGGCCCCAGGGACCGGTTTCATGGAAGGCAGGTTTTCCGCAGTGGGGCGGGGGTAGAGGGACGGGAGGCAGAGCTCAGGCTGTAATGCGTGGGAAGCTTCGCTGGCTCACCCACCACTCCCCTCCTGCTGTGCAGTCCGGTTCCTGACAGGCCGCGGACTGGTCCTGGTCCGTCCTGGTCCGCAGCCCTGGGGGCCCCTGTGTGAGACCGTGGAGAGCTTCATTAGGCAGCCAGGTTGTAGCTGCGGCTGGTGTATAAACACCTGCACTCTACGACCCAGCAGCCCTGCTGTTGTCGTTAAGTAGGAATGACTTAGATGTCCCCCAAGGTTGCCTCATAGGCGGAACCCCTCAGTATTTAACAACCAGTTGGACTGGCGTATGTGCTCTGCGTACCTGGTCAAGTTATTTTACGTTCCGTATTTATAACTCAGAAACGCAGCCCGCACACTTGGGAGTCCTGTGACCACAGTTCTGTGCACGTCTGTGTGGCCTGCATGGAACGGGAGCTCGCGCAGGGGTGGTGGGGGAGGCGGGGGCCCTGGAAGCGGGTGGGGCCCTGCGCTAACCTGGCTCGGTGCTGGGCACGGCCAGCCATTGCAGTGCCTGCTGTGTAATTTTTTACTAGTGGTTTTCATTGGCTCCCTTAAATCATTTAGCTGTCTGAAAAGGATAGTGTAGCAATTATGTAGTATAGATAGTGTAACAATTATGTGGTGTTTTGAATTTAAAAAAACCATTTTCATATTATGTTTTGAAACAAAATTACCTAAGAAAAATGTGGCTGAGTTATACAAGGCAGTTGCAGATCATTTCCAATTGAAGCTGCTTTTATTAAATATGAAGGGTTTTTTTGTTTTTTCTACTTGAAAGCATTGTGATTGTGGGGTTTGGGTGCTGCTCAAATACCTACAAATGAAACTGAACAATTGTCATCTTGGAACAACCTTTCAGAGAGACCCTGAAGTGTATTTATTACATCTGAGATTAAGAACCTTCATCGCCAAGCCTTTATTTTATTTTTCATTTAAGGACTCTCTACATTTAGATAGGGTTTGGGAATTTTATTACTAAGTTCTTTTTAGGACGTATATGTTCTAGAACCCACCGTTAATCTTTGTAGGTAAACATCACCCTAAGCTGGAGATAAAACTTACCTGTCTTGTAAAAGTGGGATCCCGTGGAGTGTATTCCATGTTGTTACGTGCGCACCGTATCTTCTGTGTCAAAGTAAGAATGTGTGGTGTAAACCTACAAGGCACATCCAGTAAATGCTTTGAATTGCTCCAGAATAATGGGCCTTGCGTATATATTCCTGTTGCTAAAATTTATTGAGATAAGGCAAATTAGAATTGGTGTTTTTTTTTCCTGAAGTCTTGTCATTTTAGTACCAAGAAGAGAACTTTTTTATGAGCAAAGTGACACACTCAAATGTGCAGACCCCAGGTGTATAACTTGATGAGTTTTGACAAGTGTATACATCCAGGTCACCAGATTCGTGGTTATCCGACATTGCCGTCACCCCAGAAAGTTGCTGGTAAAAGAATGCATTTGCCAATTTATTTCTGCTTGTAAAATGTTTAGTAATGTTAATGTTACATTTTTTCTTTAATTTATAGGAGATAAAAGCATTCAGATGGCAGATAACAGGTAAGCCAAAATGGATTTTATTTACTGGAGTTTCTGTTTTATTTGATAAGCATCAGGCAAGGCTGTGTTTTACAAGCACCACTAGATGCTCTCGCTGGAGGCCCTCCCCACCCCCTTTTTTTTTTCTTTTTTTTTTCTTTTTTTTCTGTTTTCTTTTCCTATGTATTTGAGCCTATTAAAGAAATTGCTTCTGACAGGAAATGTGTCTCAAATACTGACACCTAAACCCTTTTGAGGGAAGCGACCCTTTGCTCCTCTGGCTTGAACACCCAGCGAAGTCCGTGATTGACCTGACGCTGGCCTAGCGTTCTGAGCTTCCTGTGGTCGAGTCAGAGAGTCGCCTGTGCTCCTGCTGAAGGCCCCCCTGGTGGTGCATGGTGTTCGATGTGGTTTATTGGTGGTGAGGGCGGTGTGTCCGGGCATCTTTGAAAGCTTAGGCTGTGCTGGTGAGGGTGGGCTGCGTGGCCAGCTCACAGAGCCGCGCGGGCACTGTCCTCCCACTGTGGACGGTGGTTCTGCTGTGGTCAGCAGCCCTTCAGCCACCGGTCCTTCCTTGTTGGTTGGCTGGCTGGTTGGTGGGTTTGGTTTGAGAGCAGGGAGCAGATTTTTTGTGGCAAGAAGTTGTAGAAATGAAAACAGGAGAAAGGGAGGGACAAAGAGAGGGAGAGAAACATCACTGTGGGGTTGCCTTTTGCACTGCCCTAGCTGGGGACCTGGCCCGCAACCCAGGCCTGTGCCCTGACTGAGGGGTCAAACCGGCAGCCCCTTGGTTCGCAGGCCGGCGCTCAGCGAGCCGCACCAACCGGGGCACCAGGCTGCAGATTAGAACTGTGGGGAGTGGTGTGGGGGCGGGGGGCGATGGATTGTTAAGTGGTCCGGTGTTTTAAGAACAAAGTCTCTCGTGTGTAACATCTGGAGTCACTGCTGAGACACCTCTTCATGGGTTAAATAAGAATGCCCTGGACTAGTCATCTTGGGGACTTTTTTTACAGTAATACATTTTAAATATTGTTTCAGCTTTTCAGATGGAGTTCCTACAGATTCCTTGGAAGCTGGGAGAGATGCACGTGCTGCAGGTCAGTTCACTGCCCGCGGGGGTTAACAGCTGGAGTGTTTGTGTGCAGCGCGGGTTCTCTTACTCTGGAGCCGTTTGTTACAGTGATGAAGAATTACTCAGGTTATAGGAAAAGTTAGAGTAAGTAAAATGAAAATCAGGACTTTGTTTAAAATTTTCTGATTGTAGCAGACTCAGACTCTGCAGAAGTGAAGTGCCTGTGGTCACTCGGCGCCAATGTGGACCCGCCAGTGACCAGTCTCTCCCCCCCACCTCTCCCTGACTGTGCTGACGCGCCCCCACAGAGCGTGGTTTGGCCCGTGCCCTCGGAGGGGTGCTTTCCCCTCCATTTTCATGTTTGTTTCTGCTGTTCTGTCCCAGAACTTTCTGAAAGCAAGTTGTTTATACACTGGCTAAAAGAACGCCTAAAACAATTTAATGTAAATTTCTAAAAATGGGGATGAATCCTCGTAACCGCAACCAAGAAGTTCAGGCTTCGTGTGACGGTGTGGCAGTTGCGTTCACGTGGCCGCTTTTCTCAGCGGTCCTGCAGGGTGCTCCACGCCCAGCCCCCGGACTTGTGCGCGCGCCTCTCGTCCGTGGTCCTCCTCTGTGAGGAGCCCCCCTTACCCTTCAGGCAGCAGGCCGGGCGCCCACAACGTGGGCGGGTCTGGTGGCTTCCTCCTTAGGTTCAGGGTAAACGTTTTGCAGGACCACCATGCAGGTGACCTGGCACAGTGGGATGGGCCCAGGGTTGGTGACTAGGTTGCGACCGTGTCTGCCGACTCGTCCGTCACAAGGGTCCTTCCAGTGTTGCTCTTCGTGAGCTGCTGGTTGCTGGTCTCTCGGTGGCCAGCATTCTTCCTTTCGGTGTGCGAGCTGCCCCGTCCGACCCGTGGGGGCTCTCCAGGTGGGCCTCTGTGTCCTTTTGCCACACCCCCATCAGTTTCCTGTGCTCTTGTTGCATAGCTTTGTGGCACAAGTGTTGTTCCGCTTTCCCGCGAACTTTCCTTGCCCCAGACCTGGGCTCTCTCAGCTACCTAAGGGGCCCCGTGTTTTTTAGTGGGGAGAGAGTTAAAAACCAAAACATAGGTCCTGGGTGTTGTTCTCAGGTCTTGCAGTGGCCAGAGCTTGAGGGGACGGGTGTGGGTGCACGTAGGACACAGTTCTGTGTGTGCCAGCTGCGCATGTTGAACGCAGCGCCAGCTCATGTCGGTCGCCCGTGCCCCTTCCTTACAGAGGCTGGGAGAGCTCCTGGCCTGGGTGGCCTTGGAGCCTGGGTTTCTGCGGAGGCGGTCTGTGCCGTGGGCCAGGCGTTGCCACGCCACGGTGGCAGCGGAGTGGAAGGACACACGCTCTCCTGCCGGAGTCTGGAGCGTGGGCTGCCCAGGCAGTGTGGCGGAGGAGACCAGCAGTGTCTGCGAGGGCGCTGGTCAGGGCACGCCCGGGGCAGGAGGTGGCTTCGGGCAGGAGGACATAGGTGAAGGTGGACCACAGGGCAGTAGGAAAAGCCTGGCCGCCGGGGAACTACGGAGAGCCAGCCTTCCTGGGCTGAGTGCCGGGGCCCAAGTGGGCGCTGGCTCTGAGGGACTGTCTGTGTGCCCCTCTGCTCAGCTTCTGGGCCCCACCAAGGGACTGAGGGAGGGAGGCAAGGTGATCGGCAGTGGCGCTGTCCTCAGGAGAGTCAGGGCTGGAACAGGCAGGGGGGGCCCAGGAACCTCTGGGCGCCCTCCGTAGGTTCGGACTACCCATGCAGGTGATTGACCAAGAGTGCCCCATTCCTGTAAAGTGCATTTGAAATATTTTTCAAAACGTGTCTTTACGAGCCACTTGCTGTATTTGGAAATTAAAGCAGGCAAGCAGGGCTGAGTGGGTGTGAGTCGGTGGTCCCGACTCTCCACGGCTGCCGCGTTTGACATTGTCCTGCCTTTTTTTAACTCTGAGCAGAGACACTCACGGACCAGGTGATGCAGAACCCTCAGGTCCTGGCAGCGCTGCAGGAGCGGCTCGACAGCGTCTCCCACACCCCGTCCAGCTACATCGAGACGTAAGTGTGCCGTGGGTGAGACAGGGTGCGGCTCCAAGGAACAGAGAAGGAAAAGCAATTTCCCTGGTCCTTAGGACAGGAATGGCCTATTTTCCGTCCAGCGTCCCTGCCTGCCGTGAGGAGCAGGGGGTCCCAAGATGGGCTGGCTTGGCTCTGGGGTCTGGTGGAGGGACCCAGGCCTGTGGAGGGAGGGCAGCGAGCAAGCGGGGCTCTCGGACAGTGAGCGCGCAGCGCCATCCTGTGGCTAGGAACGCCGTCAGGTGGCACACAGAGGAGTGGCGAGGAGGACGAGCCAGGGGAGGGCAGAGCGCTTTCTTACCCTGGTGGCTCCGGGTCTGCTGCGAGCCCCCCGCGCTCTCAGGAGTCCTGCCTGGGCTGCCCAGCAAACAGCCTCCTGGACGAACAGGCTCTGGGATGGCTCTTCTCCACCCTGGCTGCCTCCCTTCTGCAAGAGAGGGGCTCCCCCGGGGCCTCCCTGTGGCAGTCGGTGCGGCTCAGTCTCTCCACGCCCCGCCCTCTCTGTGGTCCCCGCAGGGCTCCGTGTGTTCCAAGGCTGGCTCAGTGGGGAGGGGACGCTGGGGCTGCTTTGCCTGGGTAAGGGGCTCTCCGGAGGGTGACTTGGGCGGGGTGTCAGTTGCTGCGCCCGGGGCAGTGATTTCCAGTTCTCTGCTTTCGGGGCTGCACGGTGGGCTGGGGGCGGGGTTTGTGTGGGTGGACGCAGTGCACGTGAAGTGCCTGTTGAAGGGAGACAGTGCCATTACTGTCTCTGACTCCCGACGGCCTGCGCAGAGCGGCGTCCAGTTTGCCTAGATTCCTTGGTTGCTAGTGCTCCATTAGGAAGTCTCGGAAAAGTTTTTTTAAAAATTTCAGAATGTATTATCAGTGCAGAGAAGCAGCACAGATGTTCGTGTGTCACCATTTTGTTAAATTCTTACCCATCTGCTTCTGTGTTCACTTCCCCCTGCACGTGTCCCAGGAAGGTGGCAGGGGGGTCTGGTGGAGACCGAGGGTGTGACAAGCCCCACGCTGGGGCTGTCCTGTTGCTGTGTAAACAGGGCAGCGTGGTGTGCTGCCCTGGGCGTGGGCGAGCTCTGCCCTGAGGTTTCAGCCCAGGCCCAGAGGAGGGCCCACTGCCCCGAGGGGTGGGGTGGGGGGGGCGTCAGGTCGGGTTGGTAGCAGGGCCCTAGGATCTGCTGTGCCTTCGAGGTCGTGACCAAGGGCTGAAAGTGTTTTTTTCTCCTTCGGATTTTTAAAAGTAATGCTTACGATCTAAAATATTTTTTAGAATGTGGAGGAGTGTGGAAAGGCAGAGAAGCTCCTAGTTAATCTGACTGTGGAAGAGAACGGGCCGTTACCCGAGGTGTCCTTGGTGTGTGGGTGTGCGCCCCCCGGGGTGTGGGGCGCCTGGGGACAGGCGGGCGGGCCGGTGCTGTCCTGCTCTGCATTTCACTGTGGCCCGGTTTTCGCTCTCATACATGAGATGCAAGTGGACATTTCAGCACAAAAACACCCAGTTTCCTGAGAAAAAATTCTCACAAGCAGAATTACTGGCTTAAGGGATGTCCTCGACGTCCTCATTTCCCCTACGAGAGGCAGGTTCCTCGGGCCACCCTGCTCGCAGCCTCAGCGCAGCCGGGCCGGCTGCTTTCTCAGCCGCTAATTGGGAAGGAGAAGGCAGGAGTTCTAGCACCTTTTCTGACGTTCTTTTGGACATTTTATGAGATTAAACTTTTTTTCCATGTTGATTTTCTTTTGTGAATTACCTCCTTGGCTTCCTCCCCCCACCTTTTTTCCTCCTATTGGGATGTCTCCCCTTTTCTTAATGATTTTAGCTTTTTTTCACAGTAAGGATGTTCATTCTGTTAACCAAAACTTATTTTAATAAAATACATGGCTGTTTTCTTTTTTTGTTCCCTCTTTAGTTTACCTAAAGCAGTAAAAAGAAGAATCAACGCGTTGAAACAGCTTCAGGTGAAGTGCGCGCACATTGAGGCCAAGTTCTACGAGGAGGTCCACGACCTGGAGAGGAAGTATGCGGCGCTGTACCAGCCCCTCTTTGACAAGGTGCGCAGTGCTGTCCTCCCCGAGCTGTCCCTCCCCAGCCTCCCTGCGGGGGAAGTGTCCAGGTTTCCCCAGTAAATCAGGGAATGTACCCCTTCAGCCCTAAGACTTCGAATCTTAGAATAAGTTAGAGGGGCCTCCAGTTTCCACAGTCTTTTCGTAGACGTTTACAGACCCACGGCCTTCATTCCTGACTTTCCGCATGATGTAACTCTAAGAAGGTCTCACTCTCACTTAGAGAAGGGAGTTCGTCACTGGTGACGTCGAGCCGACAGACTCGGAATCGGAGTGGCACAGTGAGAATGAAGAGGAGGACAAGTTGGCTGTAAGTTGTTTTTTTTAATGAGCGTGGCTTGTGTCCCGTTTTAATACTCATAGAAGTAAGAACTACCTTTTAATGGTTTTATTGATCAGTGTGACTTTACAAAGAAGAGAGCCGACAACAGGAGGTGCTGTTTCACCTTCAGGTTGGGCGTTTGGGCTTCTTCAGGGCTGCATATGAGCAGCCAGCAGGCCTGGCATCTGACCGGCACCGTCTGGTGGCACAGCAACGCAAGCACTGCCTTCCCCGCGCAGTCACCTGTCGCGCCTCTGCACAGTGGGCGGTGAGGGGTGGGGTTTGGTGGACGGAGACGTTAGACGTCGGTGGACGTCGCTGTCACGTGTCCACGCGGTGGTCTCCGGCTGGTGGGTCGTGGGGAGGGGATGCGTTGGAAACATCCTGCCAGAGAGCCCCTTGCCACTTGAGATTAGTTGTTTGGGGTCCTTGTGGTAACGTGCCCTGTCCCATTACCTGCTCACAGCCTTTGCCGGTGACCGGTCCCATTCCAGCGCCACAGAACGTCCCAGCGTGCCAGCAGGTCCACTCTGTCAGCCTGATTTTGTGTTTGGGAGATGAGGGGCTTCTGTCTCGTGAAACTGACTTTTGGGGGGGGGGTTGAGGTATACGTTAGTTTTGCTAGCCATGTGTTTTTGATCGAGAAAATATGCAGAGCCTGGCCTAGTTGAGGAGGCAGCCGTGGATCAGTGTAGTTAGGAACCAGATGCTTATTGATCAAGGAAAGTCTGCACACACTAATCTGCAACAGCATGGGCCCACTTCCTCCCGAGGCCCCCTGTGACGAGCACTCCCCCTTTCCTGTGGCCCGTGCAGTGCTGGCCGCATCTCCCTCCCGGGGGCCCTGGTATCTCTGCGTTGCCACTGAGCCTTTCTGGTCGCCACCCTCACCTTGGCGTGGTGCCTCTGTCTGGCGGGCGATTAGGGCCATCTCCTCGTGCTTGGGCGTGTATGGCGCTTGGCGGCGCCTGAATGCTTGGCCCCGCGAGCGGCGTGTGGCGGTTGGTGGTGGTCCCCAGACAGCCTCCACGGCCTCGCCCAGTGCGGTGGCCTCGGACCGCCTCTCGGCTTTTCTGCCAGTTTAAGTTTTATCGTGGGATTGCGTTGTTGGGGGGTGCCTTGAGTGCTTTGTCCCCAGAACGACAGTCCGCACAGAGCTCCGAGGTGGGGGTCTGCGCGGAGCCATGGACCTGCCGTCACGTTGCTCTGTGGTAAGTGTCCGTTCTGCATCTGATTCTCAGGGGGACATGAAAAATAAAGTGGTCATAGCAGACAAAGAGGCTGCGGCAGCAGAGGAGCCCAGCCCCAAAGGCATCCCTGAGTTCTGGTTCACCATCTTCCGAAACGTGGACATGCTGAGCGAGCTGGTCCAGGTGAGCGCACTGCTGGGGGCGGGGGGTGGGGGTGGGGGTGGTGCTCTCCTGGCTGCCAGTGGCTACTCGCGAGGCGCTTGGCCAGAGCTGTGCGCCCCACTCAGGACTGGCCTTGATCTCCTTCCAGCCTGGGGCCACGTCTAATACATGTGGCTTAGAAGAGCCAGTTTCCTTGTCTGAGCTTCCCTTTCATACAGAAGCTCAGGCGGGGTGTTCACAGGAGCTCGCACGGGGTTCTGGTGTGCCCCATGGGTGGGGGATCCCCACGCAGCAGCGGAGATGGAGAAACCCACAGGTCGCAGGTCGGCTTGGCTCGGACCTCAGTAGGAGCGCCCTTCCCAGGGACGGGCAGGGTTGGATTGGCAGGTCTAGCGGGTGGGGGGCTGTGTGTCTGGCGAGCTCTGGGCGGTTGATGTCCTCGCGGCTGGTTGCAGCACGCTATGTGGCGGCAGGCTTGTAGTGATGGGGCTTCTTGGTGCCAGCAGGTGACTTGCTGGGGTGACCAGGCCCTCATGTTGGGTGGCCGTGGTGCTTTGCTCCGTGGCCCCTCCTCGGTCTAGAGGGCGGGGGCCCACTGGAGCACCCGTCAGGGAGGCAGCTCCCTGCCCCGCACCTCCGCTGGCGGAGCGCTTCGGCGTTGAGGCTGTAGGGTCTTGCTGCTGCTTGTCTTAGAGCTACAGAAAGACATGCTGGCGTTTCTGGAGTGCTCATCTGTGTGGGGGAGCAGTGCGGTGTCATCCTCACGGTCGCCTAATGTCAGGTGACGGTCGGAGGCGCCGTCCTGGTCGACCCGTGAGGTCCCAAAGACGGTCTCGGCCCGAGCCCTTGGCCCTTTGGGTGGGGCGGCCAGAGAGGACAGCTGCAAGAAGAGTTTTGGAAACTGGGGGTGGGGGGGTGGGGGGCAGCTTCAGCTTCCCTCCATCCCAGCGCTGCCCTGGGGCCCTGGGTCCGGAGGCTGTGCTGTGCTGGGACCACATGACATTCTTGTTCTCCAGGGGCGGGAAGAACACGGTGCTTGTTTAGTGGATTTGGGGGAATACCAGTGGGCACTGCTAGGCGGAGGGGATGAGTTTGAAGACCCGGTGCCATGGAGTTGGGGACACACTAGTGACGACGTTCACCTGGGCATTTAGAAGGAGGCACAGGTGCTGTCGGTGATGTGCAGTCTCGGCTTCAAAGCCTCAGACTGAGCTTACTGTTCCTCTGGAGACTTCCTGGGTACCAGTGCTGTTGCTGTTTTTGTTGGTTCTAAAATCAGGAACTTGGTAGTTATCAGACTGAATTCTTAGGGCTTAGTGGGGCCTTAGGAAACCTTTATGTTCCATCCCCAGACATTGTAAAGGAGTAACTGTTTTACAGGTAAAACACCTAAGCTAGGGTGTAGTTGCTGGGTTTTGAGCCTCGTCGTTCCTCTTCTGTTTTTGGCTTTTCTTGAATGGCAGGTGTGGGTGAGTGTCTGAAAAGCCTGTAGCCGTTGTCAGGAGCTCTGACGCCTGCGCAGGAGGGCTCAGCCATGCCAGGCAGCATTGTGGGCTGGGAGTGACTGTGGTGGGTTTTGGTGTTCATTACCACAGGCCAGGGTGGGGCTGGTGGGCACCCACCGCATGGCTGACCTCGGCCTGCCTTGTGATTCTGTCTCCAGAGATGCTCAGGACTGTGGGCCGCTGACAGCGCCTCCGCCGTGGGCGCAGGGAGCTGCGGTGTGAGCCGCCGAGGCCCGTCCCGGCCTCAGAGGCGCTGCCCGTGGCGCCCGGCGCTGATGGCTGCCAGCGACATGGCCCCTCTGCCATCCCCTCCGCTGGTCGTTGGGGAGCAGGTTGGGGGCTCCCCGGGAGGCAGCACTTGACAAGGACAGGACTCCACCAGGGCCCATTGTCCAGCACCCAAGGGTGACGCACCAGCGGCTCAGCAAGGGCATGGGGGTCGTCCTTAAAAGCTCACTGGAGGTTTCTTTTTTCTCTTCGTGTTTAGGAGTATGATGAGCCAATCTTGAAACACCTGCAGGATATTCAGGTGAAGTTTTCAGAGCCTGGACAGCCTATGGTGAGTGCTGGTCGTCTGAGCCTCTGGCTGGCGTCAGGCCGCTGAGGGCCAAGGGCTTGGGGCCAGGGTAAGACATCAGACCCGCTTTTCACATGCTGGTGCCTGGAGCCAGGTGCTCCCGAGGTTGGGGCAGCCTGGCTGGTAACTCAGGCCACCTGCTGTGTGGTGGCAGGTGCAGGAGGCAGACACAGGATCGGACTCCTTGGGCCCGCTGTCCCCTCTGGCACCCTGTGGTTTCTTGCTTAGTTTGTCCCCCTATCGTCATCTTCCTTAGTGTCTCCTGTGTTTTCAAGGATCTGGTGTATAAAATCTGCATTAAGGACGGTGGGTATGAGCAGTACTCTTAACGGTGACCCTGGGTACTGATGAAACAAACCTACTAGGTTCCTGTTTAGAAAAGTACATGTAGGTACCAAAGACTAGAATGTTCCTCCCTGCTCTTTGATTTGTGGCAAAACCCGTCTTCCCAGAATGCCTGCTGCTGTGTGTGTCGTTTCAGGGGTCCTCGGCCAGTCCCCCCGTTCTCGGGGGCATGTTGGGGAGGCGCGTGTCCCCTGGCTGAGCTGGGCGCTCCCAGGAGCACTGTTCGTGACCCGTTAACCTGCTGTGGCTGACGGGTTCCATTCCAGTGCCATAGCAGTGCCAGTGACACGTGACTGACGGCCTGGCCGGTGGCCGTCAGTTTCAGATCTTGGAGACAAGTGCCAGGGGGCTATGGGTGAGGCGTCTGGCGGGGACCCCGCCTGGTTCTTTCTCCCTCCCTCGCAGAGCGCCAGCCCCAGGTGGGGGTGAGGGCGCGTGCAAGTGCTCTCCCTAGTCCTGCAGGTGACGCTACCTGTGGGCCCAGGCAGGGCCACACCTGTCTGTGCCCCACCTCTTTTCCTGTCTGCTGCGCTGGGAGACGACTGATGGACTCGCCCGCTGTCCCTCTGCAGGCGGGGTGCGGGCATGAGCCGGAGGACGCCTGCTCCCAGGTGGAGGGACCTCCCCTTCCTACTGCAGCTCCCCAGTACCCCAGTGTCCCCTCTCGTCTGCTCTTCCCCGGGAGCAGAGGCCTTGCTGTCATCGCCGCCCCCAGGCCTTGGCTGCTCAGATGGGTGAACCCCTTTCCCGCCTGCGAGCACACGTCTAGGGTTCTGTGAGGTTTCTCCTCGCGCTGCGCGTTCGCAGGCCGTTCATCTAGATGTAGTTCACTGGCGTGTCCTTTTCAGGTCGGTTTCCTTTTTTCTCTTCCTTTGCTCTTATTGGACCCTGTCTGAAAGTCCCCAGGCCCGTTTGCTTGCTGGCCCACCTGTCGCTTGGCTCTCAGAAGACGAGAGTCGCTCCGTGGTGGGCGTCCTGTGTGCTGCCGCAGGAAACCAAGAGAAACACTCAGCGGCCCCTGTCTTCTTGTGACAGCCGTCGCGGCCCGGTGCCCCCGGTCTTGTCCTTGTGAAAACCATTACGAAAAACCGAAAGCATTTAAGCTGTAAAGAAAAAACAGAACCACGCAGCCTCAGAGCAGAGCGGGGGCGGAACCTCGGCCCCGCCCCCGCCCTGCCCCCAGGGTCAGCGCCCCCGCACGCGGCCAGCGGGGCAGCATGTGGACACCGTCATGCCGTTCTCTCCGTGGTGCACGGGCTCTGCCGGGCAGGACACAGTCCTCGGCACGTCTTTTGGCTCTGAAGTGATTTCTGTAGCGTGCCCCTCGTGTGCCGCCCCCCCCCCGCCCCCATTCTCAGTTGTTTCCATCAGCATCCTTGGACCCAGAGCTCTGTTTCAATTTCCAACAGTTCCTTGTCTTGGACTGACTGGGTCAGCGGAGGTGAACATTTCTGAGGCCCAGAGTTCGCTGTCCACTCCTGCCAGCCTTTATTGTCACGCTTTATTTTTGTCATAGTAACCCTTATGGGGAGGGTAGTCCTTTATTTTGAAATAACTTCAAGCTTAGAGCAGAGCACAGGGAATCCCGTGTCCGTTGTCCGCCCTGATTGCGGGACTCCTGGTGGGGTGGGAGCCCCTTCTATCCTCCTTGGGATGAGTATTGGCAGTGACAGTAGCCGCTGAGTCGGCTTTGCTGGGCGGGGGCGGGGGGGGGGTCTGCTGTCACATGTCATTCCTGGTGGGGGGTGGGGCGCAAATGAGGTGGCCTTATCCTGGGGCAGTTTTTTTGTTGGTCCATCAACACTTGGCTTCCTCCCCGGTATGTTTTGGCTCCTCATAAACAGAGGCCATGGAGAAGGCAGAAGTTAGAAACCGGGGAGAAAGGACGCTCAGTGTGGAGGGGGCGGGGCACAGGGGAAGAGGGGAAGGTGAAGACGGCTCCCTGGGCAGCGTGGGCACGCGGGAGCGCGGGATTCGCACACCGCCGGTCTGGCCGCGGCCGCTGCTCCACCCTGCGTGCGCGCCTCCCACCTTTCTGCGGGGAGTGTCGTGCATGGGGTGGCCCTCCCTGTGGCAGCCTTCCTGTCCCTGCTGAACTTGGGTCGTCAGACCAGTCACTTGTGTTTGCTGACCCCCTTCCTCCCCATCCCTCATGGCTCTTGCAAAGGTCAGTGGACATTTCCTGGCCAGATCCTGCCTCCACCCCCTTCTAGAAACTGACGGGACAGTCCCCCGGGCCTCTGGTCGCAGGATCTGTGCTCCTGAGCCCCCTCAGCCTTCCTCTTCCTTTACCTGTCTTTGGAGCGCCCTGTTTCTACTCCCTGTTGGTGTGCCAAGTGCTGCTCCCATAGAGTCTTTGCAAAAGTCATCTCAGGGAAAGAGGCGGTGGTTTTTATGTGACAGACGAGGGGAGCACAGTGACACTGAGTAACGCCCCCCCAGTCACGTGGCACTGCCGGCAGAGGAGGCCTTGGCACCTAGGCCGTCTGAGCCCAGAGTCGTCCCTCACGTGCTTGCCACCGCTTGCTTGCCGAGGCTGTCTGCTGGTCCTCTGTAAACTAGGGGGGAGGTGCCTGCAGGTGGCTCCTCAAACCGGAATGGGTCACAGAATGGTTTTCTCACTTTATTACTATTACTGTTATTGACTCACTTATTTTGATAATTGCCAAGTGTCCTTCAAAAAGCTACGTACGTACAGCACATGAGTGCTCCTGGTTTCCCAAGACGCTCATTAGTACTCCATTCTGTTTGTGCGTTTTGCCCAAAAAGGCGTGTATTTCGTTGCATTTTTCGTTTCCTCTGATAGTCGTGAGCGTGAATATCTTTTATGTTGGCCATTGGACTTTATTTGTGATGGCCACTTTGTGTGTCTGTCCGTTTTTCCTGTTACGCCCTCCAGTTCCTGTCTCGCTCCAGGTTGTGACTGAAGGAGGGACTTGTCCTTGGTGTGGACTGTGCCTGCCTGCATCCGGGGGAGAAAGGAGGGGCGGGCTGGCGACGCCAGTGTCTTCCTCCTGGCCCCCCACCCAGCCTGCCCTTTGTGCTGTCACTTTGTGGCAGTGCTTTTTTTGCCACCAAGAAGTTTTTTTTTGTAGCGTAGCCATACTGTTGAGCTTTTAAGCGTGGCTTCTGTCTGGTGTCCTGTTTAGGGAGGGACTAGCTTCCAGTAAGTTCTGTGGGGCTGATAAAATCCGCCACTAGGTATTTGTCCACTTGTGCTGACGCTGAGTTTCTGTTTCCAGTCTTTTGTATTAGAGTTCCACTTTGAGCCCAACGACTACTTCACCAATTCAGTCCTGACGAAAACGTACAAGATGAAGTCAGAGCCAGATAAGGCCGACCCCTTCTCCTTTGAAGGTCCTGAAATCGTTGATTGTGATGGGTAAGGCGCGCCGTCACCGCCCCCTTTTCTGGAACAAAGCTAGGAGATGGTTTTAGAGTTTGTAAGTGAGTAAGTAGCATTTTAGGATAAAGCAGGGAGTTTTTAACCTTCCTAAAAGCCCAGGAGACAAAGATTTACATGGAGCTGTCTTTCTGTGTGAGTGACGACGGCTGGTGCTGGGGATTGTGCCATCTGGTGGCACGGGAAGGGTCTGGGCGCGGGGCCGGCGTCCTCGTTTCAGCGCCGGGAGGGCCGGGGGGAGGCGGCGGGCTCCCTGGTCGCTCGCACGGAGGCTGGGGCCCACCCCTCGGCGCGGGGCAGCTGCTGCTTCCCTCACTGGTGGGGCACTTTAGCTGTCCTTTGACTCCTGGCCAAGCACCTTGGCGATGTCAGCCTGTAGGTCACCAAGGAGCGAATGCAGTTTTGGTTCATGCCTCTTGGCTAGTTGGAGATGGTTTGGAAAGTTGTTTATCTCGAGTGGAAACAGTCACTTTTATTTCCTGGAACCACCAAGTACTTGATGGTTCTTGGAACCATCCCTGGTTCCATCCCTGAAGGATGAATCTCCCCATGCCAGCAGTTCAGGCCTTTATTAAAATTATGCTGCACTTGTGTGGCCAGGGCAATTTTGAAAGGGCTGCCCCCCAGGGCCAGCCATCGCGAGGGAGGTGGGCCCGGCTCTCCACGCAGATGCTGTCAGGTGGTGCGTTGGTCCGCGGTGATTGAAGGCGTTAGAAGCAGGCTGTGCCCGGCTCCCACCAAGGACTGCTCCGCGTGCCCGGAACTGATGTGGTTTGCACCGGTCATCAGTGTTGGGGGTCTTCACCTGCTTCCTTTCGCCAGCTTGCCCCACTCACTGGGTTGCCTTGAGAATTTGGATGTGTGAGTGGTGGCATCAAGTGTGCTCAGGGGCAGCGGGTGACCGGCTCTTGAGGCCCCTTGACCCAGCCTTGATGGGGGTCGGTCACAGAAAACGTGTGCACCAAAGCTCGTAGGGAGCGATGCCATTGCGGCTGCAGGAGCCGGTGCTCCGGGCCGCGCCCGCTCAGAGGCGGGCCGCAGTGCTCGCCGTCTGTCAGGGGCTGTGCCGCTCGCCCCAGGGCGGGCGCAGAGCGCTGCGCGCTGGCCCTGTGCGCTGCGGTCGGGGTTTCTCTCGTTGTGCAGGGGTGTGATGGTTGTCCTGTCCCTGTAGGTGCACCATTGACTGGAAGAAAGGGAAAAATGTTACGGTCAAAACAATCAAGAAGAAGCAGAAACACAAGGGTCGCGGCACTGTCCGAACAATTACCAAGCAGGTCCCCAATGATTCCTTCTTCAATTTCTTCAGTCCGCTCAAAGGTGAGAGTGCGGTGGGTGTGCGGGCTGACGATGGACGGGTGTCCCCCACCCTCTGAAAGCCGTGTGCCGCCACTTCGCTTTCACCAAAGACCTATATTACCAGTGCCCGTTTCCGCTAACCGAAAGAAACCTGAAGAGGGTTTTCATTTTTACAAAAAATGGCGGAAAGTGATCATCGGGTTCAGCGCTTATTTCGCACGAGCTGTGACAGCAGGCAGCACCCCCCAGCAGCGAGTGGCCCCGCGGAGCCCCCTCCTCATGCCCTCGCCTGGGCACTGTCCACACGGAGCCTGTGGGCCTGGCAGCGGGCTGTGTCTGGAGGGGCGAGGGAAGCCCGAGCACCCCACGGAAGGCCAGGCGCGGTGCCGATCGGCGCACAGGGGGTGCCGGCGGAGTGCGCGTGGTGCCGCTCGCCTGCGCCCGCCCTCCGTGCCGTTCTCGGGCAGAGAGGCGGCATCTTGAAAGTTGCCAAAGTTGGTTCTGCCACCCGGGAGTGGGTAATGTGGGAGGTGTCCCTTGAGTGTGCAGAGAGGGGTGTATGCTTGTCACACTGTCTCTGCTCTCTATGTGAGTGCTATTCTAGGATTTACGTGCGGTGTGGTTGCATAGGGGTGTTTTGGTTCTGGGCACGCTCAAAAATTTTCCATGTAAGTGAATGGTAACTGCCTCTTCATGTTACGCTTTTCGGCTCACAAGAGACTCCATAGAACACTCTGCTGTTAGGCAGGGGGCGGGGGGGGGCTGTGCTTACGTAAAAGTGAGCCTCGGGCACTGTGCTCATGGGTCCCCCTTAAGAGAACAGGGCGGGAGAACAGTCGGCCACATTAAAATGCGAGGAAGAGCCATCGCCTCCACTCTCAGCCCAGCCTCCACTCTCAACCCAGGGCGGCCCTGTCACATTCCCCTTGGCGCTCAGTCCAGTCTCTCTCGCCCTGGCTGTTCTCTGCCGCTTGTCTTTGAGCCTTAGAGAGGGAAGTGTGAGCTGGTTTTGGGGTGAGAACAGCCATGAATTTTGCCTGCCGGTTTCCTTTTCAGGGAAGATCCCTTTCAGGAGGGTGCCTCGTGAGTTCATGTCGTAGAGACACTTTGATTTGTTGGAAGCTTCCTTAAAATGGGATTTTAAACACTTGATAAAATCAAATGGAATTAAGTGGGGATTGATCGGGGGGTAAAGTGGTTTTTTTTTTAACGTTTTTATTTATTTGGAGGGAGGGAGGGAGAAAGAGAGGGAGAGAAACACTCATGTGTGGTTGCTTCTCATGCATCCCCCCCCCAGACCTGGCCCGCAGCCCAGGCCTGTGCCCTGATTGGGAATCGAACCAGTGACCCTTTGGTTCACAGGCCGGTGCTCAGTCCATTGAGCCACACCAGCCAGGGCAGGTGTTCTAAAACTATTGGGCTGCACGGCACTAAAAATGTGCCAGACCATGGTGAATTGTACACCTAAAGTGGGTGAACTTCATGGCTTGTAAATTACAGCTCAGTGTAGCTTTTTCTTTTTTTTTTCTCTCTCTTTTTTTCTCTTTTGTTTTTTAATTCTCACCCGAGGAGGTGCTTACTGATTTTAGAGAGAGGAAGCAGGGGCAGAGTGAAAGAGAAACACCAATGGGTTGCCTTTTGTCCTCATGGAGGATCAAACCCGCAACTTTGTGGAGCACGGGCTGACAGTCAGTCAGCCCAGTGGCCTGACCAGGGCCAGTTATTTTTAAAGTAGTTACATAAAGACAACCGCACAGAAAAGCCCTGCAAAAACGAACAGAGGGAGGCAGTGGGGGGCAGGGATGGGGCGGCCACAAAAACCTTCGAAACTGATGGCGTGGTTTTTGAAACAGAGGCAGCATAAGATGGCCAGTCTGGCAGCCTCTTAGTCCTTAAACCCACAGAAGTCCAGAAGTCAAGTGAGGAAGGTCTTTGTGTGATCCCTGACCCCCAGGCTGGGGCCCCCAAATCCGAATCTTAAAGAGCCTGTGGGATGCGTACGTGGCCAAGCCCTGGGGACCCCTGCCTCAGGTCCCCACAGTGGCAGCCCTGGGGGGAGACAGGACCTCGACCCGGCATTTCCAGAGTTGGGGCTTTGACTGTCAGTGGGGCTCCGCCGAGTGCGGACTCACCCAGCCCGGTGTTTGCCACCATGCTCAGGCCGCCCATCTGTGCCGCGGGCCGTCGTGTGGAGCGCGGGGCAGCGAGGGGGACGCCTGCCCGCAGGCGTGCTTCGCATCTCGCAGAGGTTTCAGCGCTCTGTCGTCTCTGCCCTCCTTTCCAGACAGACAGACATGCGGTGCTGGCCTCTCCAGGGCTTCAAGGCCCAGAGGCTTCCCCCCTGTGCTGGATCGTCAAGTGCGGTTTTGCAGGGCACGCCTTAGAGCTTCACTTAGGGCACAGGTGCACTCGGTGGCCGCAGTCCAGCCCCTCGGTGTCCCTGTCCACCTGCTTCAGTGTGCACTGGCGCCTTTGCGCCTCTGGGGGGCGGCGTTCTCCAGCTGGGGCTGTGAGCAGCTGCCGGGGCACAGCACGTGCAGTGGGCGCCCACCAGGGGGCACACGATCTGGGCGATTTCCTGGAACAGCCTGGCGTTGTGAGTTGTCCCGTTTCATGTGTCAGGTCAGCTTCCTGGGCGGATTGAATGTTTCTCTTGTCATTGTAACGTGGACATGTTTTTTGTTTTTTCCAGCCTCTGGGGAAGGAGAGTCACTGGTAAGATCTTTGTTGTCGAAAGCCTCTTGTGTTGCTGTTAAAGTCTGTGTTCCCTAAGTGGCTGTCTGCTCTTTCCCATCTGTCCCTGCTCCCTGAGCCCCTGGGGTGAGTTTGTGTTCGCTGCCCTCCTCACCACTTCACCGGTGCTCCTTCAAGTCTGCTCGACTCGTGGCAGCTGTCCCCCGCACCGCTGGCCTTGGGGGCTTCCAGTCAGCTTCCCAGGAGCGGGGGCGGGGGGGCTCAGGGGGCGTGGTGGTGACCCCACTGACAACAAGCTGCTAACCAGGAGGCTCCCTTCAGGATGAAGATTCCGAGTTCACACTTGCCTCCGACTTCGAGATCGGACACTTCTTCCGTGAGCGGATAGTTCCCCGGGCTGTGCTGTACTTCACAGGGGAGGCCATAGAGGACGATGACAACGTACGTGCTTGGGAACACTCCCAGCCCCACGACACGTGGCGCGGTTTCCAGTGTTTGGGGGGGAATGGAGGGAGAGGGGGTGGTCACCGCAGCGGGGGAAGCAGGTGTCCTGAGTGGCCCCTGTGTGAGGTGTGCCCGCTGGCTCCCTTCAGGGTGTCCTTAAGACCCCCGGGGTTTGCTGCGTCCTGCTCAAGGCCTTCAAGCTCTGGTTAGCTGCTCAGCAGGAGGGACCCTCCTTTGCGGAGGCCTGGCCACACCAAGCCGTCTGCAGCAGCAGAGCCAGTTCGCATTGGCCTTTGGCACAGTGACCCCAAAGGGGCGAGGCCCGCGCTCTGCAGAAGGCTGCTGGGAGGAGGTGAGCCCAGCCCCTCAGCTGTCCTGTGGCTGTCTCCTGAGGCAGGCTCCTTCGTGACCCAGGCTCGGCTGGTTTATGCAGAGGAAGTTTTGTTTTGTAGCATGTTACTGGAAGGGTGTTCTAGATGGTGTTTACTTCCCACTTTCAGAGCTCTGGGGTCTCCTGGATGATTCTGGGTGTGCTTGCTCGTGAGGTCTGCTGGCTGGCGGGCACTGGGGGGCCGGCCCAGTGCTGAGTCGCTTCAGCGCTCAAGGAGTTGCTGAGACCCAAGCTTTCGCAGTGCCGGTAGCACGCTGAGTGGGCAGAGGTGTTGGTGGGGTCTGCCATGCTCTCCTGGGTCGTCTTACTCCTCCCACGGGCTGCGCAGCTCTCTGCCCAAGTGTGATGTGCATTTGAGACAGGCACCTGCAGAGCTCCCTAAAGGGGGTCCAGGTGACATGCTGTGTTTAGAACCTCAGAAAATCTACCCTTCAGCCTGTTGGGGAGCTGCTTCTGATCTGAAATGCTGCAAGGGTCTTGAGGCTATGAAACACTGACAGGTCGTCTTTCCCTGTCGGAAGGGGCTGCTTAGGGTGCCTGGGAGGAAGGGGCACTGAGACCCAGCTCTCTGCGGGCGCTGCTCAGCGCCGCGGGACGTGCAGGTGGGGCCCCTGTTGGAGAGGAGCCACGCCAGCAGCCAGCACTCACCCGAGGTCCATCTGGGTGGGCTGCGAAGAGACGCAGCATCAAAAAGCGCCTGCTGCACGGCCACGTGCCATGCGTCATGGAGCCGAGGGTGATGGAGCTCATCTTGGTGGTGTGGTTTTCATCTTAGCCTCAAGTTTGGAACGTGGATGAGAGCCGACCGGGGGGTCTTTGGAATGGGGGAGAGATTCATTTAAGACCAGCCGGCTACAGTGCTGGAGTCTTACCCATGTGCACTTTAGTTCTAAGTACAGGTTAAACACCAAGGTTTCGTTGTATTTCTGATAAAGATTTCCCCATGCATGAGATACAGAACGATACATAAATCACTGGTTTGCTGAGATCAGCCAGCTTCCTAGTCGGACCCAGGGCACAGCCAGGCTGACGGTCTCCTTTCATCACCCCCGTCCTGGGTCCTCGTGTTGCTGGTTTCCAGGTACCCGCTCCCTAGGCATGTGGCAGGGCTCAAGGGCGGGCGCCCCCACTGTGCCGGCCCCCACCGGCCGGCAGCGTCCCTGTGCCCGGGCTTGCCCAGCGCAGGCAGCCCCTGAGACCGGGGCCTGGAGCTCCTGAAACCTAACCGCGTGTTCCTTGCTTTTCCAGTTTGAAGAAGGTGAAGAAGGAGAAGAGGAGGTAAGACCCGCCTGTGCGCAGCAGCAGCGGCGTTGTGCCTAGGTTGCGTTCGGCTTGCTCTGCTGGGGTGGGCGGAGCGTGTGAGACCCCGGGACCGTGTGCAGAGTTGGCGGGACGGACACCGCCTCAGAGGCGTCGGTCCTGCTGACGACTGCGGGCAGATGGCGAGTGCCCCAGCCGTGTCCCGCGTCGGCCCTGCATTCGGTTGGTGGGAAGGGTCTTAGGAAATACTCATTTAACCCGCAGAGTCTGCTCTTCAGCAGTATGTTGACTTCAGGGTTGTCTCTGAACCAAAAGATGCCCCCCAAAACTTTAAGTGTCCAAAGAAGCGATCTGACCCGTTGAGGACGGTGATAATTGATTCCTTCTTAACTGAAGCAGCACTTTAATTTGTGGCCCGTGGATCCGCCAGACCTGAGGTCCTGTTCACTCCTTTTGCTACAGGAACTAGAAGGAGACGAGGAGGGAGAAGACGAGGACGATGCTGAGGTGAACCCCAAGGTGAGTGGCTCCGGGGCTGCCTGGACCACGGGCGCCCAACTGCTGCGCAGGCGCCCCTTCGGGGCGGGCGGGGAGGCTTCTCTGAAGAGCGCTGGGCTCGGCGGCCTGGGGCTCCCGCTCTCCCTCAGGCACCCGCACGTGCGAACCTCGTGCCATGACCTCGCTTCCGGGCTCTTTGGTTGTTTGAAGGTGATGAGGTTGCTGACGGCAGGTGCACTTTCACCTTTGTTTTTGGAAAGACCACGTAGAAGGGGTGTTGGGGTTGTGACCATTTTTTTAATGAATGGATTATGATAGCATTTTAACTGTAATTTAGTTTCACTTGGCTGAGGATACTCAGGCATTAACTCTAGATATCTCACAATTTAAAAGAAACGAGGAAGCTTTAAGAAAAAACCTGACCAAAATGAGTGGGCAGCCCCTTTTAATTTTACCTGTAAGCCCCGAGTTTCACTCCTGGCCTCAGGCTCACCTGACTCGGGGCGCTGTGTGGCTTGGCGCACACCTGGACCGCAGGGCCGCCCCGTGAGAGGCCGGCGGGAGGCGTGCGGCTCCCCGCCTCCTGGAGGTGACTCCTGTCGGAGGACTGGCTTCACCTGGCGTTGTACCGCGTGTATTCCTAGTAACCCACACGGGGCGTGTTTTCTCCCGTCTTCGCCTAGAGTGGGTTGTGATCCGTCTCTTCACTCCGTGTGTGTCTGAAAATGCATGCTCACACTTGGGGTCTCCTGAGGAGGGGGGAAGGTGGCTTCCACCCTTCCTCAAATGTGCTCAGAGAAAGGGTCACCTTTTCCTTTTTTTAAGATTTTATTTTTTTAGAGAGAGGGGAAGGGAGAGAGGGAGGAAAAACATCAGTGTGTGACTGCCTCTCACACACCCCCTCCTGGGAACCTGGCCTGCATCCTAGGCCCGTGCCCTGACTGGAAATCAAACCGGTGACGCTTTGGTTGGCAGGCCGGCTCTTAATCCACGGAGCTGCACCCGCCGAAACGTTCGCCTTTTTGAGTTGTCGTACTCACCACAGGGTAATTGTTGAAAGCACCCCTGTGCTCTCCTCTGAGCGACGGCTGGTGAGGGACCGAGGGGGTGACGCAGACTTAGGGCCCGGTCTTGTGTGGGTCACGCTGGGGAACGGGAGCGTTGGGGGGGGAGGTATCGGTTAGTGAACAGCACCGGGTGCCAGTGACTCCTCGCTCCGCTGTGCCGGGCCCCCAGGTGTGGGGGCCTGGCTGTTGCCCGGCGCTGGGACTCGGTGTGCTGTCTGCCCGGGGCTGTGCCTCTCTGGCAGCGGCCGCCTCACACTTGTTCTTGTTTCCTTCTGGTGTCCTCTTTCCTCACGCCTGCTTTCTGGGAGAGCATCCTCACCCAGCGGGCACTAGCAACCCACGGAAGGCAGAGGGTGGTCGCTGCCGACCCTTCACGGGGCCTCCAGGTGGCTTTGTTGGGAGTGGGCGAGAACTGACCACAAATCAGCGGAGAGGTGCTGGGAGGCGCTAGAACTGTCCTCCAGGTCAGCCATGTGCCGCCGGAGACGCGGATCCTGTCCTCGGTGACCCGCCCCTGTCCCTTGATAGCCTCCTCTGGAGGGACCTGGCAGGGCCCGTCCAGCAAAGGGGAGGAGGGCCGTCGGGGGAAGGGCACGGGCGGCGTCTGCGGGCTGCTGCTTGCCATCCGCGTGGTGCCGCCCTTGGCGTCGGAGAGACTGGGGCTGCTGCTCCCTGTGGGGTTGTGTGTCTTTCGTTTCCTTCCACGCTGACCGTTCCTTTTAATTTTCTTCCCCATTTAGGTGTAATTTTTGTCTGTTAATCATTCATGCGTTGCTAGGTAAGGTGGAATTCCATTCATTCCTAACTTCCAAATGTTGATCTGTGCTTGATGCCAATGCCTTATTTGACCGGGCACCGAGGACGCTGCTGTGTGGGCACCCACGTGCCGGCCACAGGGCTTTCTGTGCAGCGGTCTGTTGTGTGTGCTTTTGAAGCCGAACGGCAGAAGCCACACTTGGCTCCTGCTTGCCGAGCCCAGTGGTCCTTGTTGACCACAGAGCCGAGGGGTGGCTGGTGTGGCGTTTTCCTTGACGACGGGACTGCCCGCCAGGAGGAGGCCGGGAGGAGGAGAGGCCCTGGGGGGAGGTGGCTGGCGTGGGGCCCACAAGTTGGCGGACCAGCGGTCCTGGGCATCTCGCCCTTGCCGCTCCCTGCCGTCCCCTGCGCCCCTGGCCACCCCCACTCACAGGGGCAGCAGGAGTTGGCCTGCTGTGGTTTTCTGGATGTGCACCTGTCGATGGTTTGCTGCTCTGGAGCTTAGGTGTGGCCAGTGGATAACACGGGGGCCTGAGCTCTGCCAGGATGGTCACCTGCGGGGCTGCGGGCTGGTGCAGCGTGGGCGTTAGCGCGCGGACAAGGCGGCTAGAGCTGTGCTTGGGTGAGGACAGCGCCCCAGCTGTAGGGCCCCGCCGTGTGGGGCCGCGGGCTGTGCTCCTGTCACAGGCCGGCCATGGGCAGCTTGATCCTGAGAGGTGGGGGCGTGGGGTGGGGGCAGAAGAGGCAGGAACGGGAGCCACTGAGAGAAGAGTGCAGTCGGGGGTATCAGGTTGCAGGGCTCCCACTGTGGGCCAGGAAGCAGCCAGTTCCTTGGCGCTGCGCCTGTGGGAGCTGGGACCTTGTGTACCTGCTGGGCAGGCGCCTGGTCCTGCCGCTTGCCCAGACCAGCACCTTTGGGGGTATGTCTGCACTGTCCTCCGGTCTCCTGTGTGCACGCACAGGGCTGGACTGAAGGTACATCTTAGGTGAAGTGACCGTCGGTCCTTTAAGGGTCGAGGCTGATCATTTACTTGTGTGTTTCAATTGAGGTCAACCTGTGTCTGCTAGGCTGTCCCCAAAGCCCGCTCCCCCACCTGCCAGCGACTCCGGAGTGTCTCGGACCGTGTGGCGGGCCTTGGGGCCGGGCTGCGCAGGTGCGGGGGCCACGCGGGGCTGCTGGTCCCAGGGCGGGCAGGGTCCTGGCTCTTCGCTTGTGCCTTTGAAACACCAGCTCCTCTTCTTGATGATCAGCATTGAGTGACCAAGCTGCCACTAAGCTTTGTGACGTGGAGCAGGACGTTTGGCTTGCAGTTGTGTTTCGTCCCGTGTCACAGGCTGAAAGCCACGGGTGCCCTGACAGCCCCTCCAGGTCTTGGCGGTGCTGAGCCTTCCTCAGTCTTTGTCAGCGGCTGCTGCTCTCGTGTCAGACAAGGACGCAGCACAGGGGCTGGTCACAGCCATGTGTGCCAGGACCGAGCACTGTGTTACGTGACACACGTGTCTTTCCCATAAGAGGTGTCGAGGGGGCAGTCCCTCCCATCCTGCGCACCTGCCTAGGCCCCCACGTCACTCCTACAGACCCTCTGCGAGCCCCGCTTCTCCTGCCCACCCCGCCCTGCAGCAGGGCAGGGCGAGCTCGCACGGTGCTGCCTGTCCCCACGCCCCCTGCTCTCGCGGCCCCGGGCCACAGGCCTGTGCCCCGGTGACAGTGCTGGGCTCTGGACGTTGTCGGGTGTGTTTTGTTGGGTGTCTCAGGTGAGCCTGTGACAGGCGGGTGCCAGAGCAGGGCGCCTTCTCAGAGTGGCCTGCCGTCGGCCCTGGCCAGTGCTGGCAGGGCCCCGGGGCCAGCCCTGCAGGTCCCAGCTTGTCCTGTGTCGGGTGGCGGTCGTCATTCCAGTTGTTTCTCTGTGACCCTGTAGCGTGAGTTTGTCTCAGACTCCACAGGCCACCAGGTCACCTTCAGAGTGAGGTGTAATCTTAGCCCAGACCTGGGGGGGGGGGGGGGGGGCTTGCCCTGTGGGCCCCCACACAGCATTCTTTGGTCACTAAGTGCTGATGATAGGTACATGCGAGAGGTCACATTGAAGTGGTTCTGGGGTCAGGGGCTCCCCTGGCACCTTTGCTGGAAGGACAGGAATCCCACTAGGGTGCTCGGGGCGGGGGGTGGAGGGCTCAATGCCCAGCTGTGGGACGCCCCCCGGGGGGTGAGGCGAGCTGGCCCAGGGGCGGGGGCAGCCCCCTGTGCACGTCGGGGGCCGGAACAGGAGCCCTTCCAGGGCCGAGGCTGGGGCAGAATGTGGGCAGTGTGGTGGGTCCCCCGAGCACCGGGCTTCCCTGCAGCCTCGGGACAGGGTCCCCTGGGCGCTTGGTTAATCCTGGGGCCCGAGGAGCCGCTTTTTACCCAAGACTCTCCTGCCGTGTCACCCTGACTTAGAGGGTCTCGCGAGCACGTCTTTAAAGAGTGGCAGCTCTGCCCGGATGTTTTTCCTGGGAAGTTAGCTTATTGCTTGTTACTGTTTTAAGAGTGGATTTGCAGTAGCCATTGTTCTGGTTAGAGAGAATTAACTGAAGCACTGTGATTGGTCTTCCTGGGGGGCGGGGGGAGATGCTCAGTGGGGAGCGGGCGGTTCTCTAAAACCTGCTCTCTGTTGTCGGCAGAAGGAGCCCGGCCAGCCCTCCGAGTGCAAGCAGCAGTGAGGCCGTCCCGGCGGCGCCCGCAGCGGACCTGTCTCCTCGTGCATGGTGTTCGCCCTTCCTTTCCTTTTGTCCTTATGGTTTTGCTTAACCTGTGCAGTGGCAGCTTAAATGCATTTCAGAAGTAGGAGGTTTAACGCCAGCACCCTCCTCGGCCTTGGGTGCAGCTCTTAGACTTTCCCAGGCCTGGCTCGGGGGGGGGCCCGTCGACCGTGGGGGTGGGGGTGGAAGTGGAAGGTCGCCTGAGCCCAGGGCAGACGTCTGGGGAGCTTGTGCTCCTGTCTCCTCTGAAGACACCACACGCTTCGTTTCCAGCCACCTGTCTTCTGTGTCTGATGCCTCGGAGGGCCCTGCTGGAGAGCAGGGTCCGTGCTCCTCCGTGTGTTCGTTCTTCGGTTTTCTTTTCCTGGGGTGGGGGTGGGGCCGTGGCGTCCACGGCGCTGAGGCAGAGCTGGTGTGGTTCGTCCTCGTATTTATTTGTCCCTTTGTGTTGTGAGGACTCGGGACGCCTGCCGCCGCCTGGAGTTCCGAAGCCCCGTTTGTGAATGGAGCCCTGACCACTGGACGGGGAGGCGGGTGGTGGCCCCCCGGGAGCAGGGCCGTGTGGGAGAGCGTGCTGTCCCGCCAGCAGCTGCCCTGGCCGGGGCACGTCGCCCTGCCCTGCGGGCCCCTTCAGCCGGGCGGGGGTGGGCGGCCGCGTCCTCCCGCGCGAGTGCCGCGCCTCTGCAGCGCCTCTGCAGCGCCCAGTCCTCGGCCCACGTCCACCTTGTCCTGGAAGCCCTGGGCTCCGAGCAGCCTGCCCGTGGCTGGCAGGTGGGGTTTCTGAGTGTGTGGCCACTGGGACGCCGATCCACACTGGGACCAGGCCTGGGAGAGTGCTCAGCCTTACTTAAGACACATTTGTAACTGAATACGCTGTTTTCAATTTGTACAGAATAGTTAGAATATTCTATTAAAGTTGTGAAACATGGACCCCGTGCCCGTGCAGTCTTTCTGGGGACCCTGTGGCAGGCGGGTGGGCCGCACAGACGCGGTTCTCCCCTCGGCCAGGACCGCGGCCGTGGCTGGAGCCCGGAGTGGGGGGCAGGCTCAGGCTCCCTCTTTCGGTTTGCCGTTTTGTTTCCCAGGCTGTGCCTAGTTGGCCTGGTAGGTCTCCTGGCCTGCGTCACTTTTGGGCGAGTTTGGGGGCCCCCCCCTAAGCCTGTTGCTACCGCAGGCGAGTGTCTGCTCCCGCCCCATGATGGAGCCCTTCCCCTGGGTCTGCGGGGCCAGGCCTTCAGGTCGGATGGCTCCAGGAGGGGGTCGGATGGCTCCAGGAGGGGACCTCCCGCCTACAGGCCACCCTCAGGCTGTCTCCTCTCCAGGGCTCCGCCCCGCTGCAGGAGGAGAGGCCAGGGCCTGAGGGTGCTGCTGGGGACCGAGCTCCCGCCCACCCTCCGAGGGCCTCCAGGGTGCGGCTGCCGCCCTTGAGCCCTGGGCATCTGAAACGAGCCTGCTTCTGAGAACACGGCCGCACAGGGCAGTCCCCAGTCGCTTGCAGGACTGAGCGATGTGGGCTCCGGGTCCCGCTGGCCGTGTGCACTTATGAGCCCCGGCCCCTGGGAAACCAAAGTCGGCAGCAACGAGGGCTAGGACGGCGCCGTGTAAGGAGGGCGTCAGCTGTTGGAGCCCCCGCGCGGCAGCGCGTCCGGGACAGGTGTCCACGCCCTCGTGTGCCAGCGCAAGCGGCGTGCACCGCCACGGTTGGGACTGGCCAGGAGATGGGTCGGGTCGGCGGCTGCCGGCCGTGGACTTGCCCCACTGAGAACGGGCACCCACGTGCTGCTGGCAACGTCTGGGCTGTGAGGAGGGGGTTTAAGGGGCAGGGCTGGCGCGTGGGTCCTCCGTGGTCACGCTGGGAGGCCCCGGGCCTGGTGGGAAGCTGGAGCACGCTGGCTGCCCGGGGCCAGGCGCGGCGGGGAGAGCAGATGCCAGCCCCTCCTGGCATTCTCGGTGCTGAGCCGAGGGCAAAGGCGGGGTGCTGGGGTGTCCAGGCGCGTGGGGTGGAGGCTTGAAGCCCCAAGAGACTGTTCTCCCCAGCCGGCCTGCACCCAGGCCTGCTGCGAGCTTGTCCTCTGACTGTGACCCACACCTGCCCCTTCTAGGCAGCCATGGGACAAGAGTCCAGGACTGTCCAGGCGCAGGCGCCTCCTGGCTCACGGGGTCCTGGGGACACTGCGGAGCCTCCAGAGGTGGGTTTGGTCCTTGCCTGTTACGCTGGGAAATCGTGGAGCCCCAGCCACGCGGTGGCGGGGGTGGCACCTGCCGCAGCTCCAGGCAGTCCCCGGCCTTGCCCAGCTCAGGCCAGCTGTGCCTGCGAGCTGCAGCCGCCACTGGACCCCGCCCAGAGGCTGCTGCGTCTCCTCTGTCCCTTTTGGCCCCTGGGCCGCTGAGAGCCAAGCCCGGGGGTCGGAGGCCAGGCCTCGCCAGCTCCCCACTCTGGGCCCCGACACCCTGGTGCTTCTTTCCAAGGGTCCGGGAGGGTGTCCAGGGCCACTTCCTGCTCTCTTGGCGTCTGCTGCCCTCGCCCTCCGTCCGTCCTCAGGGCTCTCTCAGGCCGCCCTGTTCTAAGGCTGTGGGGCCTGTTTTTGGGGTCTGTCCCTCTGGGCCCAGCCTGACTCCTGAGGGGCGCCCGGCTTTGCCCCGGGTCTGCAGGGCTCCCTGGGGCTGGGGGCTTCCGCCAGGTGCCGGGAGTCGGAGGTGGACCAGCAGCCCTGTGCGTCCTCCGGCAGCTGTCCCAGTGGCAGGAGCCCTGTGACACCAGCACCGTGAAAGCGCGACCTGAGGGAGGGAGGGCCGGTGGACAACCGATTTCTTGTGACCTTCAGAATCTCTGTCGAACCTGCCGGGGGCAGGGCACTGTCTGGGAAAAGGAAGTGGTTACACAGGTGTGTCCACTGGAATTGACTCAGGTGGGTACACGTGGCTTATGGGTGTGAATTACATCTTAATGGAGCTGATTTTTCAGAAGCCCCACTCTGGGGTGACTCACTTAAAACTCTGGTGATTCCCTTGGAGGCTCAGGAGCTGTGGCCTGGGTGCCCCCTCCAGCTGCCCAGCAGGCCCCCGAGGCCTTGCCCTGGAGGTGGGGGGCCCTCCGCTTCAGCCAGGCCGGTCCTGGTGGCGTTGCTCAGCTCTGTCCAGCCCTGATAGGCCCCGTCCCCTTCGCCTCGGGGTGGGCTGCAGAGGAGGCTCGGGGGGAGCCCGCGGCAAGAGAACTGGCCTCTCTGACCCAGTCACTTCCTGCAGCATCGCCCCGCTGTGGGCCGTCCTCGGCTCCCCGCCAGCTGGCCCGCCCCGCCGCCCAGCCTGGCTGCACCTGGACTTTGGTCCCTTCCCATCAGAATGGCTTCCCCGCTCCCTTGCCCTGGAGGCAGACTCCTCCCCGCCTCAACCTCAGGGAGCCTGTGGGGTCGGGCACTGAGCACCCAGACCCTGGAGACCCTGGTGAACGGCGGGCCCGACAGCACGGCCCGCGGCTCTTCGGGCAGGTTCCGGCCCAGCCTTCGGTTCCTCTGAATTGGGTGTGGTTCTCAGGCACCTTGTCCACTTGGGACCTTCCTTGAGCCCCCTGAAGCCTGGAGAGGGACCTGCCTGAGTCCCACCAGCCTCTGACCCTGGAGCCCCCTTTTGACCTCGCTGCTGAGGGCGAGGCCCCACCTGCCCCAGGTGTCACCCGGAGCCTGTCACAGACCCAGCCCGGCTGTGCTGACTCAGGGCACCGTGGGCGGTGGCAGCCGGATGTTACTTTCCATGACAACCTAAGGCCTGGCCTGGAGCCAACTGTGCCGGGCCAGGCCTCACGGGGAGTTGGCCCAGGACCTTCTGCAGGGGAAGGAGGGCAGGGAGCCACAATCACCCCACGGCTGTGCTCCCGCCCTGGGGCCCAACCAGCAGCTGCTGGGCTTGCCTCAGGGGCGGGAGGGCCCCCGCCCCCCAGCACATCCTGGGCCGGCGCCGCTGTCCTCTCCAGAGTCCCTGGGAACAGGCTGCCTGCCCTCGCCCACCCGCCCCGGGGCCCCCCGACTGGGGCCAGACCTTCGGGGTGCAGGCAGGCAGTGGCCAGGGCAGCCTGGGCCACAGGGGGACAGCTAGGAGGACCTGGCCCTCAATCGGACCCCACTCTGGCTGCCGCTGGGAGATTCCAGCAGGGCTTCCCGCGCTGTCCTCCCTGCGGCCAGGACCCAGGCCTCCTGGGAGCGGGCGGGGTCCAGCCCCTTCTGCCCCTGTGACCCGACAGGCCCTGCCCTCACCGAGCCCCTTTTCTCGCTCTGCAGTAGAGAGGCGGAGGGGAACAGAGAGGTGTCCTAGGCCAGGTCCTCAGGGGCCCCTCAGAGGGCAGGGCTGGGAAGTCTGACAAGAATGGGAGGAAATGGGCAGCCCCCCGGGTCCTGACTGGGGGAAGGAGGACTTGCCGAGGGCCCCAGGCCAGACCCAGGGGCCTCTCCCCCACGCATCCAACAGAGGGCCCGGGGTCGCCGTCAGACTGCGGCCCCGGAGACCTGTGGGCCTGCTGGCCTCTGCCCGCGAGTGTGTGGTCATTTGTCACCACGGCTCTGAGGCACAGGCCGATGGCCGCAGTGTCCGAACAGGACGAGCAGGGCAGGGGGTGGCCAGGTGGCAGCAGAGGCGGTGGGAGAGTGGTTGCTGAGGCCTCCGGCCTCCCGAGCGGGATCCCCGGGGGACACTTCAGAGCAGGCGCCGTCCCTGTCCGGCCCACATCCAGTGAGGACTCGTGTTTGGGATCAGGGGGCCCTGCTGGGAAACGCCCTCTCTGGTTTCAGGTGCTGTAACCCTGCCGACAGGCCACAGGGCCCCCAGGCTGGACATAATCGAGGAGGCCTTGGGACAGTAGGCCCCTGAGGAGACGAAACCTGCCCCCCTGGCAGGTCCGCAGCCCCTGCCTCCCTCACATCCCCCTGCTTGGCTCTGTGATGGTTGGTGGTCGATGACGGGTAAGATCTCCCACGAGGAGAGACGACCTAAGACAGGCATTGGCTGGTATGGGCAGCGGGAGAAGGACTTGGGGGACACGGAGGAAGGGCAAAAGGGCCCACACCCGTCGGCTCGGCTTGGACGTGGCCAGACCCCTCCCTCGGTCTGACTCGGTCTCCTTGTCACTTGGCGGCCGCCTCCCCCCGCCTGGCTCAGGCTGGAATCAGTCCTGT